ATGCCAATTATTGGCATCTCATTGAATGACATTTGAAGAAAATCAGCAGCTTTGCTTTATTTGTTTTTTTTTTCTGTTCTTCAGTAATGTGTACGACCTCCTTTCATGCGATGTAGTTCCTCTACCCTTCGTGGCATACTTTCATATAGCTCATCAAGGAAGTCAGGTGGAATAGATGTCCAGATATCCTGTAGTCTTTCCCATAGTTCATCCAGATCCTTTGGTACCTTCTCATATCCCTTGAGCCGATGATCCATGTAGGCCCATACATTCTCGATAGGGTTGAGGTCAGGAGAATTTGGAGGCCACTCCAAAGTGGTAATGTGTGACTTAATTAAGAACTCTTTAACCATCCTACTCGTATGAACACTTGCATTGTCCTGCTGAAAAATTAACTTTTCAGGGTTCTGGCCATACCACTTCCATGAGCCGAGGACATAATCTTGTAGAACATCAACATATAAAGAGGAATCAACTGTGACAGGGATCCTGCAACCATCGCCTACACCATGATAAGTGATACAGCCCCATCACATAAGTTTGTTATGTGCTCCTCTTGATCTCTCTCTAACATCTCGATCTTCTAAAGTCCTGTGGCCGGGTCGCCTATATTGTGTTCTTCCTCCTAAGGACCCTAGCCTTTCAAAAAGCTTTTCGTCCGAGAACATCACTCGCTTCCAGTCATCAACAGTCCAGTCAAGGTGGTTGAGGGCAAAATTTTTCCTTTTCGCAATCTGCATTTTTGTCAGCCTAGGCTTGAATGGGCGGACATAGTTTTTCAAACCGTCTGATTTTACATAGCGTCGGGCAGTCTCTACACTGACATGCACTCCATGGCTCGATCTGATGTATTCTTGAACTGCCAGAATGGATCTAAGTTTCCCCGTATCAACCTCGCGTGCAATAACCCTCTTGGTAGCAGGGGAAACCAATGAGGGTCTGCCCATTCTGGGTTTAGGAATATTGTCCTTGACGTCCCTCCTGATCCTTATTGCCGATGAAATAGAGATACCAAGACGCCTTGCCACTTCGCTTGTAGCCTTCCCTTGTCGAAGTAAGGCCTGAGCATTTTGTACCTTTTCCATAGAAAGCGTCCTCATAATAAATACTAAACGATGTGGAATGTTAATTGTAAGTAGAGGTGTATGAAGATATAGCTGAAGGTAATCTTGGTAGAAAAAAGAGAAGTGAAAAAGTTTTTTTTGCAATCAACATTGAAATTCAGCAGAAGTTATTCAATAGGCAGGTCAAATTGAAATTGGTTTTATTTCACAATGAAGTCATAATTAGGAATGAGACATGAAAGTAATCATGAGGTGTGGGGAACAAATGCACTACCCCAAATATACTAGCCACATGCTAGATGAGAATGAAGAAAAGGAATGAGAATGTTAAAAATTCAAAATCATTGAATGACTTTTGATGACCACTGTACAACATTCTACTGGAGCAAGCCTCACCAAGAGGCCTTTGAAAGACTGAAGCAGGCAGTCACCATGGCACCCGTACTCAGAATTTTTGACCCTGCCCTAGCAACTTCCGTCGAAACTGATGCATCAGGTTTCGCCATTGGTGCAGTCTTGTTCCAAACAGATCACAAGGGTGAATCGCGCCCTGTTGCCTTTACATCACGAAAGTTGAGCTCTGCAGAACGAAACTACCCAACCCATGAGCAAGAATTACTAGCTGTCGTCCACGCCTTAAGAACATGGCGATACTATTTGGATGGATCTCATTTTATTGTCTATACTGACCATGCCACATTGCAGCATTTTCCAACCCAGCCAAACCTGACTCGGAGACAGGCCAGATGGATGGAACTCCTACAAGAATACGACTTCAACTTCAAGTACAAACCAGGCAAAGACAACATCGTCCCCGACGCTCTCTCAAGGAGGCCTGACCACAAGGCGCAGGATCCCGCCAGTGAGCAGATTAACTCCATAGAAATAAGTTTGGACCCAGGCTTACGGCAGCGCCTGATAAAGTGTTACCCATATGACCTTAAGTTAGGATCACTTTACGAAAGCTGCCGCGAGGCAAGTCCCTCTGATCGTTATTTTGTTGCTGATGACCTATTGTGGATTAACATCGCTGGACAGACACGTTTATGTATCCCGAATGATCCTAACATTCGCGCTCTCCTACTTCATGATGCACATGATTCTCCCATTGCTGGCCACCTCGGCTTCGAGAAAACATATGAAACCATGCGAAGGACTTTCTTTTGGCCACGAATGGCCCGAGACACCAAGACTTACATTGCATCATGCAAACAGTGCCAGCGAAATAAACCACTGCTTCATCATCCTGCCGGATTATTCAAACCTCTCGATATACCTCTTGAACGATGGGAAACTGTCACCATGGACTTCATTGGCCCTTTACCCAAGACGAACCGAGGGTTCAATGCCATAACTGTATTCGTAGACAAGTTATCCAAACAAGTCCACTTCTGCCCTAGCCATACAACGGACACTGCTTCAGATATCGCGCGACTCTTCTTCAATAATGTCTTCCGACTCCATGGCATGCCACGAGCTATTGTATCGGACAGAGACTCAAGATTCACGGGACACTTCTGGACCACATTGATGAAGCTCATGGGAACTAAACTCCATATGTCTACAGCATTCCATCCTCAGACAGACGGACAGACGGAGCGAGCCAACAGGACCCTGGAGGAAATGCTACGATCTTATGTCTCGTACAAACAGAATGACTGGGACTTGCTCTTACCAATGATGGAATTTGCATACAACAACTCCGTCAACCCCTCCACAGGGTTTTCCCCCTTTTTCCTAAACCACGGTCATCATCCCATTGTCCCATCATCCCTCTTGAAACCACCAACAACAGATGTACCGGCTATCTCTACCTTCATTTCCACTCAAGCCTCTGCGTTGGCGCAAGCACAAGACGCAATAGCGACAGCTCAGGACATCCAAAAACGCCAAGCAGATAAAGCACGATCACCCGCCAGGTTCACTGTAGGCGATAGTGTCTTACTGAGTACGGAGCATATCACTGTCGCAGCTCACGCAAACCGACCCTCCAAAAAGTTAGAACCAAAATTCATTGGACCATTCAAAATCATAGAGAAGATCAACGACAACGCGTACAAGCTCGAGCTACCTCCAAACATGAAACAACACCCTGTCTTCAATACAGATTTATTACGACATTATCACGAATCCCTGGAGAATTTCGGCGAACGAGCACCTGCCAGACCCCCACCAGATTTAGTCGATGGCGAAGAAGAATATGAAGTGGAAAAGATTCTGGATTACAAACTATTTGGCAGAACCCCCAAGTGGCTCGTGAAATGGAAGGGATATCCTGACGAAGAAGCAACATGGGAACGGAGATCCTCACTAGTTAATGCAAAAGAAGCACTGGAGGAATTTCAAAAAATGCAACAGTGACACCAAAATTATTTTTCTCTGTTTCTTTTTTCTTTATTTTTCTTCTTTTTTTTTCTCTTCTCTCTTCCTTTCTTCTTTTACTATCTCCTTTCCTCTCTTCCTCTCTTCCTTTTACCTCCCTTCTCTGCCCACTCCAGCATGGTAACAACCGCCATTTCCTCCATCAATCGACGACGTTCCCGTGCTCGCTCTTCTACACTCACATCCTGGGTCTGCAATGCACGAAACTCAAACGCTATCAGCGAAGAACACTCTCTTATCATCGACAACCTCGGTCCCCCATGACGACTCCTCTTCCGTCGCCTCTCCGGCTCCTCAGGACCATCCTCTCCATCAACAGCTTCCCACTGTGCATTGTCACTCGTCGAACTTACAGAAGCCAAACGGACCCCAGCCCCCTCCACTCCCGACGTCGCTGAAGTACTCGACTCCACATGATCTCTGGCTTCCCTCACAGTTGGCGAATCGCCCACCTCAGGATACTCCTCCTTCGGTAGCATCCGCCCCAAGATTACAGGTGAAAGACGTGGAGACAATTCCAACCTCGTATCTAGCTCTTCCTCCTGAGGCACAGAATAAGGCTGTGTGGCGTCAGGGTCATCTGAAGAACCCTGGGAGCTTGGTACCGCCGACCGCTGTGTCAATACAACTTCAGAAAACACGCCACCAGAAGGAGCACGACCTTTACGCGGTGGCATTGGATGAGAAGCCTTGCGTGAAGACATCATGGAGACTTTTTTCCTTTTTTTGAAATAAGCAAAGAGGAATGAGGAAAGAATGCAACACGAACTCACCAACTCCATCGCCACTCATTCACCCATCCTCATCCACATGATCTGCATGAACCGCATGACCAGTAATTTTAACCAATCAGACATCACCACATCAATTTTTTTTTTTTTATTTATTATTTTATTTATTTCTCCTCTCTTCTCTTCGTTTTCTTTATTTCCATCAATTTTTTTTTCTCTTTTCTTCTTCGATTTATGATCTCCTTCATTTTTGACGGGAAGGATGCAAACGTGTTATACAATACTGACTCAAACCTTTGAGGAGGGCTCAACTATCACGCGCACCCCAGGCGCCAAGACGCCAAGCCCAAGTGCCAAGACACCAAGCCCCAACCCTATCAATTATCAGTATAAATAGTCCACTACGTTATAGCCAAATAAAGTATCCTTTGACCTTCGATTCCACCTAAGATCACCTTTGATTGTTACTATTTACACCATGTATGTGACGCACCGCCGATGATATTGACAAGTTCTTCTCGCCGCTGCTTGTCTTGAAGCCATTGCCAATACCTTCTTGTGCATTTGTGTTATCGGAAAGTTTGGGGTTTTCAATATCACGTAGGGCTGGGAATAGCAATTTACCACGAGAAGGGTTGAGATACCAATCAATCCATGGCCCAATCTTCTTGAACCTGGCACGAATGCTAGTGACAGTAGCCTCAAATTGCTTCACCGAGATTGAATCATCGAGTAACTCCATCCCAAGTTTCATGAACTCTGCACTGTCTTCTGCTGGAATTGTTGCTCCATTCCGTGCAGTCCTGTTCAGTGAGCGCTTGTAATGAACATGACAAAATTGATAGAGACCACTTAAATCAATTTCTTCATCATGAAGGCGAATTGCTTCTTTAAGGCTAGTATAAAGCCCTTTCTTTCGGCCTCCGACAAATCGCAGGTCATTCCAGGAAAGTGTTCTTTGAAATCGTCAAAAGTTTTGTATGCAAAGGATTTCAGAAAAACCAAAAAGTGCTTCTTGTAGTGCTCCTGCGATATCCCAAACATTATCGATATGGCTATTGGTACGTTCCTATTCAGAATATTGCATTTTCCTGACGTGAACGTAACGTTAATGTCTTGGAATTTCGTGTCTATTACAAATCCATGGATCGAATCACTTTGAAAGCCAGTATCAATCCACTGGCACTGTTGTTCCTTCATGAAGCTAATTTGGATGGTGATACATGTATGTGCATCCTCTGATGAAAGACTTGTGGACCTAAAGAAACGTTCCTTAACTGATTCCTCCAGCTTGAAAATGTCCCCTAGTGAAAGGTCGTTATTTTTTAAGAATGATCTCCTATAATAACCAACTGTATTGAGATTCCCAAGGGAAGGGTGAATATTTGCGACAGAAGGGCGATCAATAGTGCCGACTAGGAGATCCTTTGGTTTGGAGGCTGGGTTTACGGCGATGATATCTTTCAGTTTCTTCAACGACTTTAAACCAGGCTTCCAAAAGTGGGGTTTAATATGATCGTGTACACCTTGGTGGTATAGCTCTCTTTTGTGGTTTTGTGGTGTCGTGAGGAGAGAATGCTATGGACAACGTAGCCATGCAGGGCACATGAGTGAGCTGGACTTGGTGCAGGGGACAACTCTTTGTTTCGGGTAATGGTAGACAATGTTTCCTTCTTCCAGCTCGAGGAAGCTTTGGTCTACTGTGACACATACACCCAGGGGCCGGACAATGATACACACCCAAACAGGATTTGAAATACTTTTTTCTTCCCTTTTTCGCTTCACTGTGGCTATATGTTAACATAGCCCACCCGACATTAATATCAGAAGGACCCTCATCGGCATTCATGTCGAGAAAGTATGTTACATCTCCATTCGGAAAAAGTGGTGAATGTTCATGCATGTAACCCCTCTGAGAGTTGGAGAGGTCGTTTTTATGAGACATGTCTAGAGGGGAGAGAGACTGAGAAAATTTACCATGAGAGGATTCCAAAGTGGGAGAGAATGAACCAGGTTCTGGGGTAGAGGAGAGCTGCTCAAGTCCGGAGGTAAGAACAGAGGACGAAAGAGAGGTCAAATCATCAGTTATCCTGGTGGTCGAGGAAGAGTGATCGTTTTCTTGTGCCTGTGTAGAATAAAAAACGAAGGCAGCTAAGTAAATCATGGCCCCCTTTTTTTAATACATTATGAGTATACATATTTATGATACATACCCTTCCCTTCATGTGGAGGGTTGAGTCTTTTTCAAGGACAGGGGTGTTGTCCTTTGACCCCAAAAGAATCATAATATTTTTGTGGAGATCCAAGTCTTTTTTCGATGGGTCTAAGTGTTCAGCCACCAGGCAAAAGATCCCTGTCAAAAGAGTGAAAGCAGATTCCTTGTTGATAGAAATGTTTGACATTTTGAAGGTGTTGTAGGGTGATAGAGATTTATTGATAATTGATTCAGATGTTGCTATAGCTGGTTAGCAAAAAAAGTTTTATGGTAAGGAGATCAAACATTGTTTATTATTGTTGCTAGGTGAGAGCTTTATAGATCTATAATTAAAAGAGGATGCCCATATGGATGCACTCAAAGGAGATAACATTGGTTACAAGCCATAGTATTGAAATTGGGTATATTCTCTATGTGACTGTTAGGTGTGTTTGTAACTTCGCACACACCCAATTCAATGGCACCGGCCAGTGCTCCTATTCGGTTTAAAATTTTGTCAATTGATATTTATTTTTTTAATCTGAAACATCATAATTGACAAAATTTTAAACCGAATAGGAGCACTGTCCAGGCACCCTAGAAATTGACCCCGAAAATCTCAAGTTTGGACCCAACCTGTCGGTGACCGTTAGTGCATTGCACATAAGCCACACAGGCTGGTGACGAGCCTAAGGGTGGCCAATATTAATAATAATAAAAACTCTGGTCTTGACTTAGCGAATACCAGGAAATATCTCACTTCCTAGGGACATAAAAACGACTTTATAGACCCTTTTAGCTAGATCGTGACATATTATGAGGTCTCTCGCTCGAAAACGACACCTGGTATCAGTACTTTTATTCGATTCGAATAAGGTAAGTTCGAATGCTATTCGAACCATTGGGCATAATAGGACATGGTAATTTTTTTTTTTTTTTTTTTTTTTTTTTTATTGGGTGTAATAGTATAATGACCATACTTACGCTTCTTCATCCCAGGCCAAGTTCATTATGCTCGGTGAGAGAAATAGTCTTCTCCCTACAACGATCCAACATTTAGTAATTTTGGATTCTTGGTTGAAAGAGATTCCTTGATTGAGTCTTGTATAATTTTCTAGATAATAGTATAAGCAGCTCTCAAAGCTAGCAAATCAGATATAATACAACTCTGAACTTTAACTCACACCACTTGGCAATTCGAACCACTCAAATCACTTGAACAATTCGAGTTATGAAGGGCTCGAACCATTCGAATCGATCCAGGATAGGGCTTATTCGAATCGATTCTAATTTACCACGATTCGATTTCGATTTGTTCGAATCGAATAGGAGCACTGCCTGGTATCGCCTTTCCCGCCAATTTCTGGCGCTGCTCGTCTGCCAAAGCTTTCAGGGGAAATGTAATGACAATAATGCATACAGGCCATAGCACCAGTGGAAGGAAGTAAGTGTTTTCCCCAAGCACATCCTGCAACAAGTATGCAGACTTCTCCTCGTCCGATTGCGTCAACGACCCTGAGCTGAAATTCATTGGGGTTGAGGTGGAAAATTTTAAGGCATTCATTGATGGCAACAGAGTGGTCAAAGGTTGGTGATTGCATTGTGTTGAGTGGTTGGTATTGTGGGGCAGATGAATGATGTGCATTGAGTTAGGGTTAACTGCGTAGTTAAATAAGAAATATTTTTTATTGATGGTCAGGCTCGAAGCGAGTTATGTAAGTTTGGTATCAGATCGGTAGGAAACGAAAAAGTATTCCAAAGGATCTCTATGCCCAACATCACGAAGTTGCTTTTTTTTTTTTTTTTTTTTTGTAAGGAAATGAAGGTCATGTGCAAATACACTAACACGCAAAAACCGGGTAATTTTTTTACTTTTACTTTGCCGCGTCACCATGGATGCTGTACTCTCTGGGATAATAAAGTAAAAGTAAAAAAAATTAAAACATTCACGCGTTTTGCATGTTAGCGTTTAACGATTCAATCACGCTCAATCTGAGCCATCCGTTTCCAACCAATTGTCAGTAGTAGCAGGCAATGAGACATAGTCGATGTCCTGTGTGTCTACAACAAAAAAAAGATTGCACAAGTGCACAAGTGGGGACATTTTATAAATTTATAGATGACTTTGAACAAGCTACAGATATTTTTCAAAGCTATTGTACAGAATAAGTAAGCGCAAAACGACAGCTAAATACTAAGAATAAAAGAAATAAAAATAAAATGGATTGGTTGCGGATGGATAGGGTATCTGTTGTGAAAAGCATGCCAAAGTCGTGGAAAAGAGGGAGTAAAAAAAAAAAAAAAAAAAAAAAAAAATGCACAGAAAGAAGGACCATGTAATATTGACCATAGATAGTAAAGAAGTGTTCTCTGATATTAGCTGTAATATGAATATCTTTCCACTACTTGCTGACATTCATTCATCCACGGGTGGAGCATGGAATAATGTGAAGTTGACGAGGTTTGCCTGCGACTTTTCTTTATCGTGCCGATGGATGCGAATATGCTGATTTAAATTGTCACTGCGTGAAAAGCGTTTTGTACACGTAAGGACGGGGCATCCAAAAGCTGATGATTGTTAAAGTAAGAAGAAAAGGCAGATGGGTTACACCTTAGACTTCCCTTCATTATCATTTATAACCAAAATGATTAAAGGCAGTACGAAAAACACTTACGTTTATCTTGTGTATGCACTGATCGTATATGGCGCTTCAGATGTTCAGAGCGCTTAAAAAGCCTGCCGCAGCTCTCCATCGGGCACGTAAACTCTCTAGTCAAAATGTCCGGGTTCAGAGACGAACGGCGAGCTCGGACTTTGGTAGAGGTAGTAGATGCAGTTGTGGACGACGAGGCAGAGGAAATAGAGCCATTGGAGCTTAGTGAATTCATTGAGGCGGTCGAAGAAATTGACGTTGAAGACGCTGTGGGAAGCATTGGGGCACTGTCGACTATAGGAAGAGCTAGAGGGGCCTGTGCAGCCTCTAATAGTTCATGAGACTCTGTCATGGGATAAAGAGAACCAAGCGAGGCATGACGGGGGAAAGCCTCAAGCGGATATTCATTTGGAACTTCGAAACGTGAGAAAGTTGATTCATACAGAGATGATAGCGAAGAAGTTGAATACCCACGAGTACAACGGAAGGATTGCGAGGGACTTATGTCCACGGATTGATCAAATGCGACAACAAAGTCCTCAGCAGTCGGTGTGGTAGGAGTCCGCGAAGAAGAGGTGCCTGTATCCTGAATATCCTTTGAAGGATGAAAACATTCTGATAAAGTTTGGTGTTGTGGTGTGGTCTTGTTGCTGGCTTCATTAATACCAAATGGAGTGATTGGTGCTGGCAGTTGGAGAGGATGAATGGATGACTGATACTTGAACGTGTGAGTGGGCGTAAAGCCTGTGGTGTTATTGTAATCGTGTCCAATAGGGACCGATGAGATGGACTGGAAAGTTGGATCGTTGTTGTAGACCGAGGGGTCGGTTGTAGTAAACTGAATTGGCTTAGAAGCCATTTGTGGAAGTTGACTGAGTGGATGTGAATGTGGGGAACTGAACTGCTGAAACGGAGTTTGCAAGTATGTATGATAAGAAGCAGAACTCGTAGATTCAGAGAGAGCCAGTGAGTGCATCGCATTTGTATTCGATATGGCTGGTCTGCATAGGATGAAATAGTCTTGTGGGTAGTTGGAACTTTGAATATGTGGAGCAGAATGCGAACGACCGAGGAACGGCATTGTCATAGATGTAGCGACTGTTGTTATTTGTTGTTCATTATGGTCATACCCGGACATTGTGTCGTTTCGTTAACAATCGAAAATGTGGGGAAATAAAACTAACCACACGTGGGAACAGCTCTGCTGCGTTTTATCAGAATACTGGACAAATCAAATAAAAAAATAAAAAAAATAAAAAAAATAATAAAAATAATAAAAGTAATAAAATAATAAAAATAATAAAAAAAAAAAAAGTCGGATAAAGAGACCAGCAAGAAGGACAATAAAAACCCTAAGCCGTCTCCAAAGTAATCACCGCAGTGTCGTATAAATCGTATAAATATAGTCGAAAGAAAATTGTCCTTAAGAAGACAAAAAAAAAGTGAGGAGAAATAAACAGTGTGGGAAATATAAGTGCTAGGTGTAGGTGGACTCGACGTGGATGTGATTAAATCGAATACAAAGGGCAGTTTCTGGAAAAGAACCAAAGTTGAAGCAGTTCGAAAGATGAAGAAAAAAGGTGGACGTTTTCTTGAGAACCGGATCTCTTGAGTATTTATGCTTAAAAAAAAAGAGGAAAACACTATTCATTCAGTTCTTAAAGAATGAATGAGTTAGAATATGTTGGGTGCGGTCGACGCATTTATACATATTAATATATATATATTGAAATAATAAAAATAAAATAAGAAATAAAATAAAACGATGCAATCAATCGGGTATATTTCACAAAGCACAGTTCACTTTTTGTCCAGCATGCATGACACATTTACACAAGGAATACAATGCCAACTCTAATGGATGAGTTGCATTGAATAAAAAGTCGCTGTCAATAATACACCTCTTAATCTATTCATTTCTATACTTTCTGTATTTCTGCTTCTTCTATATTTTCTTCTTGTGTTTGATTCTGTTTTGTATTGTGTTGTGTATAGCTTTGTGCATGGAGGATGTTAAGTCTGTTTTTTTTTTTTTTTGCCTCAGTACTTTGTATACCATTTTCTCCATTCATGACTTTTCTTATCTTCTCTTTACCATGCCTCATCCCTTCTCTTCACATCGCCTATTGGTGTTCTTTGTCTTTGTGTGCATAAATGAATATATATTTAGCCTGTATGCCGTGCCTCGTCCTATGTGCGTATAAAAGATGAAATAAAAGGCACTTATGCTTTATTCCCTTAATGCAAGGCGCCTCTAAAAAAATATGAACATGAATATTGTGAATCACTCTCGTGTTCTTATTTCCTTCGTGTCGTTTCTACATTGATACATTGAGTGATCAAAGCACGCTCAAGGTTGACTAACCACCGTATGTAGTCAAAGGTCAAAGGCCCCCTTTAGCTATTTGGCGCTTTTAGGCTTTTCTGATCGATCGATCTCATGCGTGTTTGTCACGCGAAAAGGACTAAAGACACTAAACTCAAATGCCTAAGCTAGAATAGCGCACAAACTCCGCCACGCGTCGTTCGTCGATCACTCAAGATACCAAGATTTATTAATTAAAGAAAAAGAGTCAGCAAGTACCTAAAGGCACTACACGTTGTTCAACCATTGCAACCTAATGTATTTATTCGATTTGAGAAATGGAATCATCAAGAGATTCATGAAAATTCCTATTAAACCGCTACCACAGAATCCAAATCAGCAACAGAGTCTTTATTTAAGTCAGGGTAAACCTGATTGTCATCTGCGATGAAAACTAATATTCCTCATACTCTGGACCGGCGGGTTGAGCGATGTGTGTTTGGTTGCACAAACGAATGCTAGTAGGTTTCCATCTTGCATTTCAAGGAAGCTCAGGTTGATGTCAAAGCCGTATGGACCTAAAAAAAAAAAGGACAACTTAATCTGGTGACACAACACATTGAATTATAATACATCTTTAAATATAGTTTAAATATAATCTTTAGCATCTCATGCCGAGGTTTATAACTCATATTAATGCACCCATCATCCAGGCACTATGGTATTATTCAATGCATGCAAGCACACACGCATACATGTGTACAAATAGTCTGAGTGGAGAATAAAGAAAATGTTTTCTTGGTGCCGGACCCCACTTGATGACAACTTTCTCTTCTCCCCACAAGAGAAAAGTTACCCCTAAATATCGAATGCCCTGCACCATTTGATTCAAATGTACCAATCCATGAAGCAAAGCGCAAGGTTGGATTGACTCAGCACATGGGCATTAGTAGGTGTTGCCGCTTCGCATAAAACTTGATTTGAAAAAAATGCATTGACCAACCAAGAGCCTGAACTGATTATAGCCTACTTACATTTGAAAATTCAGCGCAATACGAGTCTCCACTGTCGCCTTTACAGCCCTTCACCGCCTGCAATGTAAGTGCATAAGTAGAATCAGTAAAGAACAAAGGCTGTAGTGCGTACAGTTAGATAGCCCACCCTGCCCCGGCACTGTCGATAGCAAACCACACTGGAGTCAACTGTCGCCTAGCAAGCAACTGGACTAGTCCAGTTTCGGTATGGCCTCATTCGAAGATCTTGTATCTGTTACACACTCGTTACGCACATGAAACGCGCCTGGAGGTTTTTTATTCATTTATTTTATTACTGTTGATGATACAGAGGATTTAATGCTTGAAGAGTCCACCGACTTCGTGACTAGGATTGTCCATTGCAACACCATGACCCTTGCATCTTTTCCATATAATAGCTAAAATAGTAACAAAGCATTTACAATTAAAACTTTATTCTTATTATGCCATGATGTGTTCTGTCTCCCTTCTTGAAGTTTATCTCCTTTCTTCTAGCCTGTCCCCTTTCTTGTGAGCTGGCAAGGTCAATGAGACCCTCACCCTGGTTTAAAAGTCTCCAATATGCACGAAAATGAGGGTAAGCGCTCTCGGACGAAATATCTACCATCGGTCATTAAAACCGAGCAGACAACATACTGTTAATGTGGCATAACCACACTTCACTCCTCAAAAAGACTATCCTGAGTATTGAAAGTAAATGCTCCAGTGCTATTTACAGCTGCGCGTTATTAAGGTGCTAAGGCGGCAAGTCTGATCTGTGTTCATCGAACACCATTAAATGCGGGTGATATTTTGTGACCCCAAGCGTGCTCAAATGAAAGAATAGCCAGGGCCAGTAGATGCGATTTTACCATTGATATTCATGCCTGTAGATATATCAATTTCTTGTCGCTCTAGTCCTACCAATTATTGACTACGAAGAGAGAGTTGAATTAAGGACAGGTATGGATCTTCTTACTCTACTTTGAGTTTCTACCAAAAAAAAAAAAAAAAAAAAAAGAATTGAAAGTGACAGCTCCAAAAATTTCCGCTCCTCTTTTTTTTTTTTTTTAATCTCTCATCCGCAGCAACTAGTTTTGAGCATGAACAACGACAGCATGGACCCAGAGCAGATTAGAACATTGGCTCAGCAACTGGCTCAACGGCTCATTGCGATGCGACAGACGCATCATAATCCCATTCAACATCCTGGGTCTCATTTAAGTGACATTCCTCAGAGTCAAACTGAGATGATTCCAACGACGAGTTCAGACACCAATATCTCTCAGCTTACCTTCCAATTGAACAGTTTACAGACTCAAGATGGACTAATAAACCAAACGCCTCCTTCACCGTCATTGACGTCAATAGCAACAGACCCGACTATAAAGGAAGTCCAAGTTAATACTGATGCTGATCAATACGCCTCAGTTCCTGACCCGTCTGTTTACGAAATGGATTTTATAAATACTTATCTACGCACCAACGCGTTAGTCCTCGCATTCGAAGAGACACAGCTTTTGGTAATTTGGAAGTAAGGGGAATGAAGAGGCTTAACTTTGGGATGGTATTTTTCACCCCCCATTACTAATATCACTAATCAACAACAAAATAATAGGAACATGCTTGTGAGCAAATACCCATCGACAAGCTCGTTAATGAGGCAGAAGCAATGGTCAAAGATTACCCAAACGATAGTACAGATGATATTATAATCAGGTAAACACTCGAATTGACTATTGCCTATTCAAGTATACAGCTTGTTATTGTACTGACTTTTACCTTATCCTTTTTTATTTTGCGGACTTCCTCTTTTTCCAGGCGTCTTTTGCATTGGTTCAAGAATGAATACTTCACATGGGTGAATGAACCTCCTTGCGCTAGTTGCCAGGTATGGACTAGCAACTCAGTTGTCTTTGAATAATGTCGGTGGGGGAAAGCTTGGAACATTACAGAATTAAAGGCTAATCTTCTTTTTTATTTTTTCTTTTTACAGGGGAAGACAGTTGCTATGGGACATACCACCCCGACAGCTCAGGAAAGACAGGACGGCGCAGGGATAGTTGAGACATATCGCTGCACTCAGGCTTGCCCTACTATAACTCGATTCCCGCGGTATGGGATGCCTAGAATCCTATTCAGTACACGTCGAGGACGATGTGGAGAATGGGCCAATGTAAAGGAGGATTGAATCAAGATCAAATGAGTTTATGGATTCAGTTTTATTTCATGGATTTTTCTTAATCTCAAGCTGTCTGCTGCACTTTCCTAATGTCTACTGCCGTCATAAATCTGTGTAGTGCTTTACGGTTTGTTGCAGAGCATTAGGATATAGCACACGATATGTACATGATACAACAGATCATGTTTGGACTGAAGTCTGGAGTGTCCACAAGAAGCGATGGATCCATTGCGATGCATGTGAGGCTGCGTATGATCAGCCACTGCTTTACTCGACCGGATGGGGGAAGTCCCTGAGCTACTGTGTTGCATTTTCAGGTATGGCTTTTTTTTTTTTTTTTTTTTTTTTTTTTTTAAAAAAAAAAAAAAAAAAAAAAAAAAAAGTAGGATGTTACTGGTTCGCTTCATATTATAATATAATAATATTTTTTTTCTTCTTTCTTTTTTTTTTTTTTAGCCGAAGAAGTTGTCGATGTTACTAAACGCTACACAGTTGATTACGACACTGCTGTCGTTAAAAGACGAAAATCGATTCGAGAGCCTGTTTTAGCAAAGGTGTTGGGCTGATTTATTTTATAAGAAAAAAAAAAAAAAAAAAAACTGTTGTGCTGAGGAAGACCTGGAGAAGCATTTGACTTATTCACATGTTTTTTTTTTTTTCTTTTGTATTAGTTTTTGCATCTTTTATCCGAATCGAATTTGGCAAAACTGAAGTTAGATACAACAGAAATACAATCTATTCGAGATAGACAAAGTTTGGAAGCTGAGGAGCTTTCTGGAAGACATGGCGATAACCGGACTATTGAGACACAAGAACGAGAGAGTGGTAATAGTCTTGATATTCAATGATCTTTAGGGAGGACCAACCAGATAAATGATTTGAAGTTTTCTTTTTTCTTCAACTCCTTCTTTCTTTCTCCTTGTTTCTTTTTTCTATTTCTATTTCTTTTTCTTTTTCTTTTTCTTTCTCTCTCCCCTTGTTTTCTTTTCCGAGCAAGGTGTACGCAATGTCATGGAATTGCTTCATCCTTAGGAACTAATAGGTTTTTGGCATTTTTTTTTTTTTTTTTGGATATTGTTTAGGATCAGACGAATGGACCAGAGCCCGGGGTGAAAGGCGATGAGTAAGGGGGTATCGATACGAGCGATATTACATTTGCTCTTGGACAACACCAAGTAAACACGGATATAAAGAGGGAAAGACGAGGCCCTGTAAAGTAATAGTATTGAATAAAGCGCTGTAGTTTCAGCTGTTGTATCCCGGATGCCTTTCCATAAGTGCAAGGTCAATGTACAAAAAAATAAAATAAAATAAAATAAAACACGTCTGCAGAGTTCACTGACGTGCCCCATCATCATAATGGATCTTAGATTAGATCTTCTAGTTTATCCGAGCAGACAGTCAATCCTTGTTTGACCTTTCTCCCTTCCTTCTTTCCTCTTCATAGACAAAGAAAATAAAATGCTATGATCCATAATCCCATTTTGGGCTCTCTAGAAGATGCATGTTGACCTGGGTATGTTATTGCTTTTTTTTTTTTTTTTTTTTTTTTTTTATTTTATTTTATTTTATTTTATTTTATTTTTTATTTATTTATTTATTTATTTTTTTTATTTTTATTTTTTTCCGCACCTATAAAATACTTGAACCTTTACTTCTTTGTGCTGCTATGCTTTTTTTTTTTTTTTTTTTTTTTTGACCGAAAATGAACAGCCCTATCATCCCTAAAATATGTTGTGATCATAGTAAAAAAAAGCTAAATGACTAAGGCGGCGTTTATTTCAGGGCACTGTTGCTGAGCATAGCAGGCAGACATTGATGTTGTTTAAAGTTTTTAAGATGCACTTTTTGTTTCGTACTTACGTTGTGAGCCATCCAAAAATGGATCCTCTAAACCGAAGCATTGCTCGGTTATGCTTTCTATCTGATTGAATATCTCAGCATGAATGTATATATTATGGTCATGACTTCAATCTAGAGCGATGACTGAATTGAACTGGTGGCTGATTTGTCCAACAAACAAGTTAAAGAATACGAATGTGGGTCGCGACTAAATGAACAATATATACATGCATGAAAAATTCTTTTTTTTTTAGATGCTTTTTCTTTCAGATACAGTGCAGGGCAAAGAAATGCATGCACGTTGGTTGGACACGAGGGAAAAAGAGTCGCGATGTGGTTAAGTCCTCGGGGTTTCTTTTAGTACGTTTGAACAAGCACTACACACATTGGTGACTTTTTATCTTTTTTCTGTTCTTTTTCTTTTTTTTTGAGAAGTGTGAGAAGAAAGGGAGATGTAATCCATTAACAACTGTTCTGGTATTTACTATTCGCCCATTCTTTTCCGTTTAAGCAAAAATGGAACACTTATGCAAATGGTAAAAAAAAAAAAAAAAATTACACAAATTGCTCCTTGCTTGACGCGACTTGAAAGCACTGACCTTCTGACTCTTTTGTTCAGACATTGACGGACTCCTTTTTTGTTAAAAGTGTATGACATATAATTATAAAGTATATATGATCTTTTTCCCCCACTTGTGGGAATAGCATTGTTGCTCTTGCTTGTTCTCTGCTTTTCCAACTTTGAATGTGAAGCGGGAGATATATTAAAAAGGAAAAATGCCTGTCGTTACACAAACATTGTTATAGGTGGCCCAAGTGGGTCAAACAACAAACCCATTTGGCAAACAAAAAAAAAAAAAGGCAACAACATCTGATTATTTTTTTATTTTTTTGCGGGAGGAACTTTCTGCATTATGCTACGTCTATAAGCATAAAGATAAATGCATGTATATGTTCAACCAGTTTCTGAGAAAAGAGCGTTGAAGGATTTTCACAACTAATGAACTATGCCATTAGAAGAGTTAAAAAAAAAAAAAAAAAAAAAAAAAAAAAAGAAAAGGTGCCGTTAGAGTACCCTCGTGATGATACACTGAGCTGCAGCTATGCATGAAAGGAAGGGTGGAAAGGACACATTGCCTACCAAATTTATGCAAAAAAAAAAAAAAAAAAAAAAAAAAAAAGCTCGTCTTGCATTTAAAAAACGCGCATAGATGCGCCTTTTCGCGTTTGTTTGGGTCAAGTCTTCGTAAAACTGTAACCGTTGGTCCATAGCCAAACAAATATGAGCATCCTGCGGTCCTCATTTACCAAATATCAAATATCAAATATTGAGAATAAAAATAAGTGGTATGACGAGGCGAGATGACAAGATGTGTGTGGCAGGATAATGTGTGAGGAACCTTGCTATCTTTCACGAGGGAAGGAATCAAAGACTAAAAAAGAATGTAGACAGTGGATGCTGGTCATTAGATCATGGTCCGAACTGGATAGAGCATGTGTTGCTGCTATTGCTTGTCATATTTTTATTATGACATTATTTCCGAAACTAATAGACATGTACTCGCTGTTCATTTTTTTTTTTCTTTTTCTTTTAGCCAATGGTTCAACCATTCACTCTTATGGATCAGAAATGGGACCAACAACAGGCAAGCACAGGATGACCGTGCACAAGGGCATGTTCGCTGCCCTAACTTTCCAAAAAATACACATTCATGTATACACTTGGACAATTACAATTCTCACGCTCAGGATGGCAGTACAGTACATATACAGATATTAATTTGTACTTCTCGTTGTATCAGTCAATGTCTTGCATTGACATTGTCGCTGAGAGAAGACTTTTTTTCCCTTTTTCCCTTTTTCCCTTTTTCAAGTAGCAGATGTATGATGTATATATGGTGCCCATTCGCTGTTGTACATACTCTACATAAGGAACGAACTATTTTCCAGAGCGTTCATTTTCTTTTCTTTTTCTTACTATTATTATTCTTTTATGTCATAGTCTATGTGTTCACAAAGACATGAGGACATCCAACGATTCTGCAAAAAAAAAAAAAAAAAAAAAGCCCTTCACATGGTATGCATATCAATGGCCTTATGTTAATTTTGTATTAGACTATTGGGCGCCTCTTCATGAAGCTGAGAATGTGTCGATCGCGTGATTTACAATAAAAAAAAAAATCGTCATCGTCTTGTTTCCATGATCATGTGACTGGTCTAATCAGAAAAAGGATTACATTCATATCCATGCATGTCGTAAATTTGTCAAATGATTTGCTTTGAAGGCTCAATTTGATAATGGCAATAAAATAGAACCACATGGGCTGGCGCCACTTCATCTAATCACATATAAAAAATGTATCTATAATATATATATATATAATATATACAAATGCCATTTGTTTATGATCATTAACGGTGCACACATGGGAGCGGTAATTGTTTTAATATTAAAAAGATTATTTCAACACGTGCATGACACATCAAGACGTCTGACTTGTGCCGCTAACAGCAACAAACAATGACAAGTAATAATTCGGCATGTATAGGTGCATAAATATATATATATTATCATTCATTAATTTACGATCTGTTTCGTTGGCATGCGACCTAATAGGATCCTACTAAACTTTTAACAAATGTTTTAATGTTGGGTTCATTTGTCTTGGGGATCAATTTGTCTATACTAAAGATGTTGATTGGTAGTCTTTCCTTTGCACGCCCTCCTCCCCCAACTCCTCCTTACTCAATTTTCATTTCGTACCTTTTATTATCAAATTGAAACAAAGCCCAGAGAAAGCGATGAGCTAAGGTGGAAAATAAACTAAAGAACCATTGTTGATGATTAGCATTAGATATTGACAACCGTGATAAACATGAATGAATATCGGAAGAGCAAGCAAGGATCACTACACAATTATTAAGCACCGCCTATTCCCCCTCATATTCACTCGCTAAATAGCATGGACACATCAAAAAAAAAAAAAAAAAAAAAAAAAAAAGGAGAGGCCAAGAATGGATAATCTTGCATAATGCTGCGTAAGCAAATCATTTTCTATTCTTTGTTCAGGGTCAACAATCTGGTTCGTGCGCCTGTACAAGAAAAGTAAGGGGTAAAGAAAGATCTAGTCTTTCGTGGGTAAAAAAAAAAAAAAAAAAAAAAAAAAGGTTTTAAAACAAAGGTACATCACATGTTGCCTTTTTTTTATGACACGTGTAATCTTATCCTGATCATTAATTTTTCACGAATGTGCTTACTTACTTTCAGGGTACGGATAGATTACATCTATAAAGGTGTCGTCAGTCAGTTTTACCTTGTCTCTCTCCCTCCAAAAGCCAAATCCCGATAAGTGAAATGTGCATCACATGCATGAAGAGCCAACTCAAAAAAATGGGGATCCTTTTGGTGGGATTAAAATGAATTAAGAAATAGGAGGTTGAGCATCCATGTGCCCGTCAACTTTAGATTGTTTACTTAGTCTTTTTTTTCATTTAAAACACCCAGGCTTGTGATCTAATACTGTCTGTGCTTTTAGTTTGACTAAATGATTACAGAGGAATGGGATGTAGGGTTTCCTTAAACATGTGGGTAAGATGAGTTTAGGAAGGGACCAGATGGGATACATTGATGCTTATAAACAATGAGCTCTCATGAAAAAAAAAAAAAAAAAAAACGCAGGTCGCTGCATTTATTGTCCACACTCCATTTATTGTCCGATATAGTCAAAGTATACTAAGGGGCTATTTGTCAGTTGAAAAGAGACGATCGTACAGATTAATATTTGTTGACAATCTCATTAAAATATTTTAAAACACATTTTATTATATAGCATTGCAATTTTGTAGTAACCTATTAATATTTGTAACCTTGTACTTCCTTCTATTTCGTATTTTGTGCCTCCACATCAAAGCATGTGCACATTTTATTCATCGTCGTTCTCAGCTGCGCACGAAACACGCTGTTGTTGTTAGCTCTTTCTTATGATTTTATTTTATTTTATTTATTTTTTTTTGTTTTTTCTGGTTGTTTATATCGTTTATATTTAAATGGCGTTTGGCATTGAGAGCAGCCATTATCAATTATTATTCAGCTATACTGGCTAGAAAATTAAAGTGATCGGTTTTTACATGCTTGGCCGAGTAAAAATCTTCAAAGTTCAGGTTTACAACATTTTCAAAAACAAGGGGTTAACGAATAAAAAAAAAATAAGATGCTCATGATTGTTACTACAAAGTAATATCAAACCCCCTTCCTTTTGAGGAAAAGCAAAGCGGAGAGAAAGGAGTAAAAAAAAAAAAAAAAAAAAAAAAAGTGTCGGAGAAGATGAACACATGTTGCAGCATACCTTAACAGATTTACAATACAAGCAAGCCGTGCGTCTTGGTGTGGCACCTGCTCCTTCAGCCATACACGCATAAACACATATAAATATGAAAGTTTGTTCCTTTGTGCATTATCGAATACATAGCCTTCTTTTTTCTCTTTCCTTGTTTTCTAAACCTTACAATCTACATCATTATCGATATCAAAACCACCAACTCTCACTACTCTCACAACTCTCACAACTCTCACAATTATCCTTTCAACATCATATTATTATCGTATTATAGTCGTCTTTTTCTCCTTAATATCACTGCTTAGTCGACACTCAATCTCCCACAATTTCTGATTCATATTCTTTCCTTAAAAAATAAAAAAAAAGAAAGAAAAATTCCGTCTTTCTCGTTATCAATGTCTCCACCTGCCGAGCACAATCCTTCTCTTCCATCGTACCAACATTTTCCAGTACAATCCTTAGGCACCAGCGCAATGGACTACTCCGAGTCAACAGCAACATACGATCACCACCGTCAACAGCAGCGTGATTCCTCCTCACAATCTCCTCCTGCGCCTGCACCATACTTTCGGCAACCGGGACCTCGAGCCCCTTCAAGAGAACAATCCCATTTAGATTACAATGGCAACATCGATAGTCTGACGAGGCGGCCATCTTACCCTAAACTCAACCATCATGACTCCCAGCACCTCGACCATCAGCACCATCCTCACAGATTAATGTCATATTCCTCAGAACCTAACTTGGACCTATATGGACATCAGCGGAGTCTATCGTACCATGGACATTCTTCCAGCCAGCGACAGCAAGGCTCCCAGATGTCGCCTACATCCCCAACAGACTCTTATTCTTCATATTATCAAAGTCAGCATCAGCATCATTATGCACAGAGTCATATCCATGATCCAGCGCCGGGACAAAGAGAAAGAGGAGCAGGAGGAGGAGGAGGAGGAGGAGGAGGAGGAGTAACGGCATATGAACCCATTTCGATATCAAGAAGATCGTCGAGAGACGATGTGTCTATGTCGCACTATGACCCACGAGATGAGGCATCATCAGTAACGCCAACATCAACTTCCACACCAGTACCGCATCCAGCTCATCATGGGCGACAACGAAGTGTGGGTCAGTTAGGGTCTATTTCCGCGCCTCATTATCAAGACCATTCACTTGGGTCATTCCAGTCACCATCACAACTTCACCAGCCGCAACAGCCGCAATCACCTCGATCTCCACCTTCTCCACACTCGTCTTCATCACCAACAAAACAAGACTCAATGTCGCCTCAATCACCGCCGCTAACACCTTCACCACGGGACTACCCTCAGCAGCAGCAGCCGCAGCCGCAGCAGCAACAGCAACAACAACAACAACAACAGCCATATTATACACCGCCTTTGCCTCGTTCACGAGCAGCATCGGTCGGAGGCTTCAGTAGTAGCAGTGGTGGCAGTGGTAGCAGAGTAACGTTGCACAAAGCATCGACACGCGAAGTAGCAGCCGTAGGACCAAATCGCCGGCTGGCCCATATTCTTTCAGAACAGAAGAGAAGAGAAAAGATCAATGGAGGATTTGATGAACTCAAAAGCGTCGTTCCCGAGTAAGTCATGTGTTTACATTTTTATACATTATTGATCAAGGGACATGTTTCAATTATTTTATTAACTTGGTTTCCTATTTTTGTTTCTTTGATACGATGGGTACCTGGATTTCTTCTTTGTTTTTTTTTTTTTTTTTTTTTTTTTTTTTTTCTTCTCGTTTTCTTCATCCCATGTCTTATCTACTATAGTTGTGCGCAAAACGCTGACTCGAAAGCGACTATCTTGAGAAAAGGTAAAGACTTTAGATCCTTTAAAAAAAAAACAAAAAAAAAAACTTTAACCCACAAATGCATTTTGTTTATATTACATTTTTCATTTTATTGACTTTGTTTACCCTTTTTTTCATTATTATTACCATAAATATACACAGCCGTGTCCTATATCCTACTCCTTGAAGGCGAACTGAAGAGGTACACAGGCGGATATGATCATTCATCAAGATATGATCAACCGCTTCATAACAATAACATTAACAACACCAACAGCAGTGACAACAATAGCAACCATAGTACTAATAACAATAGTAATCATAGCAACAATCAATATCATTCGGATCCCTCTTACAGTGAGCACGATCGTCAGTAATAAAGTGACATTATGTCAATCCGAACAATACATTAAAAAAAAAAAAAAGCCTTTATTCTCTCCTTCTTACTCTCTTTCTCGCTCTTTCTAGTTCTTTCTTTATAGTATACTTGTTATAGTATACATGTGTTCGTTTATATATATATATAACATATTAAAACAAATTAATATCACATTTAAATTGAGTTTGTCATTGTTGTCATTGTTTTTTTTTTTTTTTTTTTTTTTTTTTAGTCTTAAGAATACATGTCCATTAAAGTTTGCTCGTTATTCAAGATTTTTTTTTTTTTTTTAAAAAAAACTGCATGTTCCTTTAGTTGCACTGACCAAGTAACATGCACATGTTACTTACTAAGCAAAAAACATTTGGGCGAACGAGAATATCTGAAATAGCGACCGAGTGAGTCAAGCTTTTATTTTTTTGTTGTGTAAGCAAACACAGGAATGCTTTGCCTTGCATCATAAACAATCGATAATGCTGAACCGAACGTGTGTGTTATTTTTATTTTTATTTTTTTTTTTTGTATGTCTTTTAGTGACTATCGACAATTATTTACATCTTACAGCGAGTAGAAACACTCTCCCGTCTTCTGCTCCTTATGGACCTTTTTTTTTTTTTTTTTTTTTTTTTTTTTTTTTCCTTCAGGGCGAAGGTCTTGTTTGAAAAGGTGCCGGCGGAGCAGGTTGTGAAGGTGGCTGTAACAGGGGTATCGCTTCAGATGTGCCTTTAAGAGTCATATTAAGCAACCCTTGAGGCTCTAGCCTTGGATAGGGTACGGCGGCAGTAGTAACAGTGGTGGCAGGATGTTGATACATGTCAATTCCTGGTAATGGTGCTATTTCCATCCTATCACCAGGGAAAGAAAGCTCCGAAGATCGCATTAACGGACGTTGTTGATGTGATTGTTGTACATGTGTACTTGTATCACTTCCAGGAAGAGAGTCCGGCACAGAGAATGTCGCTGAATAAGTTGGTGATGGCATATAGGAGGGACTCTGGCCCTGAGAGCTGCTTCCATATTGGTGTGGCTGGAATGCACTGCCAAAAGATATGGATGATGTGTTGGAATACACCCTACTTCCAAGGTAGGAATCCCGCGGAGATGGGAACAGGTTTGATCTATTGTTGTTGTTGTTCAAGTCGGTTGAAGAGGAAGAGAAAGAAGAAACGGAGAATCCATCCAGGCTTGCTCGTAGGTTGTGTAGATGTACAAGGTCTCCATTGACGTCAGTATCTTCAGGCCCTTCAACAGTGACAGTTTGCTGCTGCTCTACATCATTGTCAGTCGATGTTTTGCCGTACACTGGCTGTCCTGCAACGGTAACCACAGACTGAAAACGGGATGTAGGAGGAACAAAATTTGAGGTTGTTGTAGCTGCTGTCTCCGTGTCGACTAGAGGATATTCCTGAGGAGCATGAACCGGACGCGGGGTTGTCAGAGGTCGAGCCACTATACCATCATTCATCACTCCAAGTTCCTGATAGGGATACTGAGCATAAGTATGAGCATGAGCTTGTATTTGGTAAGGGTTCTGATTATAGAGCTCCAAGCTCGCACCTCTTCCTGTTGTGGCATAATTTTCAAAATGCTCGGGGGCTGGCCGCTGCTGGGGAAGCTCGTAATTCCTATCAGTCCCGGCATCAGTACTAGCACTAGTCGCAATAACTGTGCCAGGTCCCGATCCAGACCCATGGTTATCCTTCATATCAGGGCTATTATTGCCACCATTATTGAGCCGATTGCTTCTGCGCTCACTATGTAGTTCATCTTCATTCTTGAGTACCGCTCCCTTGGCAAGTCTGTCTTCTTCCTCGAAACGGCGTAGTCGATTCTTTTTCTTTCGAATGTAGTAGACACTCCCTCCTCCGAACAATAATACGAGTACTACACCACCTACAATAAGCCCAATCATCAACGTCTTTGTTTTTTTGGGGGGGATAAAGATATTCACAGTGTTCCCCCATTGTTGTGCTTTCCCATCCCAGACATGGATCGATTGGTCAAGGAAGTTGTCGAGGGGAGAGCTGGGACTATAGTCCAAAGTAGTGACTCCGCCATGGAGAAAGACTTGGTCGCCCTGTCCAATCCTGACTGCACCACGGAAATTGGTGTTCCTAGGCCCACTATCGCCATTTGGGATTCCCGAAAGAGTTGACACAGAGTTCTTATCAGCATCATAAATTTCCACCCGCTGTTGCTGGGTGTCGCCAGAGCCACCAGAATTTCCGGGAAAGATACTCAAGGCAGTACGAGAAACCGCATAAGCAACCGACCCTCTGGTTGGCTTGGAAAGCGTCCGTGAGTTTCCAAACATGACGATTGCTAATATATTCCGGAGAGTAGTTTTATAGTTTTATGTTCGTGATTAGAAATTTGAAATATTCAGGTGAATAAAAAAAAAATAAAAAAAAAAAAAAGCAAAAGCAAAACCAAATGATTTACTGTTCGAAGGAGCCTGCTGAACTGGAAAAGAGGTCACTGCGTCCCAATCCTGGATTTGTCCAGTGACCAGAGTGGAGTATCCGCCTAAAATAAGAGCACGTCCATTTCCGTAATGATCTTCTTCTGCATCCTTGTCCTGTCCAAGAATCGCCAGGGTATAGTGGCGGAACCCAGGAGGAGGTAAGATGGTTGTTACTCCATTGCCTGGGACGGGGCCCCATCCACTGGATGAGGTAGATGAGCCCGGAGGCGTTGTCTGAGGGGTTCCAATGGCCAATGTGATGGTCCAAGTGTTGGTGTTAAGGTAATATGGTTGAGGCTGACTGTTCCAGGTCAGCGTACACATCACTAGAGCCGTAAATCCGTCTGCTAAGATCCTGGATTGGATATAAACTGGATTCAAGAACACATTGGAAGGGACGTTCGGACCAAATTTGAGGGTTGTACCGGGTGTGGTTGTATCACCCCATGTGGAGCTAGCGATATTATAGACCAATATTTGGGAACTGCCACCGACGACGACTATACGGCCGTCATCCGTTGCAAAGCAGTCAGTCCATGCAGGTGTGGCTGTGGGTGTGTCTCTGGAGAAGGTCATTGTCAAATTATTGATTTGGATGGACACAGGAGGACTGGGTAGGTCGAGCCAAGGGAGGGTTTCTGGATTCACATTAGTGCTGAAAGGCAGTTTTAGGGATGTAAAGGTCGCATAGCTAGAAGACATTGGAGGCGTGCCTCCTAAGAAATAAAGCACGTTCCCATGCTCGACAATGCAGTGACCTGCTCGTGGTCCAGGGCCTTTTGACTGAGCATGGACCAGGAGGGAGGAGTGGCGATGATTAGGAATTAAGGTGAAGAGCACTAAAAATATAAAGGCATATGCTGTGCCAAGGCGAATGCGCCGTGAGCGTAAACATTGGCCTCGAGGCGGTCTAAAGGTATTCATAAGGAAGAGAGCAGTGCTGAAAGACAAAAAAGAAAAGAAAAGAAAAGAAAGAAAAAAAAGGAAAAGAGAGATTCAATGGATTGACGGGAGCACCAGGTGTAAAGGCAGAAAAGGAAAAGAGGAGGAGAGCGGAGAGAGCGGCAGGGGGGCGCAGAAGGATCGAGAGAGGGGGGGAAAAAAAAGAAGAGAAGAGTAGAAAAGCGAGAAAAACAAACATGGCTGAGTATATTTTCCCCCCTCTCTTGAGAGCATTGTGGAGAGGAGAAAACATAGGCAGCATCCAATCATGGGGACTGAGGGTATCGGGCATGCCAATAGGAAATGGCATAAAGGCGGATGGATGTGTTTGTTTGGGTTCACAGGATTATAGAGTTACAAGGTTAGGAATGGCAAAAAAAAAAAAAAAAAAAAAAAAAAAAAAATGAACCGGAGGACACAGAGCACAGAAGCAGAGCCGAAGAAATGTGTGGAAGGACACGGCGCGTTCCTAGGCCACATGTACCACGTGCCAAGAAAAAAGCTACAAGAAGTGACAAGAGGCGATGGAGCAAACGCGTATAGACAATGATGTATGCTGCAACATATTCGCGTAGTAGAGTGTCATTCAACACGTCACATTGTCGCGCGATTCGTTGAAATTGGAATAAAAAAGATCTACCCTGCTTGTTGGTAGATGTGTTGAGCTAGATCATGTAACCAATAGCTCGGTTAGATGTATATTTTAGTTTTTATACTATTTATATCTCTGTAATCAATTAATTGATGAATAGGATTGCTAAGCCAGACTAAAAAAAAGATTGCACAGCAGGATTCATAAGGTAAGGAGCTTCTCATTGGAGCACGTTGCCTGGTTTTAGTGTCGAGTAGTCGGCTATGATGCAGACAATTCGGATATTGACAAACGAGTTCTTGCATGGATGACATCAGTGATATAAAGAACAGATAGGACAAAGAAGGAAAGGCGGATGTACTGTGTCAGCACTTCTTTTGACCACCCTACTGCCTTTTGCAGTTCTATCAGGATGCCAATAAAAAGGGAAAGTGTATAAGAAAAAAAAAAGCGGTAGATCTCATAATTACATTTGATGCATCACATTTTAAAAAAGGGCTTCTACTTTGTTTAAATGCAAATGCAACAATGTGGACGAGGCAATTTGATTCCTCATTGGTGCAACGCAACTCGAGTGTCCTTTTTACCCTAATGGACATGAATTTTTTTTTTTTTTGCTCTTGTCCCTGTGTCACGCACACTTTTTTTTTTTTTTTTTTTCTCTTGACTTTAAATCATTGGAATGAGAATAGGATACGAATTTCTCTCTCTTCCTTTCTTCTTTTCTTTCTTTCTTTCTTTCTTTTCAACATCATCCCTCTCTTCTTCTCGCTTTATCCTCTGTCTTTACTCCACATATCCCTGAATCTCTCCACTATTTGATTTGTTTCATTGGACCTGGCTAGTTTTTTTTTTTTTCTTTTTTTTTTGTAAGAAAGTTGTCCAGAATTATGTGTTGCCTACTTTTGAAAAAGTTGATGGGATAAAAATGAACTTTACTTGTTACCTATAGCATGTCTATGACAATTGCTTTTTTTTTTTTTTTTTTTTTTTTTTTTTTTTTTCTCTTCATTCTACATTGAATGAAAAGGAAGACATTGCTTTGTTGTGTTTCTCATTACTTTTTTTTTTTTTTTTTTTTTTTAACGACACATTCAAATGCGACTTTGAAGCAATTCCAGTTATTGAATGGCAAAGGAGGTGTTTTGGTTTGACTAGGAAAGGGGGATGGTGGCGGTGGCTGCTGACTTTACTATTTTTCCTTCCAGGCAGATCGTGAAAGATAGACAAAGTTGTTGTTTTTTTTTTCTTTTTGAAACATGCGACTGGGTTCCAACTGACGAAGCAAACGAAATTTGATCAGTCCTGAGTGAAAATAAAAACAAGGATTACTTACTCCTTTTTTTACAATCTTTGTACTTTTCTCATACATCTCCCCCCTCCTTCATTAATAGATCTAATTATTCGACCGAACCTTGATCTTCAACTACTACATAACACAGGCGTATACATCAGTACAAAATTTGTTTGTGAATATATCCAATGGGTCAGACACTTTCAGCACCTATCACAGAGAAGCACTCGACTTCGGGTCACGATGAACGTCTTGCTTATGGCGCGTCATCTATGCAAGGATGGCGAATCTGTAAGACCACGACCTGATGTGGAGGATGCAAGCTTTCAATTATATTACATGCATAATATACGTTCTAAATTTGAGCCGCACGGTCTTTTACAGAAAGCTTGGAGTCCTTTTGTAACACTACTTTTTTTCTTTTCGTTTCTATATATATATAAAAAAAACTAGCAATGGAGGATGCGCACACAACCTTGCTGCAGTTAGAGAACGCCCCCAAAGGAACTTCCTTTTTCGCCGTTTATGATGGTCATGGAGGTTAGTTGCCCAATTTTCTTAGAGGCAAAAAAAAAAAAAAAAAAAAGTTTGTTTGCTTGCTTGGGAAAGAAAAAAATTCTTTCTAATAAGGCTTGATGTAACAATATTCGGCTTATTCGCAGGTCCTAATGTTGCCATGTTTAGCGGGGAGGCTTTACACAAGAAGATCGTGGCTGATTATGCCTTCTCGAAGGGTGATTATAAAACTGCAATCAAGAATGGATTCTTGGAAATGGATCGTGCTCTTCGCCATGGTAACACCTTGAGCTATTATTGATGACCACCTTACTCAACCTTTTTTTTTTAAGCTCTCATTTTAACCATTTTGGATTTTTTTTTTTTTTTTTTTTTTTTTTTTACAACTCATTGACCAATTGTCAGATCCCGAGTATGGCTGCGATTCATCTGGATGCACCGCCATTACTGCAACCATTACAGACAATAATATACTCTATGTGGTAAGCGCTATTTCATCTTGTTTTACGGACGATGATAAGAAGTTTCGAGGATATTTGGAATTATAGTATGTTGATATAGATTTTAATGATTTTCCCTTTTTTTCCTTTTTTCCTTTTTTCTCTTTTCTTTTATTATAATAATACGGATCTAATTCTATCCAGGGAAATGCCGGTGATTCTCGTGCCGTCCTTGGCTCTAATGGAACAGCTATTGCCATGTCGAATGACCACAAACCAATGAACAAAGGTATAGGATGCAGTATTTCTGTTTACAGTGCTGCTTTTTGTTTATTTTGTGGTAATATCAATCTACAAATCAGGTCCCTCGTCTAACCACCGATCTTTTTTTTTTTTTTCTTTTTTTCTGCAACCTTATAGCGGAAGCAGCTAGAATCGTCGCTGCAGGAGGGTTTGTTCAATATAACAGGGTAAATGGAAACCTTGCATTATCACGAGCGTTGGGTGATTTTGAATTTAAGATGAATGCGATGCTCGGACCTGAGGAACAAATCGTCACTGGTAAGTGTTTTTTTACTATAAGGCAGGGATAGCCTTTTTTTTTTTTTTTTTTTTTCTTGTACATGAGTGTATTTCACAAAAAAAAAAAAAAAAAAAAAAAACTGATTATCATTTATATACATTTATACCAACTACCAGCTAATCCAGCCATCAGGGAGCATAAAATAACGGATGAGGACGAGTTTTTAGTCCTTGCATGCGATGGTAAGACTTTGCAGAAACCCTTAATGTTTTTCTGGCTTGAGCTTTTGTTGTTGTTGTTGTTGTTGTTGTTGCTGTTGTTGCTATTACTCACAATGCGATAAACTGATTTGGAAACGGATAGGCATTTGGGATTGTATGAGTTCTCAGGATGTAATAACTTTTATCCGCAAGGGTATTGCCGATAAAATCCCTCTGGAAAGAATCTGCGAGATGACTATGGATCATTGTTTGGCATCTGATTGTGATATGGCATACGTTGGCTGCGATAATATGACTATTATTATTGTGGCATTTTTAAATGGAAGGACTGTTGAAGAATGGTATGAGCATGTCAGCAACCGCGTTGCTGTACGATTGGGCCCAGAAAACCCCTCGGAGAGCCGTCCCAATGGAGACGAAGATCCCGATGGCACGGCTGGGGATGGTCAACTGTTGCCACCGCCATCGAAAGCGGAGAGTCACCCACTCTATTATATGGACAATGTAGATATGGAGTAGGGTCTAAGAACGGGGGGATAGTGTACCCAACCGATCTGTATCATCAATCATTTCATCGGGCATATTGTTCATCATTTCATTACTTTTTTTTTTTCTTTTATCATATTCAGTTTCACATTGTACTGTGCAAGCATATCCATGGTATCTTATTCCAATATTCAATATCCACACATGTACCCATATCAAAAGCTTTCAAAAAAAAAAAAAAATGCAAAAGCTTCATCTCTTCATTCATGTCGCCAACTGAACAGCTTTAATAGTATTAATAAAGGAAAAGAGATTATCTTGTATCATGTTCGCACAGGCTTAATGAACGAAACAGAGTACATAAATGGCAACATGGGTCCTTTGAAGTGCCATCGAATACCCTCCTCTACCTTCTCTTCAACCATATCCTTGTACATTTTAAAGGAATTGGAGTAAGGATATTCCTTAAACTCCGTAAGATGGAGTCCATTGGCAACGAGGGGGCCAATAACGTCTGCAAGGCCCCAACAGAATTCAATGCTCGGGTTCTTATTTTGAAAATCCTGGATACCAGTCGCATACTTGAGGTTCGGCATGAGCTCATCACCATCCTCAGGTGCAGACAATGCGACGTAGTCATTGACGCCGCCCTCCTCATGAATAGGGTTGCCTTGGCTGGAATATGGATACTCATGAACTAAGTCCGGATTGAAGATGTAGGCTGTTGGATGGAATTCGATCAGATGATAGCGTCCTCCAGGTTTTAGAATTTTGTTCACCCCTGCGGCATATTTCTGAATAATAAAAAAAAAAAATTAACAAGTTGTTTTGTTACAAGAGATAGATCAAGCAGTAATTTTTATGCCGCAGGTTTTTTTTTTTTTTGTATACTACCTTCAAATCTTTCAACCAATTGATGACACCGTAACTTGCAAAGACCATGTCGAATTGGTCAGGGTTTGTGACATCAAAATAATCGAAGATGTCGGCTCGAATAAATGTAGCCTCGATACCGGCATCCTTGGCCAGCTGGGTGGCAAACGCAATAGCTGTGTCACTGATGTCGATGCCGACAGGGTTCTGTGCACCTAATGTGGTGACGAGACTGAGGGTATCCTGACCAGCATTGCATTGCAGATGGCAAACTTTGAGACCAACTAGATTCCCAAGAATGTCTTTTTCTTCCTTGTAGAGCGTCGAGCCCTTATTCTTGAAAAAGAGGTGTTGGTCTACCTTGTGGCTGTTATGGGCGATGACAGCTTCGTTCCAGGATATGCGGTTCACTTCATGAGGGTTAATGCAGTTATTATTGCTTGTGGAGGACATTGGTAGTAAAGATTGTATGTCAAAGGAGGAGAGGAGAGTGTTTTTTACAGGACAAGGGAGGGAACGACTCTCTATTTCATTTGTTTTATACCAGTTCTAACACCCATTCTGGTGACTGTAGTTGCTCTGAGTTACTTTTTTTTTTTTTTATTTTTTTTTTGCTCCATTCAGGTCCAATAGCCGCTTCCTTTAAGCTTATTCGATTTATCCAGAGTCCAAGGATTTGAGCACCGTGGACACTCTGTGACAAAAAGCGAAGGCGTGGGAAGACTGGCTTTGCAGCTATTGGTATAAAGTTGTGGTCTATTTGATTCTGTATCCTGTTTACTCTTTGAAAAAATACATTCCATCTTTCTACTTTTGAATCTCATCCTGTCATGAAAAAAGAAAAAACTAGCCCTTGCATCATCGATTGCGATCCCGGCATTGATGACACCTTGGCCATTCTCCATGCTATGGGGTCACCCAAGGTGGACGTCAAGGCTATTACTCTCACCTACGGCAATACAAACCTGAATAATGTGACCAAAAACCTTTTCACTATCCTTCATATCCTCGGCAAAGAAGTGCATCCTGACCGTTTGGCGACACTGCCTGATGGACCCAACAAGGACCGATTGGAACAAATCAGGCACAAGAAACCCGTTATTTCTGTTGGTAAAGGAAATGAAAAAAAAAAAAAAAAAAAAAAAGCCAGAAGTAATATTTGAAATGTTATATACTATCCTCCCAACGAATTCTGATAAATTGAATGGTGATTTTGCTTTACTATAACAAATTTAGGTGCAGTAAAGCCCTTGGTAGTGCCTACACAGTATGGTGAGGACTTTCATGGGCCTGATGGGTTAGGGAAACTGCATCTGAGTGATCCAGACCTTGCACCAACAGACTGGGCCGAGGTTCTTGGATTGTTGGATCCAGATAGGCTTGGAGGAAAGATGGAGGCAGTAGCAGGAGAAGGTTTACCGACTGAAAAGCTGTTCACGCTATCCAAGACACAGGCTCATCTTGAAATTCTGCAGCAGTTGGCAGAAGCTGAGCCTCATACGATCACGATCATCGCACTGGGGCCTATGACTAACCTAGCTTTGGCCTATGAAAAGGATCCCATTACTTTTGCTCGTTGTAAACAGGTCATTTGTATGGGTGGATGCCTTGATATGCCGGGGTAAGGAAGGAGAAAAAAAAAAAGAAAAGTTTTATCTGTAATGACCTCCACAACGTCTCTTGCCTGCTTACCTGGTTGATGTGATGGACTAACGATGTATGTAAAACATTCCGTTGTGTAGAAATGTCACTCCAGTGGCAGAATTCAACTTCTTTTCTTGCCCTCACAGCGTTCACACAATCCTACAGGCAACAGTCAACAAAAACCCAGCGAAAGCTATCAAATTATACATGCTACCGACTGATGGTTCGTTTTTTTTTTTTTTTTTTTTTTTTTGTTGTTGTTTATCATATCTTCACATTGCTGGCGTATAAATAAATAGAAACTACCTACAACTAACTCTTTTCTTCTGCATTGTTCACTTTTTTAATAGTTACTCATCAAGTAACATTCAGGTCTTCAGTTTTAAAAAAATACGTCAAACCCCTGGATACACCTCTCTCTAAATTCTCAACAATGTTACTTGAATACTTATTTGATTTGTTGGCTGAGAAGTTGCATTATAAGTCTATGAATCTACATGACCCTTTATGCATTGGATTCTTTATGGATCTGGAACATGAGGACGACCTCACTGAAGTGGGCTGGCATATTGAGGAATGTGACATCCGTATCGAGAGCAATGGTTCGTTGACGCGCGGTATGCTGGTAGTGGACCGGAGAAAGAAAAGTACCAAGCCTGCACCAGGTGACATGTCACGTACACATGTGGTCCTCAAGGCTCATCCTAATCGTTATTTGAAATCCATGCTGTATGATATCTGGGGTGTCACTAACTACTTTGAAGATTACGAGCATGAAAGCGAGTAACATTATTCATCCTGATGGCTGTCAATAATCCAGTTTTTTTTTTTTTTTTTTTAGTGTAAATTCTCCAATAAAGTTTTTTTTCACACAGAGCACAGACTCGACTCGGATATTCGGGCGACTCAAGCCAAATATATTCAGATATTAATGCTTCTCACGTGACTATGTTTTTTAACTGTCCTGCAAACAACAAAAAAAATTACACTGACATCAATTTTCGATCTTTTTTTTTGCCATTCTCTCTCGGCGTCTTTTTTTTTTTTTTTTTTTTTTTTTCTTCACTTCTTCTCCTCTTTTTACTCTCATACACGAATATTGTTCTGACATGTCTGAAAATCAAGAACTTACCCGTGTGGCCATTGTCAACAATGACAAGTGCAAGCCAAAGAAGTGTAGGCAGGAGTGCAAGAAATCTTGCCCTGTCGTCAAAATGGGTAAGGCAGCAGCATATGCATGGCAGCCTGCTTACTCATGAAGCAATGGTTACCATCACCAATTCCAACATCCTTGAGGGACGGCTATGTAAACACTATATGATTCCTCAGCAATACAATTCTCAGTAATCGCGAACACTTTCCAATGCTAAACGTAATCAATGTGGATGACATTTTGCCCAAATCCTTACCTGTACCTCACACACACAGTTGCTCTTCTGTTGTTTGTCCTTCCACTTTCCCTCTCTCTTCCACGCCCTATCTATCCTTTCACTTTTCTAAGCGAAGTAAAACAAAACAGAACAAAGCAGAGCAAAACAATACAAAGCAAAAAAAAAAAAAAAAAAAAAAAAAAAAAGTGTATAAGTTTAAAAATCACAAACAGGAATGCTAACTAGAAACTATGACAACATGGGATTATTATAGGCAAGCTGTGTATTGAAGTCACTCCAGCCTCCAAGATTGCATTTATCTCAGAGGATCTCTGCATTGGTTGTGGTATTTGTGTGAAGCGTTGCCCTTTTGGTGCCATTCATATCATCAACTTGCCCACCAATTTGGATAAGGAAGTTACACATCGCTACTCTGCCAATTCTTTCAAGTTACATCGTCTTCCTGTCCCCAGACCTGGTCAGGTTCTAGGATTGGTTGGAACGAACGGTATTGGTAAATCTACCGCTCTCAAGATTCTTGCAGGAAAGCTCAAGCCCAACTTGGGTCGCTTTGAAAATGCGCCCGAATGGCAGGATATCTTGAAACACTTTCGTGGATCTGAATTGCAGAACTACTTTACAAAGATCTTGGAGGATAACCTGAAGGCTATTATTAAGCCTCAGTATGTTGACCATCTGCCTAAGGCTGTTTCTGGAAAGGTTGGTGAACTCTTGGAGTCAAAGCAGGAGTTGGACAACCGTCAGTTGATGATTGATAACCTTGGTAAGTTTTGGTTGTTACACTGTGGTCATGTCAAGCGATAATTGGTTTGTTTTGATAATGTATTTGCATTTCTCATCCTCATCATTCTTTTTTTTAAAATAGATCTCAAGGAGATTTTGCAACGTGAGGTTTCGCAGCTTTCTGGAGGAGAATTGCAGAGATTTGCCATCTCGATTGTGTGCATCCAAAACGCTGATATGTAAGTTCTTTTCTCCAATCTTGGGACAATCGCCGCAGTAGAATTTTTCTTTTATTATTTTAGCCTCAGACATGCTAACGTCATTGGTGGCTCATTTTGCTTTTTCTTTTTTTTTTTTGTGCCTAGTTATATGTTTGACGAGCCTTCGTCCTACCTGGATGTCAAGCAGCGTTTGAATGCAGCCAGGACTATCCGTTCATTATTGAAGCCTACTTGCTTTGTCATTGTTGTTGAGCACGATTTGTCAGTTCTGGACTACCTGTCAGATTTTATTTGTGTTCTTTATGGTGTTCCTTCGGTCTATGGTGTTGTTACTCTTCCTTTCTCAGTTCGTGAAGGTATCAATATTTTCTTGGACGGAAAGGTCCCTACTGAGAACTTGCGTTTCCGTGATGAATCCTTGACCTTCCGTTTGGCCGAGACGGCTGATGAGCTTCAGGATATGCCAAATCATCGCCGCTACAAGTACCCTACCATGACCAAGACTATGGGAGACTTCAAGCTGAACGTCCAAGCTGGTCAGTTCACAGATTCAGAGATCATTGTCATGTTGGGAGAGAACGGTACTGGAAAGACTACCTTCATTCGTCTCTTGGCTGGTATTCTGAAGCCTGATGGTGACCAATATGTCCCTGAACTTAATGTGTCGTACAAGCCCCAGAAGATCGCACCCAAGTTCCCGGTAAGCAAACTTAGTCTTATTGGTGTTTGAAAAAATCGAAGCTTTTCTTTTTTTTTTATTTTTTATTTTTTATTTTTTTATTTTTATTTTTATTTTTTCTAACGACATCTTTTTTTTTTTTTTTTATTACTGCTATTTTTTTTAATTGTGGTGAATAATTATAGGGTACTGTGCGTATGTTGTTCTTGAAGAAGATCAAGGCTGCATTTATGCATCCTCAGTTCAACACAGATGTCTTGAAGCCACTTCAGACTGAAGCCATTATCGATAACGAAGTCACCAACTTGTCAGGAGGAGAATTGCAGCGTGTTGCCATTTGCTTGGCCCTTGGTGCCCCCGCTGATATTTATTTGATTGACGAGCCCTCTGCTTACTTGGATTCGGAACAGCGTATTATTGCTGCTAAGGTCATTAAGCGCTTTATTCTCCATGCCAAGAAGACGGCCTTCATTGTGGAGCACGATTTCATTATGGCTACATACTTGGCAGATCGTGTAGTTGTCTATGATGGTATTCCTTCTGTTGAGGCAACTGCGACCTCACCTCAGAGCTTGTTGACGGGTATGAACAAGTTCTTGTCTTCGCTCCAGATCACATTCCGCAGAGATCCTACTAATTACCGCCCAAGAATCAACAAATCAGAATCCGTGAAGGATAAGGAACAGAAGGCCTCAGGAAATTTCTTCTTCTTGGAGGACTAAAAAAGAAAGAGTGTACAGATTTTAGTATTTCAGGACTAGTATGACATACTAGTACTAGTACTAGAGTTGAGTACTAAAGTTGGAAAAATTTATTGATTTTAGTACTCCTGCGTACTAATGTTGGAGAATTTAGTATATACTTCAGTGCGTGGCTGATTTTTTTGTCACTCTTTAGATGCATGTCACGGGAAAGATGTCTAGCAAACATACAAATCCCTTTCCACAATTGCAAAGTGTTCACAAACCCTACCTGTTGTCGAATTCTTCACACATAAACAAATTGTATATACAAACTAACTGAGGACGGTATTAACCGAACTATTTATACTTGCTATAATGATCAGAACCAAGTAAACGTCCGAACAGACCTATCCAAAAACGAGGGAGCTTGTCGCTCTCCTTCAAATATAAATGGTTTACTTAACAAAAATCTTATAATTGAGAAGGACCAACAAAAAAGAGCAACAAGCTGCAAATAATTCAAAAAACCACTTTTCTCTCCTGGTCTAAAATTAGAAATTAAGTTTGCCGCACAAAACTAATGTAAAAAAATGGACTTACAAGACTTCGACAGCTAGATTATCAGATTATCGCAAATAGTAAAATAGGCTATTGCTGGATGTATATCGACTATAGAAAAAATGGATGAGGTATCGGGACTAGCAGAAATCAGCCGCCTATTACATACAAAGGAAGGAAAAAATCTGTAGAAAATAATCTGTAGAAAAAAATCAGCAGAGACCATATATCAAACTATACCATCACGATGCACTATGTTCACCGTTTACTTGCCTCCACTCTTTTAGCGCATCTAGCCCCATTTACCATTTTCATTTTTTACTCCCTGCCTACAAAAATGCAAAACACCTTTCCGTCCCCTTTTTTGCTAGAGGTATGTTATCGAATCCATACAGATAAAAAGATCGTATTGACTTTAGTATCAAGTGTCCAGTATGGTATACTCGTACTGCGTACCAAATTAACGAAGGTTTAGTATAACATACTCATACTGCGTCTAGTATCACTTCATCAGAAAAAAGAGCGCTCGGGACGAGGGTGAAATTGATATTAATATGCATTCATGGGTTCCATCCCTGCAATGCTCCCAGAGTGCCTGAGTACTCTATATACGTACATCCGCGTTCTCAGGAATCATAGAGACCAGATGGTCTATACGACAGGTTTTGTGAAGAGGGATGGTGAGTTTGGATACTTTGCAGCTGTGGAAGCGGGATTGTTTTTGTTATTTTGGTACGCAGTACGAGTATGTCATACTAAATTTTCGTTATTTTGGTACGCAGTACTAGTATGCCATGCTAGACACCTGATACTAAAATCAATACGATCAAAAAGAAAAAAAAAAAGCATAATGGACCAACCCCCAACCCTGTACTCTCAATCTTTCCCTATATCTCCCCTTCACCTTCTTATGCTTGGAGAAGCATGTTTTGATTAGACAAAAGCGAAGGAAAGCTGCTTTTACTTTATACAGTTGTACAGTAATTAGTACTATTTTTTATTCGCTGATGATTTTTGTGCTGTTTCCCAAGGTGATTAGAATATTCATTCATAACCTCATATCTTTTTTTTTTTTTTTTTTTTTTTTTTTCAAGAAAATGAAATAATTAAAATAAAATAAAAAAAAAATCATAACTCATAATATATTAACATTAAGAGCTTAAAAAGTTTGTTGAGAGTTTGTTTATTTTTTTTATTTTTATTTTTATTTTTATTTTTTGATGCCTAATGAATGTCAAGGTTGTTTATATATGCAAGCTGAATTCTCCTGTTTTTGGGTCCAAATGTCACTTAAAGCCCTCCCATGCGAATGGATTCCTTTTCAATCTTTTTTTTTGTGTGTCCCAAGGTGTGTTGGTGAAAGAAAAGAAACAAAAAAAAAAAAAAAAAAAAAAAAAAAAAATGGTGCCCCTGATATCTATTGATGATTTTTTTTTTTTTTTTTTTTATCCATCTATCTTGAATGATTTCCTGTTTCTTTCTCCCTTCTACTTTTTCTTCATTTCCTAGGCAACTATATGAGGAAGCAGTGTCATTTCAGAGCTTTATTGGATCCAGCGGCTCAGCTAACATATTCTCATAATCCGTCGCCCCATCCAGTTCCTCGTCCAGTTCGCCAATGATTGCTCTATCTCCCCGCACACACACACACACACATATATATATGTAAAAAAAAAAAAAAAATGTTAGTGACATTGATGATGATCAGCGTGGATACTTCTTTTTCCTTAAAATAAAATAAAATAAAATAAAATAAAATAAAGCTGTTATTTGAAAATATAGAGTTATTACATGGTCTCTCCACGAATGACATATACACCGATAGGTACTGACTTCATGGGTTCTGTTGATGAAAATATCCTTTCATGTGTTTGTCCGAGAATAACGTTTGCTGCTTGATCATATCCCATCAATTGACCCTACCGGAAGGAAAAAAAAAAAAAAAAAAAAAAAAAAAAAAAGGTAAATAAGAAACTGAAATGAGGAGCCAAAAACAAAAAGCCCTTTTTTTTTTTGTTTTACTTCTTCATATGGTATGTGATCTTTGCAAAAAAAAAAAAAAAAAAAAAGAAAAGTCAACGTACAACAAGTGTGCGACCATCTGTGAGGTACACGAATACTGGACCTAAAATTAAACGAAACGCGAAAGACAAGGCAAAAAAAAAAGGTTGATTATTATCATTCATCGTTCATCGTTCATCAAGATAAATCGTTTGATCCCTCGATAACGAGAATATGACGCGTCTTTTTCTTCTTATTCGGTTTTTGGGCCGTTGTTTATCCTTACGTTCGACAAGAGATTTTAATTGGTCAGACATCTTGCCTGCGATATAATGTGTTAAGAAATATCGACCTTTTTTTTTTTTTTTTTTTTTTTTTTTCTTCTTTTATCGATATTATGGAAGTTCGATGAATGTTGTTGTTGTTGTCTGACTGGCTTGAGGTGGGAGCGGCAGTTGAAGAGGAAAGAAGAATGGAGAACTGTCTTTTTTTTTTTCCTGGTATCTTGATGTTGCTCTATTGATATTCCTCTGAAGCTGGCTCCTTTGTTTCTTTTTTTATTTTTTTCCTTTGTTTGCAAATGTTTCTTTGCTTTCCTTTTTAAGAAGAAGAAGAAGAAGAAGAAGAAGAAAAAGGGTAATAAACAATAATAAAAAAAAAAAGAAGGCTTGCTGATGAAATGTAAAAAGGTGCGAGAATAATAAAATGGAGTATAAAGAATAGAATGCATGCAAGTCCTTTTTATACTGAGCACCCAAACCGCGGAGCAAAACATGCAAAGCCACAGTGCACACCAAAAAATTATATGCATCTGTTAGATGTACATTTTTGGCAATCAGGCAGAGTCCATTTGCCGGCAGACATTACAAAAAAAAAAAAAAAAAGAAAAAGCATTCGATCGTGTCTCCTTTTCTTTTCTTTTCTTTTCTTTTCTTTTCTTCCTTTCTCCTTTTTCTCTCTTGTACAAAAACATTCCTCCCCTTTCCCTTCATATCACTTTTCACCAAACTTGGCATCCTAAGCTTCTTTTTCTTTTTCTTCTTATCATTCAAACCACATTTACATTGGAGGAACAACATTAGCTTAAAATAAAAAATTCAAGCTAAAGAGCAAGACTCTTGTTATTATCATCTTTTAACAACAACATCAACAACAGCAGCAGCAACAGCACCATACTATATTATTATACTCCATCATGCGCAAGAAATATAAAACGAAATTTCCCGTGGTAGGAACTCATTTCTGACAATCCTGTTTTAATAACTTGTCTTACTGCAAATCCAACGGCTTTTTTTTTTTTTTTTTTTTTTTTTTTCTTCCAACTCTCTCTCTCTCTCCCTCTCTCTCTTTCGCCCAAGTCATTATCGGGTACTGGCCTTATTCCAAACTAAATTCTTTTTTTACCACGCCATGATTTCCTTTATTATATAAATGGCTCATACTTCTATCCGACCTATAACAAAAAAAGTTCTCATAATATTATATATAAAAAAAAAAAAAAAAAAAAAAAAAAAAAAGGACTCATCTCTCATTGTTTTGATATTATTCAACATTTGATCCATCTTTGAATAGGCCCGCATCAAGAAGATCATGCAAATGGATGAAGATGTTGGCAAGGTCGCGCAGGCAACCCCTATTCTTATATGTATGCATTTAAATATATATATATATATATATAATATATATATATATATATATCTTTGAGCTATTATGGAGACAAGTCAGGAACAAACATGGAAAAGGAAAAAAGAAAAATTTATCACATTATGCATCTTTGACATGGAGTGAAATGAGGACAAATCTCGACGCCAAACAATATTATCTCAGCAACGAAGAGAAAGAAAAGAAAAGAAAAGAAAAGAAGAAAAAAAAAAAAGCGGAAGGAGTATCTACGATCGGGAAATGCAAAAGAAAAAGAAGGAAAAAAAAAAAAAAAAAAAAAAATTGGATATTAACTTAATATTATTACTGTTATTATTTTAATGCCTATTTTTTTTCCTTATAGCCAAGGCATTGGAACTTTTTATGCAATCTTTGATTGATGAAGCTTGCATAGAGGCTCGCTCCAAGAATGCGAAACGACTCACAGCTGCCCATCTGTAAGTTTTGGGGAGGGAAAATGTTCAATGAAACGTCACAAGATGGGGAAAGCCAAGCTTGCTTTTTATTTATTATTTTTTTTTTTTTAATAAGTGGTGATGACGGGTCTACAACAACTCGACTGACTCTATTTTTTTTTTTTTTTTTTTTTTTTCCTTTATTATTATTGACGGATAGCAAAACTACTATTTTGGAAAAGGACCAGTTTGATTTCTTGAGAGATATTGTTCAGAATGTAGCAGATCCTTCAGGATCGAAAGGCAGTGGTAATGACGATATGAATAATAACGAACCTACAAGTAGCAGTAATAGTGGTGTTGGCGGTAGCACCAGCAGGAGTCACAGTAGAAGTAATAGTATGAAGATGGAAGAGGACGATGATAAATCTTTTGCGGATTTCGCAGGTGCCATGGCCGCAGCGCGGAGTGGGGCTCCAATCAGAAAGTCTTCAGCAAAGAGTATTAAACAGGAGGATGACGATGATTATGACAACGAGTAAAGAAAAATAAAATAAAATAAAATAAAATAAAATAATAATAATAATAATAGCAAAAAAGTAAAAAAGATGCAAAAATAAGCAAGGGATCGAGTGAATTTAACAGCGCATTTACAATGCCATGAAGACACAATGGTTTTATTTACAAAGAAATATATATATGTTTGTATGTACAAGGGGGAAAACAAAAAAAAAAAAAACAAAAGATAAAAGTAGCCTTGCGGCTTAATGGCTGAGGGTCATATCCCATCTTCGACTCTCATCAAGGGAACAGGCATTACGGCGTTCACTCATAGGCATAGGAACCCATATTGGTTTTTCATCGGCCTCTTCACTGTCGTTGTAGTAGTAGTTGTCTTTTTTGAAATGGACCTGCAATGCCATATCAGGAACCCAGGCATTGACAAGGATGATGCCAGCGATACCGATGCCAGCGAAATAGACTGAGGGGATATCCCAGCATTCTGCAAACATCACCAGCAAGGTAAGGCATAGAGCAGATGCTGACAATGCGATGCAAGACAACTTTGTGGTCCACGTGGCCCGTCTGGAGCTTGTACGGAAGCCGTTCTTAATGATAGCCTCATCCTCATCCTCCTCCCAACAATCCTTCCAGTTGGATTCCAAAAGTAATTGATGTCGCTCCAAGATTTGATAATACAACGCCTTGGCCTGTACGAATCCGACCAAGAGACTACCCATACACATGGCAACGATCAGGATAGCCAACTCGGTCCATCCTTGAACATACTCAAAGACACGAGCTTGCAGAGGTTCACCATTTTGGGTTCCTTGCCGCGTCGACAACCGTTCGGATCCCTCTGTGGCACTATTCCAGATCTTTCGAATCATTCGTGGCAGGTCAATGGTCCAAATAGGAGAAGAGGCCGGCATGCCCGCAGAAGAGCCACAAGGGAGAGCATGTTGGAATACCGAGTCGATCAGCTGTTCTTGTTTCCGACGCTGGGACAAGGCCTCGTCTTTTTCCAGATGAGCAAGGAAATTCTGAAAGACATCCGCATCCTTGGGGTCCAAGGTCAAGGCGTCCAGGGAATCTGGGTCCAAAAAGTCTTCTACATCTTGAAAGTCCACATCTTCGTAATAGTGGCCATTAGGGACACGGGCATGGAAATGGTGATCACCCTCCTTATCTTCCTCTTCCTCTTCCTTTCCTTCCTCCTCTTCTACCATGTCTTTGTTTTCTCCTTTTGATTTATCCACGATAATGATGTTCGTCCTAAAGGTCGCGAAGGCTTCCTCAGTTCGAATATTATTGATACCCTCATCCTCGTCTACAGACCAGGCTGACTGATCACTGGACTTTTGAATAGGATCATCTTGCTTATTATCGATCGGCTCATTGAGATCCATGTTGAGCTCCAACATGGATGCCAGCTCTTTCATGAATTCACCACCACCCACGTCCATATCATCATCATTCTCGTCTTCCACATCCTCGGCCATCGCGAATCCTCCCTCTTCATCATCATGGATGGTGACGGCACTGTCTTGATTAAAGCCCATAATAAGTGAGGCTGGTACAACGGGCGATGCAGGTGAAGGATGGGAAGAAGCAGAAGTAGAAGATGATGATGAAAGAGAAGAATCCATGGGAATGATGGTATTGATACCCAGGAGAGAAGAGACGATCATCAAGATTGTCCAAATCCCAAGACCTGTCAAAAGGATCGTCCTGGGCCGTGGAAGCTTCGAGAACTGAGGACCTTGATGACGATGAGTAGTCGGTGTGTTGGTGGCATCTACGGCATCCATATGTGAAGATGAGTTGTTGTCCGTCAGAAACAAAGACCAAGATCGAGCTTCGCCCTCCTTCTCGGCTTGTTCACGTGCTGATGGGCTCATTGGCGCAGTCCGAAGGTTCAAAGATTGGTAACCATCATTGTCTCCCAACCTAAAGCCTGTCGACGCTCTCATGCTCGTTGGGAAGGACCACCTTCGGCGCGAATCGAGAGAAGAGTTGACCTTGGTTGAAGTCATAGTATGACAGCAATAACTGACATCACCATCATTATCCATTGAGCTTCTCCGAGGCCCTGTTTTCCGTTTGCAATCCGTGGCCGCTGTTGTTGAGACTGTTGCTGTGGTCGAGGGTAAAAATGGGTCGGTGTTATTTTGCTCTTCTTGTGATCGCCAGTGCATCCATCGAGAAAGCCGTCGGAGTGGAGAGCGAGAGAGGAAGGGGATTTTCTCATGGTCATTCTTTTCTTCGAGTAAACTCAGAACTCTGAAGGCGGAAAGTGGGATCATTATGCCAATACAAGGTAACAACAAGATCGAGATGGTACCCCAGGTGCAATGCTCGGTTAACTCTTCAATTAGAGCCATCAATAGGGATGACGTTGATGACGATACATCATCGGATGAAACATTGGCATTGTTACTGTTACTGCTGTTGCTGCTGCTGCTGCTGCTGCCGTTATGATAGGTGTAGGTGTAGGCGGTGAGAGCCGAGGCAAGGAAAGGCAAGATGGAAGGTAAGAGGAATAGTGCTCCAGCGGTCAACAAATCCAGATGTGAGGCCAAAGTCCTCAACAGCTGATCATTTTCTTTTACATGTTGCTGTTGTTGTTTTTGTGTTAGGGCCATATCACTGCGGAGATCAATTGGCGTTGAAGTCCGCGTGAGTGAAGAGATCGAGATGTTGACAGATGCATGACAAGTCTTTATTTCTCCACAAGCTTCTTCTTTCTCTCTCACTAAAGAGTGTTGATCAATATTTTGGGTACCCATGGGAAGGTTGTAATAGTAAATGGCCGAGGATTGGGAGAGGGAGGGAGGACGAGAAGGGAGAGAAAGAGAAAGGGGGGGGGGGGGAACAGGGTGGAAACAAAGGAAAACAGAATGCTTTGACAAAAAAAAAAAAAAAAAAAAAAAAAAACTTAAAGTGACATGTGCACAATACACAAATAAAAAGTATATACAGAGAGAGAAAGAGAGAGAAAGAGAGAAAGAGAGAAAGAGAATGATGGATTGAAAAAGAAAAGAAAAGAAAAGAAAAAAAATGCGAATCAAGACTAAGTAAAAATAAAAAAAATCGTCTCGGACTGATTTTGATATTTATATTTCTACTCTGACAGCGCCAGACTGGGCGCAATTAGGAAAAGACGAAGAAAAGGAGTTTAACCTTCTTACTTACTTTTTGCATCTGTCCCATATCCACATACACTCATGAATAGACAGCCAGCACAGCCAACGACTCACCATGCACACTTGGGCAGTGGGATATAAAAAATAAAAAAAAATAAAAAAATTGAGACGGCGACGAACAAGGTTTTGCACAAGATGCTCTGTTTGTGTGTGTAAAAATGATTTTGAGGCAAATGGTTTTTTTTTTTCCTGTTGGAATGGTCCTCGGTCGGAGAATGCATGACGCAAGGACGATCTGGTATTCTCAAGTGAACGGATGGGCCTGAACAGCCCCTTCTTTCTTTTCCCCCATCCCTCTCCCCTGCCCTAAACTCACTCAATTTGCCTGCTTTGTTTTTTTTTTGTCAAACTTCACACACACAAACCACAACCTTTGGGCGTGCGTTGCATCACTTTTGTACTCTCTTTCTCTTTCTCTCTCAGCCTTCTCTTCCCTTCTCCTGCCTATCAATCAATTCAACTCCATGTTGTTCTGTGATTGTCCTACTGAAATAGGATGTTGGCATTGACCTTTCTCTATTTTTTTTTTTTTTTTTTTTTTTAAAAAAATAAAATAAAAAAAAGATGCAGTCAGAAATGGATGTGAAATAAACATATTATGTAAAAATGTTCTAAGCTATAGCATGCTCTTTCTTCTCTTTGATTCTGTTCATTTCTTTTTTTGCATAGAAGGTTGGGTCTATTCATTTTCTTGGCATCCCGAAGGCAAAAAAAAAAAAAAAAAAAAAAAAAAAAAAGAGACACATGGTGAATACGCCCAAAAAAAAAAAAAAAAAAAAAAAAAAAGGTAAAAATAGCCTTTCCCCCTTTCATCATAAGTAACAAGGTACATCTATGCTTGAAAGTGGCGTGCAGATTTTTTTTTTTTTTTTCTTAGATGGATTGGTAATGGGGTTTGGGTGATTAGAATTCGGGGTAGGGTAGGTGCACCGCCTAGAGATCTTTCCCTCGACGCGAAAATAGAAATTATAAAAAAAAAAAAAAAAAAAAGGGTACACAACAAGAAAGACGGTTTGAAACCAGTTTTACTATTTGGCACGTGCGATACTGATACATACATAGACTATCATCTAACGTGCTATTTAGACGCGTCCAAAATTCATTATAAAAGGGAGGCCTAGATGGGAGGTAAAAACCGTGCACCCAATGAAATCATGATCGTGCCTGGCAACAGGCCAACATATGTAAGACATGACGAGATTGATGTACTCGTTGCTTTCATGCCATTGCTTTGCTCCTCAATAGTTTGTGCTTGAATGATCCATTGGAACAGTCTCATCTGGCTCACTAAGAGAGCCATGATAAGTCCCACCATCATCAAACGTTGACCAATAGTATACTGGAGTCTGACCGCTGTGACTCCTTGACTCTTTGAAGACTCCTGCTCCTTCTCCTGCTCCTTCTCCTGCACTTGCGTGTGCTCCTTAGAAGACGACTTATTATAACCATATTTCTCCTCCTTTAGTTCCTCATTATCCTGTACAAGATGCTGTCCCTCTTCTTCATCAATATCTCCGAATCGTCCCATCTGACCTTGGGAATCCCCCTCCAACCGCGAAGCCAAAAAAGTCTGCTCGAGCTGTCTCTCCATTGCGCTACTGCTTGCTGTCAACAAACCTGTGGCAATGCCTAGAAGCATCACTGCCACATACCAAACGGTATATAGTGGTAAAACTAATGCCTCTATCCGAGACCTTGTCTCAAAAGCATTATCAAATTCTATCGTGTCCTCCATTGCCGCCACAATAGGGTCCACCGCATTGACCGCTTTGCTTTGGAATTGAAGATGTTCCTGAACCTCTTGAACGGCCCCAAGCATGATCCAAAACAAGGCAAACATGAACTGACTTGATAACACACCAGTCCTGGCAGATATGATCTTTGGTACCCATTTCCGGGTGTTGATAAGGATTGAAGATAATACCAGAAGACTGAACCAAATAATCACTGGAAGCCACGTGGATTTGAATGAATACGGATGATGATAATGGTGGTTATAATGATGTGGATGTTGTTGTTCGCCTACACCATTGCTCAACTGGTCATACGACGACAAAGATGATGATGATGATGATGATGATGATGATGATGATGAGGAAGAATATCCGTGAGGAGTATTTGCTGCATATGAGAATGGGTCATGTTGATTGTCCGGGTTGAGAAAGAAAAACTGGCGACTTTGATAGACAAGGAGACCAACAGAAGATCCCATAAGTGCAGCGCCTGTTAGGGAGTAAGTAGTAAGCAAGAAAAGTGCTTTTGTCTGCTGCTGCTGCTGTTGCTGTTGCTGACACTCCTTGTGTCTTGTTGGGAAGAAGTATGCTGTTGCCATGATGTCTTGGATGGATAAGAACTATGCTCAATTGGACTGATGTGATGGATCTTTAAGGTATTAAGGATGGTATGTTTAAGGAATCAATAAAAAGTTGGTTCAGAATAAAGAGTTGACTATTAAAGAAGCAGAAGGAGTAGAGAGGTAAAAGTATGATGAATGAAAGGGAAAAAAGTGAAGAAAAAAGAAAAGGGAGAAGAGAAAGGACTGAAAAATGAATGAACAAAGACAAAGCAAAAAGAAAGAGAAAAAGAAAGAAAGAAAGAAAGAAAAGGAGTACAAAAAAGCGTATACAATGGTTCTAGGTCATGCCTGTTCTCGATGTTATTGTCATTCTCAACTCGACTTGAGCACAATCGGGGTTTAGGCTAGTCCAAGGATAAAAAAAAGTGAATGACATTGTGCAGTAAGGTATATAATGTTTGTGCTTGTTGGTCAAGACTTTGAGAGCATTTCTTTTTTCTTTCTTTCCCGGGTAAACTAAAATAAACTGTCCCTGGATATGATATTTTCGGTATCCACCATCTCATTTGATGCTTTCTTAAAGAAAAAGGAATTAAAAAAAAACCCCCCCCCTGTTCCTTCAAATAGGACAGGAAATTCATCATTCAAAAAAAAAAAAAAAAAAAAAAAAAAAAGAGAGATGATAAACATTCATAATTAATATTCAATTAATGGTCAAAATGGTCATGCAATACATGCGTCTACCCAAAATGATGTAGAAGCTGTTGCACAAATACACAATCTACACTCTCCCTATTTAGCCTGAGAATTTACAAGGATGACCTGATTCGATGTGAACGTGAAAGGGTTCATGTCAACAATAGCCCAAAATCTGTAGACATGTTTCTTCCGAAGAATAAAAAAAAAAAACTCTCCTTCTTCAAAGGCAGTGATTATTTAATCTATACATCTGAGCTGAGACTCTGCAACGATTTCAAATGTGGATGTTGGACACAATTCTTTTTTCCAGTTGGAGGAGAAACTCATGAGCATAAATGACTAAAGAGAATGAACCTTGCCCCAATGACCTTTCAACAAATCCAACAAAGGAAAAAAGGGCTCACTATTTCCATTTGTTTTAAACACAAAATGGACAAAAATAATTAAATATGGTTGAGAATATAACCCTAAAACCTGACTGCTTCTGGAGACGATTAAGACTGCAGTGAATACCCATGAAAGCTGAATCAGTCAAGCTGAAATGGAGGAAGTTATCCAACAAGGAAATGCATTCTTTACAATGTGGAGACGCGTCAGTGTTCATATTTCACAAAGTATATCAAAAAGCCACATGAATGGTCCTCCATAACTTTATGACAGCAACAAAGAATAGGAATTATGGGATCATTTTTGCGGGTTTTATTCTGGTAATCAGGAAGAAGTACGCTCTAAAGACAAATAAATAGCAAAGAAAATAAATAGAAATGTACATGAGGAAAATAAAAAAAATAAAAAGAGAAGAATATGATGATTTGAAACAAAACTACAGTAGCGTGAAAGATAGACTAGGATTAGGAGTAGAGTAGAGATGGCATTCGGATTCAATAGCTAGTTCACCAGGAATTATGTGCTACATATCCAAGACCCCTTTCTTTCCTTGCTGCTTTTCTCATATTAAAAAATCCATGTCCTCTTCGTGCACGTTGCTGTCGATTTTTTTTTTTTTTTTTTTTTTTTTTTTTTTTAAAAAAAAAAAATATGCAGATTCCTTTTAAACGCTCTTTCCGATGGTCTCAACACGGAATCCAATTTCTCTGAGCTTAGGTCCATCCAAGATCAAACGACCATCAAAGATGAAGGCAGGTTTGTGCATGGACTCATAGATCTTCTTGTAGTCCAAGTGCTCCATCTTGAACTCATCCCACTCTGTGCAGATGACGAGAGCATCAGCGCCCGCGCAAGCCTCGTAAGCACTGCTACAGACCTGGATGTGCTTCTCGACCTCAGCCTCATTTGTACCAACACCAGGCTCGGTCAGATCCATCTTCATCTGCTTGGCGGAGACCTTTGGATCGTAAACGGCAACATTGGCGCGCTCCTGAATCAAGTAGCTGCAAAGAGTGATGGCAGCAGACTCGCGGGTATCGCCAGTATCCTTCTTGAAAGCGAAGCCAAGAAGAGCAATGCGCTTATGGGTAACAGTGTTGAAAAGGGTGCGAACAATACGGTGGGTGAAGCGCATCTTTTGGTACTCGTTCATAGTGACAACAGACTTCCAGTACGCAGCGACCTCGGGCAGGAAGAGCTGCTCGCTCAAGTAGACGAGGTTAAGGATATCCTTCTGGAAGCAAGAGCCGCCGAAACCAACCGATGCCTTCAAGAATTTAGGTCCAATGCGGGAGTCAGTACCACAAGCATAGGCAACCTCATCAACGTCAGCACCAGTGGCCTCGCAAATAGCAGAGAGGGCGTTGATGGAAGAGATACGCTGGGCAAGAAGAGCGTTAGCAGCCAACTTGGAAAGTTCCGAGGACCACAAGTTCATAGTGATAACGCGCTCCTGGGGAATCCAGCGAGTATAGATATCAACCAACTTTTGCTGAGCAGCAAAGCCCTCAGGGGTTTGAAGACATCCGATAAGGACACGATCAGGGTTGGTCAAGTCTTTGATGGCAGTACCCTCGGCCAAGAACTCGGGATTGGAGAGGATGTCGAAGCGAATATTCTTGCTTGAGTTGGCTTCGAGGATAGTACGCATGCTCTGAGCAGTGCGACAAGGGACAGTCGACTTTTCAATAACGATCTTGGATGAGGTAGCGACCTGGGCAATACGGCGGGTAGCGGTCTCGATGTAACTAGAAGATCATTGGTATAAGTTACATTCAGTGGATGTTAGAAGACGATTCAATGATCTAATAAGAATAAACTATCTTTGTTACAGATATCAGCCTCCAGTAGGCCTCTTCCCCCCTCCAGGAATGTGCAATCGGGATCAAGCGGATACTCTCCCATTGCATTAGCTACAGACGGTCCAAATTTTTGACCACAATTTGAGACAGAAGAGGGAAAAAAAGGAGTGCATGGAAGGAGCGAGTCAAGTAAGCTTAGAAGATTCCCGCAGCCCAATTCTGTCCTGTGGATCAAAGCACGTTTCTAGTTTTTTTTTTTTTTTTTTTTTTAGCTCATTTGATTGTGTCGTTTTGTTTCTTCACCCTCCCCCTTGATGACAGCTTACTTTCTTGCAAAATAACCCTTCCAATCGTTTGATATTGAAATAATAAAAGTACTTACGCAAGGTCGGCAGCCATACCAGCACCCATACCAGTCTTCTTGGTGGGAGTGTTGACAGAAACGAAGATGATGTCAGCATCAATAATAGCCTGATCAACGTTGGTGCTGAAGAACAAGTTCTTGCCGCGACGAGCAAAGACAACCTCGTCAAGGCCAGGTTCGTAAATAGGGAGTTCATCTGAGTTCCAGGCATCAATACGCGCCTGGTTCAAGTCGACAATGGTGACATTAACGTCATGGCATTTGTAAGCAATGACAGCGCTGGAGGGGCCACCTGAAGATCACGATATAAATGATGTAGACAATAACAAAGGGAAAGAAGAAAAGCAAAAAAAAAAATGAGGTTAAATCGACTTGAATGCCTTGATAGCCTTCTTCAATTGTGAGTGAATGAACGAGTATCCCATCCTGATCCAAAGCTTGGATGGTAGCAGGACGCGCGATAGTATATGAAAAGAAAACGACAGCGGGTTGATTGCTGATGCAACTGTGTCCATATGCTTGCGGATGGGACCCAAGAGGCGATGGTGACGCGTAGCCCTGAAATCTCGAGACTCTGATCTCTTCATTCATTCATTCATTCATTGATTCATTCTTTTTTTTTTTTTTTTTTTTTTTTTTTTGTTGTTGACGGACATAAGCATGAAGCATAAATTTCATTATGACCTACCGACGTAACCAGCACCGATACAGCAGACGTTGACCATGATTGTTATTTAGTTTGTAGAAGAGAAAAAAAAAAAAAGTTGAAGCAAAGAGATGAGGTAGAGCGATGAAGAGGCGAGTGGTGATGTCTATGAAACAGAAAAGAAGAAAGAAAAAAAGAGCAGGGACAGGGTATTTAAATGAAAGTCTGGCTTTGGCTTCAACTTTACAATTTAGACTTGCATGAACATCTGTTGAGTCGCACTACTTTATTAACTCAATTTACAATAATAAAAATATCGCTCATATTTGTTGACCATTACACTTGCTTCCATCCATCCTTTGCTTTGGCTCTGCCAAAGACAATTAAGCTGGCTATCTCATTGGCCTCTTTTCTCGATGTCGCTTTTTTTTATTTTTTTTTTATTCTATGAATGGTAAAATATATACAAGCAACTATATTGGGTTCCCCCTATATTGTAACAGTGACAATGATAGTGCCCCATTAGCATCGTGTTTAGACAAATCTCTCATAGATACCCATTCATGTTCACGTTTTGGCCTTTGTTCTGTGCCCTACTGCTCTGCTGCTCCATTTCCTGCTATTTTTGGCTGAATCCTATCTACCCCTAGACCCCGTTATCTTTCCAAAAGTCCATCTCCATCCACGGTCTTCTTTCAGACGCTCCAATGGTCGCGTATTTTTTTTTATTATTTCTGCGTATGCACTGCACTGCACTGCACTGCACTGCATTTTATTCTTTATACCTTTTTGGTTTCCCACAGTTCCACTGTAGGACAACATTTTCTTTCATTTGAAACACAAACATGTTATTTTCTTTTTTTCGCGTTCCTGTTCAACAATCCTGGTTTGTCGATCAATATTAATGAGGATTATGAACTTACGTTTTTTTTTTTTTCCCCATCTTTAATGGTACAAGTAAGCAGACTGTTTTTCTTACGACCTACTTTTCTTTGCACCCCTGATATAGAGCATCCCAGAATCATAAGATCAATCAATATATATATTTCTTCATTCTTACGAAAGAGTCAAAGACAGCATCGTTTATTTTTATTATCATGACTGTTGTACTCAAAGGGAGAAAATAATAAAAAGTGCTCTCATCTTCGCTCTTTGTTTTCTTTTCATTTCCTATCAATCCATTTTTGTTTTTTCTTTACGTCAATTCCTTGAATCTTTGTCTGAATTTACAATCATCCACATCAAAATCATCTCTATAAAATTGTTTGCCTTCCAATACAGTGAGCAAGAGCCAATGGTCAAAAAGTAGGTAAAAAAAAAAAAAAAAAAAAGATGCTTTACACTCGCCCTCGCTAAAACTTTTTTTTTTTTTCTTTTTTTTTAGCCCTTCCAACAGCACTGATCAATAAGCTTAGAGAATCCGGGTGCATTAACAAAGATAATCGAAATGGTTATAAGAAAAATAAAAAAAAAAAAAAAAGAGCCATCGGAAGTTTCGCGTCTGCTCATATAATATTTAGAGAGAGTCGACAGTAGCAACAATAATAACTGAAATAGACCAGATCGCAAGTCGCGCTCTTCTTCTTTATCTGTTTGTGAAAGAATATGTTTTTTTCTTTTCTGATCCTACATATTTGTTTGATGTAGGCTCACTTCATGATGAGGTGCGTGCCTGAATCTCTATTGTTACTCGTCCACAAGGTCAAGACAAAGAGACATTTTGTCTATTTATTCATTTTACATTTTTTTTACTTTGTTAGTTCTATCATTACTCTTCCTAACGGACTGCAGATATGCTTTATCGAAGATAGCATGAATCCAAAGAACGCTTGAATTCTAAGGAAAGTAGATCCACACTTTTTTATTTTATTTTTGTTTTTTTTTTATTTTTTATGGTCTCTATCTCATTATACAGATATGTATCCTAATGCTTATAATTATGAACCTTTGGTCTTTTTTTATCATTTACTACCTCCAGAGTCGCATCAGAAGAATAAATCCACCAGCGACAGAGGTACAGATCAACAAGACATTACGTGCAGATCCAAATCATTGAAAAATCAATTGTAGAATAGACTTTTCGGACAACATCAGCGATCGTGTTTTAATAAACACCTTTTAACTGGCGTGTTGTATTTGTCAATGTGTCTCTTGGATCAAAGTAGAGACAACCACTGCTTGGATCATTTGTCCAAAAAAACAAAAAAGAGAGATAAGATGAGTTCTAGAGCAAATGATGAACCTTGAGCCCTGACATACTAATAAATGTTGGTGGCGGGGATAGAAAATAAAACAGCATCATAATGGTGATGGTAATAATAACAATAGTAAAAATCAAAGCAAATCGGCAATCGCTTCTCCAATGTATTTTTTTTTTTTTTTTTTTTTTTGTAATTTTGAATTAAAACGGTCCATAGCAAAGGAGAATAGAAAGAGAGATTGAACTGTGCAAGGGAAGCATTCCTGGTGGCACAAATCTTTTTGTCCACCAGGGTCATCGAATCTTTCTATTTTCAGTCTCGGCATTTTTATTTTTTCTGAGGATGAGTAAATCAAAATCAAACGGCAATGGTAGGGGAGCACAGACGTTCAATGAGATTCAATCGTCAAGTACACACAAAACCAATTTCCTTCTACTCCTTCTCTCCTTCCGATTTTGTAAAATAAAATAAATAAAACACAAAAGAAAAATCGGTCCAGGTTGACCTCATGTTTTATTTGTTGTTATGATGTTGCTTGCCTGTTAAGCTCGACACTATTGCACTTCGAACCCACTCATTCTCATCTAGCTTTGTGGTTTCTCTACACTTTCGTCTTAAACTTTTTTTTTTTTTTTTTTTTTTTTTTTTACGACATGGATCCCGACGCAGACTGAATTAATGTAATGTTGTCTCCCTTGAGCAAAATACGACCTAGGTACAAGGCAATTGCAAAAATAAAAAAAAGGCATTTAGCTTCATCTTGCATCTAGCCAATAAAAGCAACTTTTTTTCTCTTAGAGCTTATTTATTTGCATAGGATGCCTTACCAACTTCCTTCCTTGTACCCTTTTTGGTGTTCACCTCTGCTGCATTGTCCAAAACCAAGTTCATAAACTCATCGAATCCCTGGTAATAATAATAGCAATAGTAATAGTAATAGCAATAACATAATAATAAAAAGACATCAAATTGTCCAGAAATGCCAGAAAGGTCAAAAGTTAGTAATATTGATCCCACAAGCGTTTAGAGACGATAACCACTCTATGCGTCTTTTTCGTTGATACTTAAAGAAAGCATTGACAATCATAAAAAGAAAAAGAACGCACAATGATCTGTCCTTCAATACGAGTGTCCAGTTGCTCATACAACCAAATCTGTACAGGTGATCTCTATAAGCGACCAAAACAAAAAAACAAAAAGAAAAAAAAAAAGTAATTTAATAATCATATAAAACTTGGTCATTTGTCTCCACTTTCAGTATATTCTTAAGAGAAAAATCACAATGTCATGATATTAATCAGAACCATGTTTTGGAATGGATCTTTACCTGTTGCAGATACCTGAAGATCAGGGTCTAAAAAGGTTAATAATAGCAACAACAGTAATAAAAGCCGTTAGTGCCATGAATCTAACTTTACGTCCTTTGATATTATGAAGCGCAATGGGTCCGGTTGTTGTCCAAAATGAAAAAAAAAAAAAAAAAAAAAAAAAAATAGCTTGATGAGCTCCGTTCTTCGTATGCCCGCAGCATCGTCCTGCTCAAGATAAATCCCTCAACTGATCAGAGGGACAATAGTACAATAGTACAACAGAAAGCAACTCATGGTTCCAAATATTAGATGGATCTCGCGTCGTAAAAGACTGAAATTATTCTTTCACTCTTTTTTTTTTTTTTCCCTTCTTTCTCGCCAATGACCATTTGTCCTGTCAGCTTTTCTACTTTCAAGTATTATGATAATAATATTCCCTTTGATAATATCCCTTGAAAAACATAATCCTTGGTTTTTTTTTTTTCTGTAATCTCCTGCAAAAAAGCCAAGTCCTCAAGCTTTGGATTAGATGTAAAAAAAAAAAAGGGATCTTCCTGGCAAGTTAACTCACAATGGGCTGAACCATAATGCGCTGGACTTTGGACGACATGTTGAATTATATGATTATATGTTTGTATATATTTGTATATTTTACAGATCCTTTGTTATTTAGATAAGAGTCGTTTCGTTAACGTGCCACTGAGTGTCTGTAAACCAAGGCTGAGTGGATGGTGTAGTTGAATGTGGTGAATTGTTTCAAGCCTGTAGTTATCCAGAGGCGCGACCTAAAAAGTACAAAGCCACAAAACAAGGAAAGTCATGTGACATAAAAACGCTGTTAAAGGTGAAAGGGGGGGGTTTTTTTTTTCATTTTTTTTTTTTTTAAACCGCACCACCAAACCCCAGCATGAAAGTGAAAGTGAAAAGTAAGTGCAAGCAGTTCACTTTTTTTTTTTTTTTTTTTTTTTTTTTTTAAGCCTTATACGAGAGTTCTATTATTGATACAATGACCTTGTATCCTTTTTTTCTCATATTTCCTAGAGTACTATAAACAAGACAGAAGGGCAGTCGAGGATACTTGAACACAAAGTATACTTTGGTTACTTACAAGTTTCGTATCAATTTAATTTTAGATGGCACACTGTCGCGATTTGGCAATGGGATATGGAGGATTCGACAGATCTTTGTGGTATTTGCCATGGACCTTTTGATTCGTGTTGCCCAGATTGCAGGATTCCAGGAGATAATTGTCCTTTGTGTAAGTCAATAAAAAAAAGTCTTTTTTTTCCTATTATTTTCTTGACCTTCTGGATATTGTAGCAAAGTAGGTACATACAGATATAAACGTGGCGATACTCTGTTTCAATTGAGAATAGTATGGGGAAAATGTACACATTGCTTCCATCTCCATTGTATCAACAAATGGATTGAGACCAATGATAGTGAAGGAACCTGTCCCATGGACAGACAGATATTCGGTAACCCAAAAAAAAAAAAATATATCCAGTTTTTATTATCATTAATACTGTTATTATTTCACCTAACGATAATTAATTTGCTCCGCAATTTTTATTAGAGGCCGCTACATAATTCTTTCTTTCATTCTTTTCTACTTTGTACTCTTTTGTAAAACAAAATATTGTTGCTTTTATTCTTATTATTGTTTTCTTTTCTATTCTGCCACACCATTCTATAATGAAATACCTTTGACATGTCTTAAAAACCAGTTTGCAGCTTTGTCGCTTCTAATAAAATCAAGAGCTTCATTAAGGCGTCTAAGCGTAAGCTCCAAGGGAGGTTGTTGTGAGATAAGGGGTGGTTCAAAGATCGGTGTGCTCCTCTTAAAGTCGAGATGATCGTCTCGTTTAAATGTCGCAAAAAGGGATAGATTTTCTACTTCCCCATTTTGCTCATCGATTCTATTGTCATTATCATTGTCAATGTCATTGCCATTGTTATTGTCACATTCCTTTCTAATACAAGAAGAGACTTTAACCTGATATATGACTCTGTTGCGTATTGTGTTGCACATATCCCACAATGTACTCCAGTCCCAACCACTATTCAATAACAGCAGTCTCTGACAAATCTTGATCCATTCATTTTCATCCATTGACTCCTTCAAGTGATCAATAGATCTTTCTACTTCCTCCAAATCTGAACAGATTGAGCCCAACAGCAGATCCAGGTTTGATCCATTACACCAGTTATGGTTAATAGAGATCGTATCGCCAATGTTGTGTACTTGATGCCACCATCCTGAAGGAACAAACACAGTCTGTCCTGGCTGCTGATAGGTTGTAAACCGTTTCGCCTTATGAAAGTTGGGGAACTGAACTGGATTGACATTTTCTATATCATAAACCATGTTATTGAGTTTGTCACAATACAGATGTTCTTGATCTGGAGGAAAAAACGTCCATTTTTTGATCCCACAGATATTAGCCGACCATGAATAGGATCTTTTTTTTTGTGATGGAGAAATCAAAACAAAAACATAAAGTCAGAGCGGAGGGGTATACATCTTGGTCCAACATAATACCATCGTTTTTTTTTTTTTTTTTTTTTTTTTTGGTTTCCTCACCTATAAACATCTGCATGGAACGGTGTGAATGTGTTGTCACCTCCACAATAGACAAATCGATAGTCATCATCCATATCCAATCGTCGCGTCCAAAATTCGTTCATCCAGTCATCCCGAAAAATGTCAGGTGTCTCATACGCATGATACCATGGAAATGTTTTCAGAAAATGAAAGTCCTTGAGATATATCCTTGAAGGTTGATTCTGTTTACTATTCAATTCCCACTGCTCCAGAAACTCGCGTAGATCCATGGTTGATCGCTTTTGATCCGTGAATTCTTTGATCTGACAGTCTGCAACAGGGACTAGAATCGAGACTGGTTGACCTTCTTCTTCACAGAGCTGCTCTCGCAGACCTGCAAAATTTGGCTTGCCAGTCTCGGGGCAGACCCATTGCTGACGGGCTCGCCAATGTTTCGTCAGATCAGGTCCAATGACAACAGGCAGATTGGGTTCGAGGTATCGATTGCGAAATTCCTCGTAGGAGGGTGATGTCTCGAGGTAATCAATTCCCTGAATAGAAGAATAATTGCGTGGGCGCAGAGGAGGCGTAGGCATGGTTCTATACAGTGGCTAAGTCAGCATTGAGGGGGGTTTTTTTTCTAGATCTTTTCAGAAAGGACAAATACGAGTGTTAGTGAGGGACTGTTTACAGTTTTCTATCAGTTTCTGTTACCCTCTGCAACTTTAGCTCCATTCTCTTCTTTATTGTTATTTAGCCTTCATTACATTCATACAATCTATCATATTTCACCATGCCAGTCTGCACACACCGTGGTTGCGAAAAGACCTACGATGAGGCAACCAACTCGGATACTGCTTGCCAGTTCCATCCTCAGGGGCCCATCTTCCATGAAGGTCTTAAAGGCTGGTCATGTTGCTCAAAGAGAGTCGTTTCGTTTGATCAGTTTCTCGCCATCCCCGGCTGCTCATTCGGACGACACACAGATGCACCACGCGAGGAGTTCCCTGCTGCATCTCCAAGCGAGAAAGTTGAGGTTACCGATTCAACTACGCCAGCACCAGTGTCTGTAAATAAGGATGGAACAGAAGTTTATGGCTCGTCAGCAGCAGCACCAGCAGCCCCTGCTCCCCTCGTTGCCCCTGCTGCCTCCACAACAGCATCAGCAGCAGCGCCTTCAGCACCAACACCAGAGCCCATCGTAGAAGAAGAAGATGATCTGTCAATTCCTGTGGCTGTTGGAAAGACTTGCATGCGCCGTGGATGCGGTCAGACTTATGTTTCGGAAGAAGAGTCTCGTGGTGATAAAGTCAAGTGTCAGTATCATCCTGGAACGCCCGTTTTCCATGAAGGATCCAAGGGCTGGAGCTGCTGTTCCCGTAAGGTGCTGGAGTTTGATGAATTTTTGAAGCTTAAAGGGTGCACCACCACAAACCAGCATTTGTTTGTTGGTGCAAAGGTAATTTTTTTTTTTAAACTGCATTACTTGGTGGCGTTTTCTATATTGAAATGACTGTGTCAACTAACAGCTCTGATATTTTATCGGATTTGCTTTAACAGAAGGAGAAGGTTGAAGAATTGGTTCAGTGCCGTCATGACTGGTATGTCAAACACTTGACTAGAGCACAGATCACTCTGTATTAAGTACTGAATATTCGATTTTGGTACTCAATGTATACAAATATGATATTTTGTTCAATCAGGTACCAAACACAGACGCATGTTAACTTGTCTATCTTTGCAAAGAAGGTCGATCCAAAGACCGCCGTCATAGAATTCAAGGAGCGTGAGGTAATAAGCTCGTATATGGATTTTTATGGTCAATTGTCCAAATAAGCAAGTTGTATAGCTTTATATTTATAATATGGTCTTTCGTCGTAACCAATTAGGTCAACATTGATTTGAAAATGCCAGATGAAAAGCGTTTCAAGCTCAACCTACCACTTTTTCAGCCAATTGATCCTTCTGGAAGCTCGTTTGAGGTTCTTGGTACCAAGGTCGAAATCACGATGAAGAAAGGCAATGGCATTTCGTGGGCAACATTAGAGCCAAGTGAAGGCGCCAAGTGCTGGACAACTTTTGGAACCACTGGTGGTGCTGGTACTGTTGGTAGTAAGGTCATGCATCTTGCCACAGATTCACCACTCTATGCCCAGAAGTAGAAATGAATATGGCAACAGATGAATTGAGGAAATTGTCATGCTATCGCTTTTCATTTCATACAAGTATTTCAAGTAGAGCACATACCCCTGAACACTTGTTTGGAGGGACATGCAGGGGAGCAAGAATAAAACAAATTGAAAAAATTCATTAGACGGGAAAAATGTTGATGGAAAAAAAGAAGGAAAAAATGGATATTGCTATTTAATTTTTAATCTACACATTTTGAATATGACTACATTATGAAAAATCGCGAATTATACTCCTGCATCTTTTTTTCTTTTTTGTTCATTTTTTCCCAGCTTTTGCATTACTCAGTTGATCTTGCCAATCTTTTTGTTTACAAGGCCCAGCTTCAAGGTTGTTCTGTCCACGTCCCGATCAAGTTCATCAAGCAGCTGAATTTGATTATCAAGCTCTTGACCAATGGCCAATCCAATATGCTTTTGTCGCTGCAGGATGGCATTGAATTGTTCGATGTGGTCGTCTTGTTGTCTCATCTGTTCCTGCTGAAGTATCAACAGGCCCTCATTGTCGAGTCCTCGTGTCAGTGATGTTTCTTGAGTCAGGTTCTGGACCACTCTGCCAAAGACTCGGCGTCCATTGCCCGGCCCACTTACTGTGGTTGAGGTCATGGTCGTGGTTGTATGCACACTACCGCCTCCATTAAAAGAAGAGTCAGCTAGACTATGATTATCTGCATGGCCACGAATGGATCCTGTCTGAGAATGCAACCCTCCAGCATGAGTACCACTATTGATACCGCCATGAGAACCCTTGCTAACTAAGAGCGAGTTCCTGTCTCCAGAACTTGCAGGGACATTGCCACCAGCGCCTTGATGCCCAACCACACCATCGTTCTGTCGGTTTGCAATCACCAATTTGGTCAACACCTCACGCTCGTCCTTCAATTCTGACAACATATCCTGTCGTCGTCTGAGCTCTCCGTCTGACATAATACTTCCTTTTGCTCCACCGCCTGGGTTGCCCATCGCTAGGTTCGTCAAGCCGTTCTCAAGAGCTGGGATTCGGAGACCCAATGTTGTGAGTAGTTTCTTGCTCTGAATCGTGCAGTTATGAGAGGCTGAGATCTCACTACGACCAAGATGTGTCTCGCGTCGATTGATGAGTGATCTCACCTCGCGAGCAATCCCTTGTAGCGTCCTGAACTCTTCAAGCCAACTCTCGGTCGTAAAAAAGTGAGGTGCAGGTCCTGGATTGACTGCAGGACTTGACGGCACGACCGAGGGTGCTTCAGATGAGCCGGTAGCATTATTAGAAGTATCATTTCCTCCTCCTATTCCGAAAATATTGAAGTGTGAAAAAAAAGAAGTGGCACAGTTACCATTTTGTGATGGTGCTGTATTATTTGTTCCCCCATTCACTTGCGTTGCTGGCCCACGCTTCCCTGGTCCGCCCGCAAACAGATCAGCCTGTGACCGACCAACGGGCACGGCCAGAAACTCGTTCCACTCGTGCGTTAACCTCCAACGATCGTCTCGGTGGGACAAAATCCCTCGCATGTACGTCTCCAATCCTGCACGACGTTCCTCCACTAACTCGGGGTTATCTATAGTTGATTGCCACCAATGCTTACTTGGAAGTGGTTGAGGTGGAGGATTATCAGGAAAAAGTTCTATAAACCGATTGTGAAGCTGTTCAAACTCCGAATAGCGTTTCCAGACAGACCAGGTCCGCACTGCTGCATGAACTTCGACACGATAGGCTGTATGGGGTTTGGGTCGAGATCGAGTCTCAGGATCGCGAACATAAATGGCCTGAAGAGTCTCTGTCATGGCTTGCTTAAAGACGAAACGAGGAAGGGATAAGCAGAATTGTGAGGCAAGAAATAAAAGAAAAAAAGAAAAAAAGAAAAGAGGGAGAGGAAGAGGAAGAGGAACAGAGAATCTTTCGAAAGAAGGGGGATCCTTGAGTCGCTTCTTTTGTTTTCTTGTTGGGGGGTTCTCAGTGAAGTTGAGGGCTTATGCGTAAAAAAGGAGAGAAAGGAAGACAGGGATTGATGGAAAGATGTCTACACAAGCATAAAAGCTTTCGGAATGGGTCAAAGGGACAAGTGTTTACAATGTATTTATTAAGCGTGGTTGAAAGTGGAATGAGGGGATTAATCTTTTTATTTTGTTATGAGTGAGAGGGACGATGTAATGAGGATGAAGAAAGAGGAGAAGGAAGGACGAGAAAGGAGGGAGGAAAGGGAAAGACCGATAACAAACTCTGACGACTGAAATAGATGATCTTGTCTATTAAACCCTTTTTGGACTATTGCACTTGAATGCACATGCACGTACCGCATGGATTTACTCAGAGCCCCGTGACTGTGCCTCAATGATGTCTATTCAGCGCAATTACAAAATAAATCGTATTGTGTGAGTTTTTTGGGGTTTGCTTGATTTTTGTGTGAACCTGTCTGTGTGATGGGCACACACAGAAACGTGCACGGATATAGAAGTAAAGAGTGCGAAGCTTATGATAGAAAAGGGGTTAGGTGGGGAAAAGATATAATGACTAAGCGGAGTCGCATTGAAAAGGATCGTCGTAGGGGTCAGGCACAAAAAAAAAAGGAGAAAAAAGGAAAATGAACGAACATCAAAGCAGAGAAAAAGGGAGGAGAGAATACGACACGTTACCGATCACCTTCTGCCTCAAATCATCGTCTTCAACAACGTCTTCGAGAAGCTCGCCGTCCATAGTAACTGCCTGTAGATCTGCATCGGGTCTCTTGGCTAAGTAGTCAAACACGGCCAAGTGACCCTCCGCAGCAGCACAGTGCAATGGGGTCCAACCTAGATACGTTAATTTTGTAATGGTGTCAATAACAGCGATAGCAAATACAAATGTGGACAAAAATATAGTAAAAAAAATACGTAGTTGGAACCCCAACTAAAAGCCTTTTTTTTTTTTTTTTTTTTTTTTAGAGCTTTGGACTTTAACGCTTAAGTCTCTTAATGAATTGACGAGAAAGTGGGTTGGGCGTCAAAAAGGAAGGAACAAAGAGCATTATAACTGTTTTGCTTACCTTCCATGTCCGTCAGATTGATATTAGCACCCATTTCGACCAAAAATTGACATAATTCCAGATGGTTGTAAGAAGCAGCCAAATGAAGTGAACTGAGTTTTCGGGATGCGGATTGATGATTGATAATCTGTTCCAACGTCCCTGATTTGCCTTCTTCCTGCACCACGCCCAGCATGGATTTGTAGAGTGAGAGATCGCCCGTCCTTGATGCGTCCGCCATTAGCGATTGTGGATCAAACGTGACACGTTTTGTACTCTTGGATTTCTTAAATGGTGCCGATGAGGTTGTGTCTTTTGTGCTCTGCTTTTCAACATGGAGGCGAATGGAAGGCGATGATTGATAGCTCCGTAACTTGGGTCGTATACGGCTGGCATAAGAAGGATCATTGGGAGATACTGTGCCCGTAGAGCCGGTACTGCCAGTAGTTGTAGTAGTATGTTTTTGGGACTTATTACTTATACTGCTATCTATGATATCGCTATTTTTGATGTTAATACTGTTATTGTTATTGCTGTTATTAAGACTATTGTTGCTCTTATCCTGTAGCTCTGGGCTAGAAGATCTCGCAGAATCTGATAAAGATGGTGTTGTATTTTCAGGAGAGGCTGTTGGTTTAAAGATTACTACTGGTGAGAGAATAGTTTCTTCGGCTTGTTGGGTCTGAAGTTGTAATGAATTTGTTTCTGTCAGTAAAAGGTTCTCAATTACTGTGGCACTGCCGCTCTTAGGGATACTGCAAGAGTGTGAGGCCCCTTCATCCGGCTTTGCTTTGGAACCTTCCTGCTTCGTCTCTGAGATCAAAAGCCCATTCAACTGGTGAGTAATACCCAAGGTTGACGCGGGTCTAGTCATAGAGCTGCTACTATCACCTCCTTCGCTCCTGGTCTGTTTCCCTGATATCATATCTTCGGATGCTGTCATCATGAGCGGCAATGTTGACGTTGAAGGTGATCGCATATGTCCTATGGACCTAAACGAGTTCCAGGTATGATCAGATCCAACGTCGTTGATGGGTGATGTAGGTAATGACTCTTGTGGGATTTTTCTGTATCGCACGACTACCAGGTTGGGAAAAGTAAGTGGTGTACTATTTATTAGCAAATAGTTACCAAATCTTTTTTTTTTTTTTTTTTTTTTTTTTTTTTTAAATAAAAAAGCTTTTTCTTGGTTACCTTCTGTGAGGTTCAAGAACAAGCTTCTCGTAGTGTTTTCATCCGCACAATCCACGGGCTTGTACTTCCGGTCATTCATCTTGTATACATTTGCTCCAAGATCAAGTAGTCGCTTGGTCAAATCCGCCATACCCAAGAAACTCGCAAGGTGCAATGTGGTATTTCCATCGCCCCACATCTTGCCCATGAATTCATATAGGATCTTTTTCGATTCCAATTCCTCAGACGCCTTAGCCACAAAGTTCAAAAGATCCAACGCCATTTCTTCATTGAATAGGAAGCATGCAATTTGTATTAGATTCAGATGGTCCACCGTAGGGCCTAAAAGCTCCTGAGCGTCCAATAACACATCCGGATCATGGCGATATTTGTTGTCAGTGTTGGAGATGTTCCAAGTGACCAATGTTTGTATCACAATAGCAAAATCAAACGCGTGTAAAATCCTATCCAGCTCTACACGATCCTCTCGTTCAATCGCATCCAACATCTGCTTCCATAATGGAACCGTCCTTGGTGATCCTGGTTCTTTAGGTGAATCGATATAAGAAAGAGCGCTGGCGAATGAGTCCTCAGACCCGACAGAAGACGATGAGTGGCCTCCGATACGGTCTTTGGAACTGATGAAGCCTGCTGGCGGCAATGACTGAGATGTCAGTGGCTGAGACTGATATGAAGACGAAGGTGAAGACGTAGGCGGGGATTTAGATGTGCTAGGTGATGATGGACGCAGAAATACTTGAGTTGTAGGGAGTTGTTGAGCATGATGTGGGGTGTATGTAAGCGCTGTTGCTATCGCTGCTGACGTTGTTCCTGTTGTCGATTCTCGATTGGAGTTAGTGGATGCAAATGGTGAATACGAGTATGACGATGATGATGACGTTGAATATCGTCTGAAATAAGAATTTGATAGCGATGATGACGACGAAAGTGGAGCCGACGGTAGTGGCGGAGGATGTGAAGATAAACTACATGATCCATCGCTTTTAAATGTCTGTGGAATAGTCAAGGGCTGATAACGTATCGGTAAAGACGATGGTCTGGATGGAGGTTGATGAGAAAGCGACGCCTGCAAGAAGTGCTGTGAGAGTCGTTGGACAGTTCCTGTTCTCAGCTCCTGAAGGCTGTCTTGCTTTTTGGAGTGTGTAGAAGACATGATTACACAAGAACGCTTTGTCAAAGAGTTGTTGGTAACTGATAACGCGCAATTGAACCTTGCTCTTATTGTTGTCGAAAGAATATTAAGATCCTTCGAAACTGGTCAAATGTTATCACTGGGAACGTTTGAATAGAAATCAAATCCTTGGTCGTGTTCGGGTAACCTTATGTTTTGCACCACTGCAGAGAGAGATATGTACCCTGTAGTCGATTCTCTCTCTGTTGTATGCAAAAAAAAAAAAAAAAAAAAAAAAAAAAAAGCAAAAGGATAGACAGTGCTTTGTGTGGTTCTGTCAGACAAGACTCTTGCTCTTTCAGTCTGACGTGGATATAGCGTAGTTTCATAGACAGATTCCGCACTTGCTTTTAGACAGTGCAACAAAATCGTAGACGACCGGCGTCAGCAATGAGAATGTCGGTTAATTAAAAAAATAAAAAGTGGGAATGTGAAAAAAAAAAAAAAAAAAAAAAAACAAGAAGGACAGAACTAGGAGGAACAAAGCACGCACATTGCCATACAAACATTATAACACAATAACATTGACATATTCACTACCTCCTTATGATGTGCGTCTTACTTTTTTCAGGGGTCGATACACGAAATAGAGTGTTCTGGCACTCTGACAATATCCAATCCCCGCTGGCTTAAATAGCGTCAAACAACTCTTGTACTTTATCCATCTTGACCTCTTTCTTTTCTTTTCCTTTTTTTCTTCATCTCTCCATTAGGTATATCACTGCTTCCAGGGGTATAGTTTCACGCACGAACATATTCTCTGGCCCATGATGATCCTTAATCCTCTGGCTAAATTTTTAGAATCCTAGTGTAGCAATGTACATATTTAATATAAACAGTCGTATACAATCTTTTCCTGTGAAACCACTATTCAAACGATAATCTGTCATGACAGGTCATCATACAATGTTGTCTTTAACCTGATGGAAGACATCCCACCGCCCGAACGAATGATAAGCTCTTTTTATTCTATGTTCAACTAAACTCACGTTCAGAATGAAAAATAATTTGTTCCTGTAAAAAAAAAAGTCAATAAAGGAGTGCCCACTTTAGAGACGTCTACCTGTCTATTACTAACTTCAACATGCTTTTGAGGTTGCTAAGAGAGGCCCCGAAAGTTGAGACTGCGGAAGGCGGGGAGAGCTATTGCCCGACTTGACTGCCAAATCTTGTCGTTCGAAGATGATGGTAGACCGCGGGTTAATTTTTTCCTTTTTAGTCCTTATGCGTGCATTACGAATGATTTCTGATACGTGGCTTTGATGCATTTCGGAATTCGCGTGGAGATCTCAATCGATCTATTTCATTAAATTCTTTCTACTCCCCCATTCTTTTTTTTTTCCTTCACATTTCACATCACTCCAACTTTTCTCACATAACACATAAAATCGCCATGGCCCGCCAACGTTCTCGTGCTGCTCCTGCTCAACAGACCCGCAAGGCTTCCACTATGCCTACCCGCCAGGCTCCTCCCCCACCTGCCCCTGCACATCCCCCTCAGCACCAGATGACTGCTCCTCCTCAACAACCCTCGGCCATGGCTCACCCTCCTCCTCAGCAACCCGGTCTTTTCGCTCAAATGGCCTCCACTGCTGCTGGTGTCGCCGTCGGCTCTGCTGTCGGACATACCGTTGGTGCTGGCATCTCTGTAAGTATTATTCTTTCGTTACTTAAAAAAACGGAAAAAATCCTTTCCCCCCTATCGATCGCCAAAGTATCTCCACTTTATGTTTGACTCATCATATTTTTACTTTATCTCTTCTTTCCCTGTTCTACTACTATCAATAATAGTCCATGTTTGGTGGCTCTGGTTCTTCTGAAGCTGCTGCTGAGCCTCAGCAACAACAGCAATCTGCACCTCAATATCAGCAGCCCATGTATCAGCAGCCAATGTACCACAATGCTGCCGTCCCCGCCTCTGCCACCTCATGCGAAGCTGATGCCAAAGCCTTTACCAAGTGTCTCGAGAGCAACGGTAACGACATGTCTGTTTGTCAATGGTACCTTGAGCAGCTCAAGGCTTGCCAGTCCATGGCCGCTCAATATTAAGCGGTTTTTTTTTTTCTAAAAAGAAAAAAAAAAAAAAAAAAAAGCAAGATCGTTGAAGTAGGATACTACTTTTTATCATGGCTCCCCTTAATTTCCTCAACATACAAATAAAACCTCTACTCAATCCCTTGTTATAGAAAGAAAAAGCAAAATAAAATAAAAAAAAAAAAAAAAAAAAAAACTTTTTCACATAGAATAAACAACGTGTATGGGTGTATTCATTTAGTGGTGTTCTCGCAAATGTAATATGAGGATCTTTCCGTATAACACGTGTGCCTGAATGTCTGAACCTTTTTTTAATGGTGGCTCTCCAATTCTTGTACTTGCCCAATGACTGAGTATTTTTTTCTTTTCTTTTCATGAGCTAGTACGCAAATGGCGACTTGCCCTCTCGAATCAACTCAATTGAGGACAAGCGCACTTGATCCAAGAACTCGTTGAGTCTGTTACTATCCTGCAACTCCTTGTATAATGGCACACCCGCAGTTTCGCTCGCTACCAAATTGGATATGTCCACAGACTTTTCCAAATACTCAGGTTTAACCACCCGACTTTCAAAATAGACCTTGTGCAAATTCATCACCAGTTCTGAAATGTAGATTTGACGAAGTCGTTTCAGTTCCTGATTCCTTGACGCATCTACATATTTAGCATGGATTTTTTTTTTTTAAAAGTTATCAGTCATCTCAATGCATAAGAATAAACGGTGTCGTGAAAAAAAAAAAAAAAAAAAAAAAAAAAAAAAAAAGTCTTACCTCCAGGTACAATACAATCAAATAGCCACCGTGATGACAATAATGTCTCGATCTCCACGATCACTTTCTGCGCTTTATCCTACATGTGGCATTACGCGAATACCACAAAATAATACATGGTCGAATAAACACCTAGTTCACATGTCTACATCGCACTAATACTTCAATTTTCTTGCTCTTTTTTTTTTTTTATTCTTTTTTAGTATTCGTAAGCATACCTTCAGGGTCGACTCCCACATCATCATTTTGGATCGTTGTCCTTCGCCAGTAGTAGGTTTAGAAGTCAAATGATCTTTCCATTCCTCATACAATAGGCGCGTACTAAATAAATCCCGATAATAAAAATGCTCATGTGTATTTGATTGAATAACCGTATCCTGCGATCCTTGTGGCTGTTGTGATTGCAACTCCCTGAACTGGAGTTGTCCCACTTCTGCTGGGAGGCTATTGAAAAGCGCTAGCGCAGCGTTCAGGCGACCTTGCAGTAAGTAACGCCTTGCCAACGAGTTGCTGCGGAGCAAACATTCCTGATACTGATGTTCATCAAACGTAAGCCACTCCATGGCCTTAATGGCTGTCTTCTCTTCTGTCGTTGATGAAGACTCAATGCTCCATTGAAGATTTGCCATGTAATCAACATCTCTCCTTTCAAGATCATCCTTGATATTTTCTAATAAAGCATCCACAGTTGCTGTAAGGATTTTGTGCATATCCAGTCTATTTCTCCGGATAATATTCACATGTTCTTGACGATCCTTTTTGGATCCATTGATTGCTAAAAGAAGAGAAGTGTAGTTATTCGTTAAAATGTAAACGTATGAGAGATATATTATAGTATTACTAGTTATAATAAGCTTGATGGTTCTTACTTATGAGATATGAAGAGCAGGCTTCGACTTGAAGTTGAACAGGTAGGAATGATGCATAAAGTGGAGCTAAATCATACTAATAAGTGGATATAAAAAGAAAATGAAATTAACTTAGTTTAAGGTCCAAAATAGAATGGCAATGTCCTCAATTTCAATCAATGTGTAAATAATATCAAATGACCAAATAGTCAGTCAGCCCATTACCATTTTCCTGGAAATCAAGTAATCAACATATGACTTGATAAAATAATTGCCGGCATCTTTGGGAACATGGGCTTCCTTTGACTGCAGTAAAAGGACAAAATGTGCCATAAAACGCAAGAGGTGGGGTTGAATGGGTGAGCCATTTTTACTAGACGCTTGGGCTTCCTTGGCCATCTTGACAAGGAGCTGATCTGTCTGTCCCAAGATAATACTCATTTGAACTCTTCTGAACGTCTCCTGAGATGCATTCTTAACCTCCTGGTTATCACTGTTCATCAAGTTGTTAAAAATATCTTTAGCTGAAGTGACAGTTGATGCTGGAAGAGGGAGGGCTTTGCTTGCTCCTCCACGGTTGAATTGCCCCAAACGCGCTTCATTCATGCTTTCCACAAGCGCGTTGTATTGAGCCCATGCATGATCCTCCCAACTTGTGCACACTGGCAAAACCGAAGAAACATCTCCGCAAAGAGCGCCATATATTGCCCTTTCATATTTATCTACTGTTGGCTCAGTCGCAAGTGCATAGCATGTGCCCTTCCAAAGACTGCGTGTTTTGTTGCCATGGCGGTCGTCCTCACGATCATACACAGGATCTTTGAACGCGATGGGTACAGAATAAAAGCTTCCTCCTCCAATGCTTTCTGCTCGCCAGTGCTCGTTTGCCTTAATACAAGCCCTCTTGGCATCCTCCACATTTCCACGTCGGATGTATTCCCAAACTGTCCTCAATAGATCTTGCTCAGCTCGCTGATTGCCTTCACCGAGTTTGGTGCCATCACGCGTGGTTGCATCCGGATCTATATAGACCTTTTTGCTAAGAGGTGATGTTGCTGAATGAGTTCGAGGCGCCCCAAAAGCGAGGGTTGGTCGCGAAAATGTATTATTAGTTTGTTGTGCATATGTCTTTGCTAAAGCAATTGGCGTAAATTCTGGCGCGATAGTTTCAAGCCATGTTTTGACTGCAAGGTGATGCTTGTAGTTATTGTCCATATTAGCCAAATGCTCTATCAGGTCGAGATCAGACCATTCGAGCACTTCCGATCCTTTGCCCACATATGCGGTCTTCTTTTCAAAAGTATTGAAGAGTATAGTCAAGAGGAGCCATGTATGGCTTTCAGATTGCCATAGTTTGTATTCATCTACTGCGCTAAAAGTACGATATCCGGCATCTGAATCCTTTCTGTATTCTAGTTGTTGAGCGCGGGTGGAGCAAAGAATATCAAATTCCGGAAGGATAGCGACCATGTCAATATCTGCCTCTAATGAGGAGCCGATTCGGAGACGCTGAAGCTTTTCCAGTGGACGCGCGAATTTTTGAAACTCGATTCCTGTTTCAAATGTCTCTTGAAAAGTTTCTGCTGCATCATCCTATATCACCATTTTTCAAGTTCCGGATATTGAAGAAAAATAAAAATAAAAACAAGCTGGTATTAGATGACTGCATAATTTAATAGTTTGAGGCCCTACATTTTAAAAAGTTGAAAGCTCACGGAGTCTTATGATGTGACCATACAAATGTAGTGCTGATAAAGGGCTTTTTTTTAGAAGCTGTTAAACTAGGAACAGGGCTACTATGAAAAAAAAAAAAAAAAAAAAAAAAAAAAATGAAGCAGGACGTGATGGCCCATTAGCACATGGGCTTCATTTAGTGATCTGAAGTTGCATCGCGAGCCTCAAAGCTGTTGAGGGTTTAATCTTTTACCTTTCCGTGTCTACATCCACGTCCATGTCCTTGTCCTTGGGTGTGGTATTGAAGTCTGAAAACCCTGCGAATGATTTTGAACTATTCCATGCCATTGTTTAAACACGACTAATGATGGTTCTCTATGATTAGCCCTTGAATATGCTTACTATGGCGAAATAGCAGATGGCTACCCTAATGCTTTTGTTGGCTCAGCGCTTAGTCGCGTCAAAGAGAGGATTGGGGATGGTAAAGAAGCAAACCGATCCCAATGTGATTTATTTGTGGCTGGACTAGTCTGTCAATAATTCAAGGGCAGAATTAAAGTGCGGAAAAAGGTGGTATTATACAAGCTTTCTGAACGTGAAATAATGGTATCATTTATTCATTAAGCAAAAACATTGTAAGGAAAGACTTTCTGACCATATTCTTGCAACGAAGAGGAGTCATGCGCCCTGTTGGAATGCTTCTTGGGCGGAAGGCGTGCATCGTCGGACCAATGGCGGCGCAATGGGCAGCAGCTGTTGTTCAACCAAGAGTTCTGCCGAACTTGGCTGTAAGAAGCCTTTCAGGAACAGCCGCCCTTCGAAAACAACTTGACTCTGGGGATAATTCCTCAGCTTCAACAGCATCGGATATGACTAACTTATCGGCTGAATCAATCGTCCTATCTGCTGACTTGACTGTGGATTCACCTATATCTCAAGCATCTACTCAAGTCAATGCTCTCCTTGCCAGTACACATTATATACTGGAATGTATACATGCCGTAGGCCTTCCCTGGTGGGCGACCATCTTTTGTGCAACATTTTTGCTCCGCACAGCTATCACCACTCCAGTAGCGATCTATCAGCAACGAGCTGTGGGAAGGATGATGATGTTAACGCCAGTGCTCCAGGCTTGGTTGGAGACACTCAAGGCCAGTGTGAGTATCGATCATAAGCTCAAAGATCGCGACTATTCAACTTTCAATCAGGAAATTCAGAACGCAGTAGGTATTTCACTTCTTTTATGACCATTATTGCAGTTTGACTTTTGACTCGGGGTATGATAGGAAGAAAGGAAAGGATAATAACATTCGTTTTTCAAATGAATTGCTTCTCCTTTTTGGATTCTTTTCATCGCATCTAGTATCGCGCCAAAGTCAAGGAATTGTATTCTAAGCATAAGTGTAATCCCCGTGTCAGTTTTCTGTTACCTTGGGTTCAAATACCGCTCTTTGTTACTATGTCGTTGACGATTCGAGGCATGGCTGGATACCCTTTACCTTTCTTGGGTGACTCTAGGCTCGTGCCTGAATCAGGGTTTACAGAGGGCGGCACTCTTTGGTTTACAGACCTAGCAGCCTCAGATCCAACATGGATCATGCCGGTTGCCATTGGCGCCACTAACCTACTCAATGTTGAGGTAATGTTTAACGTCCTTTGGTGTTCAGAAAGCGAGAGTTTATTAGTTGCCATTAAGGCTTGAACAAAATAAAAAGCTTACTAAGCTTCAAATTTCTGACCCTGGAATCTTTTCATAGATGAACAGCTCGATGATGAGTAAAACTCCTACAAGGAACCAAATTATTTTCCGCAACCTGTTCCGCGCTCTATCCATAAGCATGATTCCTATTGCACATGAGGTGCCCATGGTAAGGAACGAAGCTGAATAATAATAATAAAAAAAAAAGATAGTCATACCTTTTGTTGTTGTCGTTATTGTTGCTTGAGTGGTTGCTTTGGACCTCTGTAAAGCTAACCTTTGCTCACTATCAATCAGGCTATTTGCCTATATTGGCTTTCATCAGGAACATACAGTGTCGTTCAAAACCTTGCATTCCGTATGCCTGGTGTTAGGCGATGGTTGAAGTTACCACCTCTACCCAAACAAGCTCTCCAGTAAAAGATTGATTTTTTTTAAAAAAAAAAAAAAAAAAAAAAAAAAAAATGAATATCTTTAATAGAGTAGTATACAATAAAATATGCGATTCTAATTAATATGTAGTAAAAAAAATTGTGAAAGAGCAACAAGTGATAAAGGTCGAAAAGAAGTATTAAGACGATGTCATCATAACATCCCCATCCCCATCGTTATCATGGTTATAATCATTGTCACCACCACGCATAGAGGTTCTGTGTGCTGTGGTTCTCTCATTGTCATTATCCTTAGAAGAGCGGCTGTTATCATCATCGTCGTTCATATCCATCATGACAATAGCTGGCTTTTTGTTGATGGTTGGCGACGTGCTTAATGTTGAAGAGTCTTTTTTGATGTCGCTAGGGTTGATGATGATATCTTCTTCTTTGATATCCTTCTTAAGATCAAACACACCCAATCCCAAGTCCATTTCGATATATTGTTCACCGCTCTCCTCATCCACATTCTCAATATCTAGAGCTTTAGGGTCCTGTTTGATCTGCTGTTCCAGCTGAGCATTGGCCTCCTTGATCTTTGGGAGAAAATCCTCAAGACGTGCCAATACTAATAGAAAAGAAGCAACAGACAAACACATTCATGCATAGAAAGAGTTAATAACAGCTGATGATGGGGAAAAGGACACATCTGATACATCGATCTCAAAAAGAAAATGGCCTACTACTTACAGTCAGATTGAACCCTGAATGTTTTACGCTCGCCTGTCGACTTTTTATCCTCATCAGACGTAGAGGAGGTAGAGGCTTTGTTGCCGCTCAAAAGGTTGCCTGTGAAATGGAGAAAAAGCAAATTAATTGGCTTTTCACACATAAACATGCAGCAAGATCCGCGTGGCGACTAATCATGGACATTTACTAATGAGTTCGTCCTTGGAGGAGAGGTCCAGCCGTGGGTTTGACATGGTGGGTAATAAAGAAGGTCTAATGGGGTTCAACAACCATGCAATGAGTTTTTTGTACCCGCCAATTGTTTTAAGGGGCCGTGCACGATTTTTGTCTCTTGAGTTTCTATGACTCTTAAAAAAAAAAAAAAAAAAAAATAACAGACCACTTGTCAGACTTTCACTTTGGATACGCCCAGCTTTCTTTTTCTTCTGAAATCATCATTTGTCTATATTCAACCATTCGAAATAATCATGCTGGACATCAATCTCTTCTTGGAGGAACGAGGAGGCGAGCCTGAACGCATTCGTGAATCCCAACGCCGGAGACATGAGTCTGTCGAACTCGTCGACGAAATCATTGCCCTCTATGAAGATTGGAAGACAAGTAGGTGAAACAGACTAGTAAACCCCACAGGGACCCCTAAGCCAAGCAAAGGAAGTCTCGAACTCGCATATCGAAAGCTGACTACATTTGTGTCTAACGTCGCGTAATAGCGACAGATGTCATTGTCGTTATTATATATTTCGATAAATTACTGTCTTCAATCAAGATGATTTATCGAAGACAACAATGGACGTCTCTAATTTTAACTGTTGCACTTTTTTTTTTTTTTTTTTTTTTTTTTTTTATTTGCTTACCACAATATCTTCTTTAAGCTCGTTTCAATCTTGATCAGTTAAACAAGAAGTCCAACGCTATCCAGAAAGAGATCGGTGTGAAGATGAAGGTAATACCTTTGTCTAGCGACTCTACCTTATTATTTAATGGAAGACTTTTTCGACTTACTTTTGCAATGGGAAATGGAATATACATCGGATAACTAATACTGAAGTAATTGATTGACATGGTCTGGTATGACCCATGGCTCACCTACAGAAAAAGGAGGATGCTTCTGATCTCATCCAGGCCCGTCTCGACAATAAGAAGGAGCAAGAGACTTTGGAAGTCGATCTCAAAGCCAAGGAGGCCTTATGGACTGCCAAGTTGAGCTTAATTGGAAACTTGGTTCATGACTCTGTTCCTGTCTCGGATAACGAGGTAAATGACAGTAATGAATCATTGTTGAATGGAAGATTAATTTTGATGGCATGAGGCGCAGCAGATAATATGAATACCGCCTGCGGTTATTGTCATAACTAATTTTTTTATTTTATTTTATTTTATTTTATTTTATTTTTTTGAATGTGCTCTGACTCATTCATTAAAAAGGACAACAACGTTGTTGAGAGGACTTACTTCCACAATGGCAAGAATCCTGAACACAACCCCAAGATCTATTCCCATGATGAGGTTCTCTACCGTCTGGGAGCCTATGATCCCGAGCGTGGACATAAGGTCGCTTCTCATCGTGGTTACTTCTTAACGGATGTGGGTGTTGAACTCAATATGGCTCTTGTGAACTATGGGCTCTCATTCTTGGGCAAGCGAGGTTACAAGAAGCTCCAGACCCCCTACTTTATGAAGAAGGAGGCCATGGCCCAGACCGCCCAGCTGTCCCAGTTCGATGAGGAGTTGTACAAGGTCACTGGAGATAACGAGGATATGTATTTGATTGCCACCTCCGAGCAACCCATTTCTGCTTTCCATGCCAACGAATGGTTTGAGCAACCTAAGGAGCAGTTGCCCATCAAGTATGCTGGTTATTCAACCTGCTTCCGTAAAGAGGCTGGCGCTGCTGGCCGTGATACCTGGGGTATTTTCCGCGTCCATCAATTTGAGAAGGTAGAGCAGTTCTGTTTAACAGAGCCAGAGAAATCTTGGGAGATGTTTGACCACATGATCCAGAACTCAGAGGAGTTTTACCAGTCTCTCGGTCTCTCATATCGTATTGTGTCCATTGTTTCGGGAGCACTCAACAATGCTGCAGCTAAAAAGTATGATCTGGAGGCATGGTTCCCTTTCCAAGGTGCCTATAAGGAATTGGTCTCGTGCTCAAACTGCACAGACTATCAGTCCCGTAACTTGGAGATTCGGTGCGGAATCAAGAAGATGGGCGATCGTGAGAAGAGATATGTCCATTGTTTGAATTCGACTTTGACTGCAACTACGCGTACCTTGTCGTGTATCCTCGAGAATTATCAGACTCCTGAGGGTATTCGCGTCCCCGAGCCACTGATCCCTTACATGGACGGACGCGATTTCTTACCTTTTGTTCGTGAACTTAAAAGCCCAAAGGTAAAGGCCAAAGGATATGCTTATTTTATTTGCCACATTTATTGCAAACGAAGCCCAGAGATGCATATAATCGATCGACTGATGTTAACCTTTCTCTTTTTCTTTTATTTTTTTTCTTGGTGATAGAAATAAGCGCGAGACCTGTATCTAGGAAAACGAGATAAAATACCCGCCAGCGCGCGGATAGAAAAAAAGAAAAGAAAAGAAAAAAAAAGAATAAAAGCATTCCGAGGAGGGAGCAAGAATAGGATAGGGATATTTAGATCTACCATTTACTGCTTTCACATTCATCACACGCCCAACACAATAAACAAACACGAGAATTTCAATAAACGCGATGAGAGCAATGCATCAACATGGCGCAGTATATATTCCCAATTGGGAAGTATTTTAGCCCATTATTGGGGCGATCGGGGCTAATGGGCAAACTTGGTGAGACAGAAGTTGTGTGGAGTTGAAAGAGTCGATCGAAAGTAGAGACTGATTTGATCCTTTGGGCTATGTCCTGGAAGTTTAGTCAGGCTAATGCTAATATCCATGTTGATAATGTTCATTTCACCTATCCTTGCAGCATTGCAGCGTATAAATGATATAAACAAGTTCGAACTCTTTTTTTTTTTTTTTTTTTTTTTTTTTTTGTTATTTAAAACAAGCGCTCACATTTCAAATCTCCTTTTCTCTCCAACACATTCAAATCAGCTTTCTGTTTTGTTTTTCATTCTTCATTCCTCTTTTTTCTTACTCTGTTACTTATAAGCACTACTTTTTTTTCTTTTTCTTTTTTCTTTTCTTTTCTTGTCGCCACTCATGATCAACGACGCAAACAACATCGTGCTGGCCGTTGTAAGGATTTCAAATTCAGCGTCTTTTTTTTTTTTTTTCTTTCTTTTTTTTTTTTGTTTGTTTGTTTAAAAAGAGTTGTTAATAATTATAAAAAAACGCGTTCTGTACAGCTCGGCGCTGTAGGAAATGGAAAATCATCTACTTTGAATTCTATTATTCAGGAACCACTTTTTCAGTCTGGCCGTTCTGTTGGTGTAAGTAAAAGAAAAAAAAAATCTTTTTTTTTTTTTTTTTCTAAAGATCAACATAAAGGGACATGTGCATTACAAATCCACTTTCTTCAAGGATGGGATGATTTCGTTCACGAAAAGCTTCTCTTCTCCCCTCTGAGGGTTTCGACGGTTTTCTTATAAATCAGGGGCGGGGGCCATGCGGATAGTACTCTTCTTCTCCGGCCAAATCAAGCCTTAATAAGATGAAGGAAAAAAAAAAAAAAAAAAAAAAAAACGATGAAGATAACTATGTCTTGACAAGAGTTTGAGTTATTTAATTGAATCTGATCCGAACATTATGTCTTGTTTCCTTTTTTCATCTAGGCCGTGACGCAGCACATCGGAAGTTGTGTTCGCCACTGGAAGCTTCCCGAAGTCGGAAGAACCGTTCATATTGTTGACACGTAAGTTTGTAATTGCAATTGTATAAACATGTATATATTATATATATACTTTTTTTTTTTTTTTTGTGTTGCCGAAGTCCTACCATGCTATGCAACATGTATCACCTCAATAACAAATCGACAAAAAAATTCTGGAAGTCGATGCAGGGTCGATGGCGCAGTCGTTGCTGAATACGAAGAACACCGAAAGGTCGAAAAAATAAAATAAAATAAAATAAAAGGAATTAAGCTTGACGGGAAGGGAGATGAGGAGGAAATCAGGGAGGAGGCGAAAGAGAATGTGATGTTGGAAAGGGCTGCATAAGTCTCAATCATGTGGGACTGTCGCTTATTGGATTGCCACTTCTTTTTGGAATACCATTTTTCTGAATTGTCTACTTCTTACTGGTGGAAGTTTTAGATGGACATCTGTTGGCAGTGCTCAATGCTCAGTGACAACAAACCCAAACTTTACGCACTCACACTCTCTGTACTTTTTTTTTTTTTTTTTTTTTTTTTTTTTTGCTGTTTACAAAAAAATGCTACGTTAGCCCTGGAATGTGCGAGTCAACATATAAGGATGTAGAGAATGTGCACTTGATGGTGGAGTTTTTCAAGACCTTGTCCCATGGCGTAAGCGCGTTTGTACTCGTTTTCAACATCCATAATACAAGGTAAGCATAACAACCATAACAACATAACATTGTTAATAAAATTGTCTTTGACAGAGTGCTCCACCTACGACATGAGGTTTTAAGCTTTTATCTTTTTTTATAAAAAAAAAATACAAAAAGACTGGATGAATATACAAAAAATATGCTGCGGCTGTTTGAGCGTCTACTGGGTCAACATTTCTGGAAACATGTTGTCATCGTTTTTACACACGTAGACGAGGATCAACGGGATTATCTGGATCAGAACATTGATGCATTAACAGATCCTTCGGAGGGCTTTGTCAAAGTGTTGAGTCAATGGTTCAACCTGCCTTATCAACCCCCATTGGTGTTCCTGTCCAACAAAGATACACGCTATAGCAGCTATGCTCGAGAGTGCTTCCAGGAACTCTATGAAGCCGTCGTATCAGTTGAGGAGGGCGCCAGGAGAGCCAAATTTACATGTACCTTTTTCCAAGAAGTGAACAATAGGGTAAGTTAGCTCATCTTTATGCCAACACTATAGACATCAAAGACAAACGCCCGTGTATTGATTTTTTGTTTCTTATTTCTCTATAGATCGGTGTTGCTCAAGACAACTTTATTGTTCAGAGTATTCGCCACGCTGCGGTGTCGATCCCTCAAATGGTTCAGACTGGTACAAGGAACGTTGTTAATGCCTGCAATGTCATGTAGAGGGGAAAAGAAAAAATGAAAAAGAAAAAGAAAAAAAGTTTTGTTCATAGCATGTGGTAACCAGCATGGGGCCCTTCTCTAAAGCGAAAGCAAAAATATATATTTATTCATTTATTTATAAGACTCGTCCAGCATCTTATTTTAGCATTCCATGAAGTAAAATTACCCGGTACACAGAAAGAACAACGGTTATACATGTACATTTACATTGTGCGATGCGCAGTACATGGTACGCGTCGACACCCCGCGTGATGCACTTGAGCATTGATTTATCACTGCGGTGGATGATCGAAATAAGGCTGTAAAGTGAAAGCATTGACGCTTCGTATGTATATCATCATTAATAGATACAATCTGGGATGTTGACAACAACTAACATGGCCAAAAGAAGTAATGTTGGATAGTATATAACAACGCAGGTGTAGCAGGAGAAAACAGAGTATGTATTTCCTTGAGGATCTGATAAGCTTGTTATGAGCGCAGTTCCAATTTTTTTTTTTTTTTTTTTTTTTATATATTTGCCCTACGTGGATGACTCCTTTCTGGAGCAACAGTAAAGAAAAGAGCGAGACTAAAAAATAAAAAAATAAAAAAATAAAAAAAAGAAACTTGTATATGTACTTCTAACAATGATATATATATATTTCAACCGGGGTTTAATTAGCATAGAGAAGAGATGGAAGAACCGTTTGTGCTGATTGAATCAAGGACAGTAGATATGATAGAGCACAATGGATTTTGAGGATCTGATAATGATTAAAGGATAAGAAAGAGGACAATTTAATCCCCGGAGGATGCCCATCTGCTTTAATGATTGAGGTCAACTGCGCAAAGGGGAAAAAGAGGAAAAGAGGAATGGTTTTCAACCGCCGCTTGTTCGTTTGGTTTAGTGAAAGAGCTCTGTATAGTAACATGCAGTCGAATCAGTTGTATAAAAGACAAGCTTTTTTTTTTAAACTTCTTTCTTCCTCCTTTTACTTTTTCAATCTTTTTCCTTATCTTTCTTACACATCATTGTTGCTTCTCCAACATTCATCCCAGCAACAACAACGAATTCATTCAGCCATCGCGCTTTATTATCAGGATCTTGGCCCAATAATTATCATCATCACCGTTACTATTATTAACAACATTATTATCATTACACGAAAGGTAATTTTTCATTGAATACAAAAAATCTGATTGTACAAGGCTTGGCTTGTCCTATCTAGTTTCTGTTTGGAGAGTTTTTTACAACTGGACATGAACAAGTCGCTCGATACAACAAAGCGTATGAAGTTGTACAATGCCCGAGACCTCGTTATTTCTTTTTGCTTTCATTTTTATTCTCTCTTTGTTGAGCATGTATTACGGCTATTATGCCTTTGAGGAAAGAGGAAGGAGTAAATATATGTTGCTATAGCATGTACGATTAGATATCTCTCCTATTCTCCTGTTTTACTGAATAGTTGATCAATTGATAAAAGAAGCTTACTCGAGAATCAAAAATGAGTTGGAAACCTTATTTTTGTTTTTGTGTACAAACATGTCACTTTGTGCCATGTGAAGGGAGAAGGAGAGAAGGGGAAAAAGTGATTGAAATTCGCCATGCAATTAAGCAGTTCAATCTACTTTTGAACCCTGCTTGTTTGAAAATGACTTGCGATTTTGTTTTGATCGCCCTGTTAAATGGGAACAACAAGTTTTACGCATCAACTCACTTTATGTCTTTTTCTTTTCTTTTTATCTCTCTTACAACAAAACAGTGTTTTGTTTCTTTTTTCCTTTTAACCTTCAGCCTTCACCCTTTCTTCTTTTTTTTTATTTTTAACTTTCACGGCATTCGTTTTTTTTTATTATCGTTATTATTTACTCTTCCGTCTTTCTAATAACTGTTCTTTTTCATTCCTATATTTTGACAACCGTAAACAACGATAATAACCACAGCAACGACAACAGCAACAGCAACAGTCATCCTATTATCTCCTACTTCAACTTAGCAAGCATGGCTCAAATTACTGAAGAGATCGATTATGAAGCTTTGCCCGAGAACGCTTCCTTGTCTGCCAGTTTGCTTGCCGGTGCCTTTGCCGGTATCGCTGAGCATGCCATCATGTACCCTGTCGATTCGATCAAGGTAACGTAAGCAGTCATTTTATTGAAACCAATCCAAACTGCGCAAAAAAAAAAAAAAAAAAAAAAAAAAACGTTATTCAACAACTGCATGTAATGAAGGCAAATATGGATCTGCGTGAATGAGAGAATCAATGGATCAACAAGTTGTGAAATTGTGCGAGTTTCAAATTTTTAACAAAGAGCAATCGTTGAAAACAGAAATCAGAGAATCAGAATGTTGATGACGATTGAGATTGAATTATGCCTTTTTCTTTTCTCTCTTCACCCCTCGCACTGGCATGTTGTGGAGGAAGAGAGATTATTTGTTGCAGCTCCCTTAATAAACAGGCGAGTTTTGGATAGCCCTCTAACACTCACGTCATTTTTTATCTTTTTAAAAATTCTTGATCGCTTTAGACAAGAATGCAAATCCTTCAACCTACTCCTCAGGCCGTATACAGTGGAGTCATCAATGCTGTCTCCAAGATCTCAACAACAGAGGGTGCAAAAACGTTGTGGAGAGGCGTCAACTCTGTGATCTTGGGTGCAGGACCTGCTCACGCTCTCTACTTTGGCACATATGAGTATGCTAAGGATGCATTTGGAGGCAATGGAATTGGGCATCATCCCCTTGCTGCAGGTAAGAAAAGATAAGAAGAAAAAAATTGCTATCAGCTATTTTCTTTAACAGTAAACGTATTGCCGAGATAACAGTAATACAGTACAGTTGGAAGGAAAAAAAAAAAAAAAAAAAAAAAAAAAAGAGTACCGTTGTTGACGGTGGCACAACAAAAACGAAGTTCATCATGCGTCCAATTAAACTTGTTTCGCTCTCTGAACCATGAAATGACCTTTCTCACTTTTTGCGGAAGGCGTGTATGCGTGCGTGTGTACTGAAAAATAAATGGTCTCTTACTGCAATGCGGGAGAGACAAACATGCCAAATCACTTTGCTGACATCCTCTCATTTTTTTTCATCTCAAATTTTATATTTTTTTTTAAAAAAACAGGTACTGCAGGTGCCTGTGCAACCATTGCAAGCGATGCATTGATGAATCCTTTTGATGTGATTAAGCAGCGTATGCAGGTTCATGGATCCGTTTACAAGAGCGTATTTGACTGCGCCACTAAAGTATACAAGTTGGAGGGACTTCGAGCTTTTTACATCTCCTATCCAACCACCTTGACCATGACCATCCCTTTCCAATCCATTCAATTCGCCACATATGAATATCTTCGTAAGGTTTTGAACCCCACAGGAGTATATGATCCTTTGACACATATCACAGCAGGAGGTATTGCTGGTGCAGTAGCTGCTGCTGCGACTACACCTTTGGACGTAGCCAAAACATTGTTGCAGACCCGTGGAGAGGCCACAGATGTGAGGATAAGGAATTGTAATGGTTTATTTGAGGCATTCAAATTGATCTATCAACGTCAAGGTCTAGCTGGATTTGCAAAGGGTATTCAACCTAGAATATTGAGCCATATGCCCTCAACAGCCATCTGCTGGGGTGTCTATGAATATGGTAAATGGTTCTTAAGTCGTAACAACGCAGATCAACATCCCATCAACATGCATTAAAAAAAAAAAAAAAAAAATCAATATCTATTTCTTCTCCCTCTTCTTTTCATCTCCTCTCATTTTTGTTATTCCTGTAATATAAAAGTACTTGAAATAAAAGCTAAATCATCCAAAATTACAAGTAATAAAAATCATGGAATCTAACGAATGTTTGATATTACAAGAGGTTTTAAAGTGATATATTGATAAACAAAAAGACTATAATGTGAGTGTGCGACCAAATATAAAAGGGTGGATTTTTTGTTCGACTTGATATGAAAATGACAATGACAATGAGAATGAGAATGTATAAGCTTTTTTTTTTTTTTTTTTTTTTTTTTTTTTTCCTTCCACGACTGCATCAACATCGAGCTGATTACTATTTAGTGGAGACAACTAGTTTTTTTTTTTTTTTTTTTTTTTTTTATCTTTTAGTTGGCAAGTTTAAGTGCCCCGGATGTTGTCAGCGCATGGTACAGATCCTCCAAAAGATCTTCGACATCTTCAATGCCTACACATAGGCGGATCAAATCCTCGGGCATGGCACGCTCTGCGCGCACTGCAGCAGGAATACTGGCATGAGACATGCGACATGGCATACTACAATAGAAAACCCATAAAAACTAACATAAGTATTTTGAAACTTACAAAATAACTATTATGCTGTTCACCATCGTGTTATATTAAAAGTAAAGAGAATAGCGTTCCTATTCATTACCTGATCAAAGAGTTGACACAGCCAAAGCTTACACTAATACCCCAAAGGCGTGTCAATTCAACCAATTTTTCGCTCAGTTCGACATCACCCGTTTCGAAGCTGAGGACAGCACCCGGTCCTGCTGACATCTTTGCATGCAGCTCGTATTGAGGGTGTGTCTTGAGCCCTGGGTAATGGACCTTGAAGTTATGTGCCTGTAAAAAGTCTGCAATCTTCATAGCGCTAGCCTGCTGGCGATCCATGCGTACTGCAAGTGTCTTGACACCTCTCATTAACAGCCAACAGTCGAAGGGTCCAAGGCCGACCCCTGTAGCATTGATTGTGAAATAGATTTTCTATTCATGGTGCGCATGTATATATATATAACCGGTAAGTAATAAAAAAAAAAGAGTAAAGAGATACAGAAGCACATCGCTGAACATATTAATCAATTTCGGAAGGGACACATACATCAGCAATGGCGTCGTCCTTGACAGCGACAACTCCAGCCATGAGATCGTGGTGTCCGCTGAGATACTTGGTTCCTGAGTGGTATACAATATCGGCGCCAAGCTCCAATGGCCTCTGAAGGTAAGGTGACATCATGGTATTATCAACAACAACAAGCGCATTGGGGCAACGCTCGTGCACAATCTCTGAGATCCGTGGGATATCTGCAATCTTCATCAATGGGTTGGTAGGAGTCTCCAGCAAGACAAGACGTGTCTTTTCTGAAAGGTAAGGAATGATGGCTTCCGAGTTTGTAGTGTCGATGTGGTGTGTCTTGACATTATTGTGTGTAGCCAAGAAGCTTAGTAGTCGATTTGTGCCTGAAGGATGGTCATTTTTTGTATGTTTGTGTCACAAGTGACAAGGAAAAGGATGAGTTGGTTTTGAGCAAGTGTGAGTTTTTTGGGAAGTGGTTGTAGCGTTGGTTTAGTGCATATTGTCAAAGTAGTAGCAAATGAGATTCAAGAGATCTGTTCAAACTACCGATCACATCATTTTCCCTCTTTTTTCTCAGGCTAGGTTAAAGCAAATCCAGCCGAATAACAAAAAAAAAAAAAAAAAAAAAAAAAGAGCACCGGTCCCAGAAGCAATTAGTGATTTGTTTCCTTTTTATGATGATTACCTCCATAAAGATCGTTTCCTGCAATAACCTCTTCGTTGGCCTTGACAAGCCGAGTAATGACATCCAGAGCAGTCATACCACTGTTGACTGCAAAGGCACGCTTTGCGGACATGATCTTGGCAAGATGATTCTCTATTTTGATAATAAATGTTGGGTTACAAATAATTCAAGTCCGTTTAGTCTTTTGTCTGTTCCACTTTGACTGTTTTGTTTCCCTGTCATGAATGCAACTCTGGAAGCTGAATGAATCGAATTGAAGTTAGAATTGACTTTTTCATTCTTTACCAACATGAGAACGGGTAGGATTTCCGGAACGAGAGTAATCATATTCTCCCATCTGTGTGGAAGATTGTTGCTTAAATGTGGCTGTCTGATAGATAGGCATAGAGGCTGCGTTGTAATTGTCCTTTGGACCCTTTCCGTCCGAGTTGTCGACATAGACAAGCTCTGTGGCAGGTCTGTATTTGATTCGTGTGGTGTTGTCAGCCATGTCTGATATGTACAAGCAAAGAGTCCCGAGCGTAATATATGTGTGAACAATAGAGAGTGTATGGAAATGAAAGTGAGAGAATCGTCTGATATGGGATGTTGTCCTAAAAGGGAGTGAAGATGAAGAGAAGATGGGTGAAGGAAAAAGAGACCCAAAAAGTCAAAAAATTAGGTCAAGTGCAAATAAGACATTTCAAGAAAGCACCCACACAGAGCATAAGAGTCATCTCGCCTCAGTCAAACTGAATACATTAAACCTTGTTGGATACACAAGCTTCTGTCAACAGTCACTGACATGGCGACATCAATCTCTTAATTTGTGTCACGGGATCGTAGCGTTGTAACGCTAGTAGTTGCCATTTCTGCTGTTGTTATCACTGTTATTGCTATTGCTGCTTGTGGTGCCAGAGATGATCCTTGTGATCGAATACAAGGACTATGTTCTTTGCTGGCACATCAAATAGTTCTGTAGGACACTGCAGGTCTTCCCGTCTGCCATCATGTCATGATGTAGATATCATTGACAGCTAGGACAATAAAGACAATGGAGGTAATCTTCCCATATAATGTCCACCTGCTGGATACTTATTGCTGACCCAAATACTTCTTCGCGCCGACAAGGACATACTTAAGTGAGCGGTCCTCTAGATGTATAGTGAATATAGAAAAAAGAGTTACAGTAAAAAAAAAGAGAAGACGAACAAGGATGTTTAGTAGCTATAACCTTTTTAATTCACCAAGATAAACAAACTACAAAGACAAGAGAGCAGAAGCTGGAGAAAAGGCTACGAGGAGAAGAGTTTGCTATTATCACGAAGGAATGTAAGGGAAGTCGATATCGATAAGGTGAAGTGCTCGACATCGTAATTACTAGAATAGATCTTAATTTCTTCAACCAATCAATGTCTCCCTTCACAAGCTACGTGCAATTTACGCGACTGGATATTTGTACATGTACGTGTAGGAAAAATAAAAAATAAACTTGAACCAAAGCATCGCCCAGGCCGCTTTTACACATTCAACTCTTAATTTCAACTCATTGTCATGGTGCATAGCATTCCAGATCCCGCTTCAGGACAAACCCTTGAAGAGCTTCACAGAGTAGTCGTGGCACTGCCGCGTATGCCCAAAAATATCGTCGACGATACTCGTCACGAAAAAGTGCTGTCCTATATATCTGCCTTTATTGCACAGGAAGATCCTGTGTTGATCCATACAATGTTGGTTGATTGGGCTATCCTTGATATCTTTCAGGTTGGATAAATCAACTGTTGAGGCAAAGCTTTTCTATTGTATTTTATATAAGCTATTTCTACCTCTTCGATAGCTTACCATTAATATCTTTCTTTTTTTTTTTTTAATAAAAAAAAAAAAAAAAAAAAAAAAGGCTTGCCTTACTTCTGATCAGGATTATCGTGTCAGCTGTGTAGCACTACGTCTCTTAGGTTACTTACTGAAGCATGACCCTACACCAGCAACGACCATTAGTAGCAGTGGTAGCAGTAATGATAACAATATACCTAACGTATGGCAACAACTTGAAACTCATTATCCGATTATTCTGAAATTCATGATTGACAACACTATGGGAGAGGAAGCTTTAACACGTTACTCATGTTGGTTCGCGTGGGAACACGCAGTCAAATATGATGGCGGCGCACGATGGTAAAATCAATTGTAGAGCAGGCTTTGAAGAAAGGCATTGGGAGATTAAAGTCATCAGATTAACATCTAACTCTAACGTTTGATGCTTTTGCGTACAAAACAAAAAAAAAAAAACAACAACAACAATCACAGGCTATTGGAGACAGGGAAATCCGCTGGCATGGTCACTGCTGCGCTCAAAGATACCAGCACTTATGTATGATATGATTATTATTATTATTATTATTATTATTATTATTTTTTTTTTTTTTTTTTTTTTGGATGTATCCTAAATCGACATTTTTTTTTTATCCCTAATGGGCTATTTGATATTTAGGTACTGAGCGCAGCGTGTCGGTTTTTGGTAGCCATTATTGAGAACCGTAGCATTGACATAGAACGGATCACAGCTCATGATACGCTATTGGACACACTGCTGGAGTCAATATCTTTATACAAATTAATTCATACCATGATGACAGACCAGGATCTGGAGAGTAATAGAGTCGCAGGCTTGGAGTTCCTGTGGATGGTAACAGATGCTAGATCAGATCATGGATCGGCATTTCTACGTCAAAGTCAACTGGTAACGTTTGTTTGCTGTAATCCGCTTTTTTTTATATTTTATTTTTTCCGGTAAATATAGAGGTCGCAGATACGTAGACCGGGATATGTTTAAGCATAGCATTTCAACAGTTTTTTTTTTCTTTTTTTTTTCTTTTTTTTTATCGACTATAGCTTTTCTCATACATGGACTTACTTATGGATGATTCACGATTAGTCAGAAGTAGAGCCTTGGATATTCTTTCCATTTTATTGGAATCAACAGCTAATCCTTTGAGCATCCTCGGGAAGGACATAGCACCGACGCAAGGGATGGAGCTGGACAAATCAGATGACCAAGCTATGGTCGAATGTGAGTTTCCAATCTTTCCTCAAAAGCTTTCCGTTTACGAACATTGCTACAGTCCATCATAAGAAGAGCCAAGTTTTTTTTATCTAACATCTATTCCGGTATACATTAGGCTTTAATTATTTGTTGGATCATGATGTATATTCATTGATCATCCTCACGGACTCACTCAAGGCACTTCATGTGGCAACGGGTATTTTGGATGCAATGATCAAACCTTTACGTCAAAGTGAGGAAATGCATGGCATCGGAACCGATTTTAAGGATACTATAGTATCAGTCATCCTTTGGATTTTGCAGGCATTGCAGGAGAACACAAAGGGAGGTCCAATGGCTGCTGTTAGTCATATCCAAGCTAATACTATCATAGTACAGGGCAAAGGCAAGCTTGCACATCAACTTAACCAACCTGGCTTTCAATCTTTGGTCAAATCGCAGAGTCAAGCAAAGCCAATGAAAGGCGCTTCAGCGGCAGCAGCTAGAGGTGGCACGCTATCCAAGACGATAGTCTTATCAGCTCTCAAGGCTCTCCAAAGTTTGGCCTTATTATTCCCGGAAACGGTAGAAAAGAGTGCCGCTATCCATATGATACTATTGATTTTACTTGATCAAAAGCTATGCTCAGATCAGAGGGTTTTCAAGGCATGCTTGACAGCACTCCCTATTGTTCTAAAGACAAAGATTCAGGATGGACAGTTACTAGATGAGCAGTTGTTTGCGAATGCAATGATGGTTATCCTCGGACTTTTACAACGCCAGAGTGTTGGAAGTACATCTGTCAAGTTGATTCTCACAGCCATCCTTGAGTTTTTTGCAGACAATACTATCGGATCAATACTGTCAAATGAGGTGAGGGAGCTATCCACGATGAAAATGTTTGAAGAAAAAAAAAAAAAAAAAAAGTTTGGTAATACTAAGCTTTACTGAGATATTTTTTTTTTCTCTCGATATCTCGGTGCGGGTGAGTAGAAAGTAGGGCTGGATCTGGCAAATGCTCTAGGGCTCAAGCTATATGACATGGAGTGGGATGTACGCGATAATGTAATTGAGTTTATTGGTACACTTTTCAGAAATGTAAGTTTAAAGGGACTCGCTATGCCTTATTGAATGAGCTACGGATCGCAATCATATGGTCTAAACACTGACCCCTAATCATTCTTATTTACGTTCGTAGGCAGAAACAAATCATGGTGTGGATTGGGCACTAAAGCATGATCTTCTCGAGGTTGTCTTCCAGAAACTTTCGGATGAGGAGGCGTATGTTCGAGCTACTAGTATTTATACCTTTGAATCAATTATGCGTCATCCTCAAGGATGGAAGAGGATGTGCGGCAAAAATCTGGATGAGCGACTCAGCAGTCAGTTACCATCGTTAATCCAAGATAGCGAGGCTTTTGTAAGGCGTGCAGTACTGGAGGCAATGATCTGTCTAGTCACAGAACGCGACTCTGGTACAATTGTCATGGTCCATGGAACACATCTCTTCCAGGAGTAAGTCAAAAAAAAAAAAAAAAAAAAAAAGCCTATCAATGAAAGAAAGCGTGCGGATTTATTTATTTGCTTATTTATTTTACTTTTTCTCTTTGTAACAAACTTTATAGTTCAACATTCATGTCACGGTTGACATTAGATGACAGTGACTGGGAGGTTCGTATCCGTGCCTGTGAGTTTATTGCAGCCATCTGGAGTGATTGTATGGAACTTTCAGGATCAGACAGTCGAGAGGATGGGGAGGATGGCGATGCTAAAGAAGGACGTTCCACAAAGCGACAAAAGGACTCACATATCTCCAAACCATCGTCATCCTGGTTTTTTGATATTCGGGGAGATAGAATTCTGGTCGAGGCTGCTCTGGACTCTTCGCGACTTGTGCGTCTCACGAGTGTAGAAACGCTCAAGCAGATCAAAGTATCAATTGAAAAGTCCTTTCCATCAGTTGTCAAGGAATATCTTGAGATACAAGCGAACAACAATAGTCTTGGTGGGGGTGAGGATAAAGGTATAACAATAGAGATGACGACGAACACTACCAGCACTCATTTGCTCCGTTTCTACACCACATTGATGAGCCTTAACTTTGAGCGACTTGACGCGACGACCTCGCGAGAACAGCTGTATGAAGAAGTTCTGGATGTTGAGCGTGTCGAGGATGTGGTGATGGAGGAGAGTGAGAATAGAAATGATGGTAACAATATTCTAGATTGTTACTAAGCTTCATGTAAAAAAAAAAAAAAAAAAAAAAAAAAAGTACATAAAGATATATAATATAATATTTATAATGATGTTAAGTACATGATATGTATCTTGAAAATGCAATGTAGTTTTTGCTTTATGGTAATGTACATTATTATATATTTATTTTTTTGCTACAATTTTTTTTTCTACCCATGGTGGTTATATGAGCCATAGTTTTCGTACGCTGGTTGGTGGTATGGCTGTCCATAAGATGGCTCTCGCTGTGGAGTATATTGTCCATTAGGATCGAGACCTTGGTGGTGATATCCATGATCATACTGATCATATTGGTCATATTGTTCATAGGGTGCCCCTGCATTGCTCGATGGCTCTCTGGAGATCAATGGTGGAGGTTGTGCAGGGCTCGACATGGGTGCGAGCACAGAGCCGGTCCTTCCAATAGCACCGTTGTTGTTGTTATTGTTACTGTTCAGAGTATCACCTCCTGTCGCAGCAACTTCTTCATCCGGGTTTGATCTTGCAAAAATAGGTTTAGCAGCATTTAAAGCAGAATCACTGAACAGATCATTAAATGCTGCAGATTTTCGTTGCTGTCGCTTGCGCCAGACCAGGAGGACGGCTAAGATGACAAAGATCGCAGCAACGATACCGGCACTCGTACCAGCGATCCGAGCTGTAGAGGAGCTTAAACCAGAAGAAGCATTATCGGATTGAAGATCAGAAGAAGAAGAGTCTGGGGATGTTGGGGAAGGATTGGAAGGCCCACTGCCATTGCCACCACCACCACCACCACCACCAGCTGGAGATGTTTTGGAGCCGCCTTTGTTGCCTCCACTGCCACCGCCGTTACCACCGCCACCAGAAGGAGGGGGTGTTACCGTAGGGGGATGTTGTGAACCGCGGGAGGGTTTTGGAGGTTTTGTAGTAGGAGAGGGGCTGGGCTGTGGGTTCCCGTCAGTAGGAGGAGGGTTAGCAGCTGGTGGTGAAGGTGCAGGAGTGGTCGGCTGGGGTTGTTCTGATGCAGGTTGGGTAGAAGTGGCGGCAGGTGAGGAGGGCTGGGTTGGTTCTGGAGAAGGATCGCCAGGAAGGGTTGGCAAGGGTATGGGCAGCTCTAGCTCTATTGCCTCTGCTTCGATCGATGATGGTGGTGTTTGAATGTCGAGGATTCCATCGCACTTGGCGATCTGATTCTCGTCAAGAAGACTTGAAAGGGTGTATTGAACATGGAATTTCTAAGATGAAGAAGATATATTCACAGTGTTAGAGAAAATATCCTATTCAACAAAGTGCATTGTTTTTTTTTTTTTTTTTTTTTTTGTAATAACAAAAAAGAATAGATTACTCACATTGCTGGGACATGCTGCTAATGCTGATGCGGCCTGTTTGGCTGTGATGATAACAGAGGGTGCTTTAGATGAGGCTGTTTGAACAGCATCATACTTGGATCCCAATGCTAAGACGGCTTCATTTGATCCTGAGCAGATTAGATCTGCAGAGATGACGGACAGCTCCAGAAAGCCTTTCCCAGAGAATCCAAGGGTGATTGGTTTTCCTGACTGTATTGTTTGATGAGAGGAAGGAGAAGTACAGATGATATTGGCAGGAGCAGGAGCAGGAGCAGGAGTGGGAGCAGCAGAGATGATAGTTGTTGAGGTGTATGTGGTGCAAAGGAAGCACAAAAGGATTGTGGTCAAGAGTGTGGATTTGGATGGGATGGATGAGACATGGTATTGTCTATGCTGTGTTGCCATGATGGGAGGGCAATATGTACAAGAGGAAGAGGAGGGAGGAGGAAAAAAGAAGGGTATCTATCAGAAATGAAGGAATGGAGATTTGAAGCAAATAAAGAGTAGAAGAAAGAGAGGAAGAGAAAGAAGAAAGAAGAAAGTAGGGTGGGGAAAGAGGAGATGAAGATGGAGGGGTAGGAGAGGGGAAAGGGAAGGGGGATATAAAAGGGATCTGTGTGTAAGTGAAACAAGCAATTTGAAGGAAAAAACTTGATCTGTGTCCTGGACAAATGCACAATGACAGGGGCTCAAACAAAGACCCTAATTAAATTAGCTTTATTGACTATGGGATGGCATTCAAATTTATGACATGTAATGTACACTCTCCATGTGCACTATGAAATTTTATGTTATTGGACCGTTAACTAACTTGTAAAAATTGTATTCACCGCCCTCGTACTGTCATGTACATGTACATTTCACAAAAAGAAAGAGAGGGGCAACTGAAAATTGCTGAAAAAAAGGATCGAAAAGGGGAGTGGTAAACCGAGATGTTTGATCCGCCCCGACTTTTTTTTTTTTTTTTTTTTTTTTTTTCCCCTCTGTAGATGTAATATCACACGCACTAAACGGGACTACAGCCGAAAAGTCGTTAAAAGATCAATGGTGTGACATCCGTATTAGCATTCCTGTAGAGCTTCAAGTAAGGGAAGACGGGAAAAAAAAAAAAAAAAAAGATTTGCGCAGTTTATACAAATAGTCGAAATAGTCAATTATTGCTAAAATATGAATGTATCTTGGGCTCCTTTTATCTCTACTACTACTGCTTTCTATTTGTCTGCCCCTTCCAATGTTTCATGCCCATGTCCGACATAGGCAATAGACTTTTGCCCGATCGCTAATTCTTTGATTTATTGGTTCCTCTCTAGTCTACACTATTACATTGTTCGCAGAATAGACAGTCCTATATATTTAATGTTCTGTTCGGAGTCAGATTCGACCCACGATAGTTGTTGGTCCAATGCTGATTGATGGCTGCCCCTCTCCTCCTTACTAAGGCTAGACCCATTGCTCTTTGAGCCATGACCTAGCGTCATTAACTTAGACTGTCCAAGTGGTTTTTTTTTTCCTGCACAGATCCCTACGTTATCATGAGTAATAGACTAAATGTCGGAACCAAAAAAGACCATTGCGTTTAACTATTGAGACAGCATGCCTTGCTTGTAGGCAAAGGCATTCTTTTTTGAATGTGTCAAAAAAGGAGAAGGGGAAAGGACCTGGAGGATATATCCCTTCCTCATTTTGTAAAATCTAATCTGAAAATGACGATTTTTTTTTTTTTTTTTTTTTTTTTTTCGCCACTCTTTCGTCCCAGATCTTTATCGATCGCTTCGCCTCCTAAACCCTCCTAACGTGTTACATGAACATTAGAGCAAATGTGTCGAGACTGGACAAGATGGTCTTTTCGGCAAATAATGCAGCTATTATACATAACAAGCTTCTTACAAAGCTGCACTTCACTTTGTCTTCCCTACATCCAATCCATGATCAGCTTGGGAAAAAGCCTGTTGTACACTCAATAGTCACGTGCCTCTCAGTTAGTGTCGTAGGAGAAAAGAAACCTTGTCGACAGTGCTATTCAATATTTACAAGATAATAATCAGACTGAGGGTTCACTTGCCACAACAGCGCAACATACTTTTTTTTTTTTTTTTTTTTTTTTTTTTCATGATATTAATATGCCATGGTCCTCAAGACTTTTACACATTAAACAAAGAAAAGATAAACGAAGACTCTCCATACCTTGTCCATACTCATCATCCACCAACCTCACCTGACTAAAGCTGGCTGACTTTAACAAGACTGTTAGTCATTGAGCTTTGCTGTGGCGTGTTTGGCCGTGTTCTACCTTTGTAATACCATCCGGCGCACAGACACAGACGGCGGTGGAATTTGTCATACAAGTCTAACAAAGAGCACATTGCCCTTCGCGCAGCATTTCTGGTTTTAAATTCGTTCTCATTTCCCTCTCTCTCTCTTTCTGTGTCCTTTCGTATCTTCATTATCCATGCCCCATTCTCCCTTCCTAAACTATTATTCCAGGAAGGTTTACTTTTTTTCCTTTTTTTTGTTTATTTCATCACAAAAATGACAGCCGCACTTGCAGCCCTTCAGGAATCAACCGTTCCATTGTATGATCGATGGCATGATGGTGAGCGCAAAGTACAAGACCTACTCCATGTTCGGGAAGCAGTGACAAGGGGTAGTACCTACTTCCGGCCTTATTTGACAGTTCAGATGCAAGAGTTCGTCCCTGGATTGAACTATTTCTTTATCGGCACTTTGGATTCACAAGGAAGACCATGGGTATCCATCCTAACAGGGCCGAAAGGGTTTATGCAAGCACCTCTTGATGGCAATGGCAAGGTTTTGGAAATCAAGACGCGTCTAGGCCAAAGTCTTGTCACTGATGAATACGAACACGAACATGAACACGAACATGAACACAAAAAAGGTGCAATAAAAGAAAAAGATCCTTCTGTCACTATGCCCGCAGATCCAATATTTTCAAACTTCATCCATGGAGAAACATTTTCAAGTAACAAACGAATGTGGGGAGGTGTAGCGCTCGACTTTTCGAATCGACGACGTAATAAGATGAACGGCGTGCTCTATCCACACAATATCCTCGCTGCTGATGAAAACTCTGGAGATCTCCACGTTCGGTTAACTGTAGAACAGACCATTGGTAAGCGTTTTTTTTTTTTTTATTTTTTTTTTATTTTTATTTTTATTTTTATTTTTTTATTTTTTTATATTGTTTTATATTGGACAGGAGATACGTTGTTGTTTCGTTCTCTGTTGAAAGATAGATCTATTAAACTATCGACCTCTTTTTTTTTTCTCGGATACCAGGAAACTGCCCCAAGTATATTACAGTTCGGGAGCTGGATCTTTTTCCTTCTCATCTCCATACTAAAAGCAATGACACTGTTGAATATGAACCTACAAAAAAGAGCCTAAATACAAATAGGAACATCAACACTTCTGAAGCCCAGTCTTTGCCCCTACCTCTATCCCTTTCATCTTATGGATGGCTATTACCGGAAGAGCAAGCGATCATTCGCCAAGCAGATTGTCTGTTTATCGCTTCTAGATTCATTGATGAGACACTTTCAGATCAGACAAGCGGAATGGATTGTAACCATCGTGGAGGAAATCCTGGCTTTGTACGAATCCTTGAAGACAACCGGCTCGTCTTTCCTGATTATAGCGGCAATCGAGTAACGTTTTCTTTTTTTTTTTCCTTTTTTTCAAGACTTGTCTTGTCGGTTCATGGAGCATACAACTAATGTATGAAACTTTCTTTATTAATTTATCAATTGTTTATAACAGTTCTTTAATACCCTTGGAAATATCGCCAACGATGACAGAGTTGGGCTCCTCTTCCTAGACTTCGAGACCGGTGATACGCTTCATTTGACAGGTCATGCAAAAATCTTTATTGGCATGGCCTCTCAGGAAATATACCCACGTTCGCAACGATCCATCCAAATCACAGTCGACCCATACCATATCCTACGCCGTCATGCTCTACCTTTTAGAATGACCGTTAAAGAACTATCGCCCTATAATCCTATCATTCCATCTACTCAGCATCGGATAGTTTATCAAAACAGCAGCAGCACACTTGGCAACCTGGGACAGGAACAGGAGCAAGAGGGAAAAAAAGGCCAAGAGGTCATGGTCACATTAACAGGGATCAAAAGACATACAGCTGATATCTCTACCTTTGAATTCAGGACTTCGCGACCCATCCATTATATCCCAGGACAGTATGCGGTTTTGGATTTCAGTGCTTATAACACAATAGGATATCGACACATGGCACCCGATGATCCATCCAGTTTAAATGATGACTATATTCGCACTTGGACGATTTCTTCTGCGCCTTTTGTCTCTTCCTCTTCTCCGGCCTCGTCCTTCTCCACATCATCAACCTCAAGCCATGGTTGGGAAGAATCTTCAAGCTTCAGTATGACGATCAAACGGAAGCCTGATGGAAAGATCTCTAATTTGTTACACGCTTTGAACCCAGACTCACTCATTAGTGAGCCTTTCACAGTGCCGTTGATATCTACAGGCGGCAACTTTTTCTTACCGCCAGGACCTTATGTTAAAACACCCTTGACATCACCATCCTCATCGTTGGTGTCATCATCTTCCTCGCCGTCTAACGCCTTCAAGACAGTCAAGCTGGCTTTTTTCTCTGGTGGTATCGGCTCAACTCCATTCATCTCAATGATCCGTGGTATAAGAAAACGACAACTATTGAGCAGCTATTACAAGGATGTTCACAACAATGACAGTAACTTCCAAGAGTTGTTTGATATTCAGTGGATTACTTCAGTTCCATATTTTGAGGATTTGCTTCCAGAAATTCTCTATGACCTTGTCAAAGAACAAGAACAAGAACAAGAACAAGAAGAGAAGAATATAAAACCCAATCAACCTTTGACATCTCTGCAACTTTCAGTCAATGCATTTTTGACGCGAGAGGAACAGAAGACTGTTGCAGCCTATTTGAATGATCATGGCATTAAGAATCAGAGTACCAAGAGCAACAGCAGCAGCAACAAGATCGAGCTTCATTTCAAACGATTGGACATTCAGGCTTTGTTGGAAGCGATTCCTGACCTTGTTGAGGATCAGGAGCGTCAAATCTTACTCTGCGGACCAGAGCCCTATTTGGAAGCAGTGAGAGGTTATCTTCATCAGCTTGGCATCCCTGCAGGCCGTGTCTTGACAGAGGAATTTAACTTTTAGTGCTTATTTATATTTACTTTTATTTTTTAGTACAAAGAAAACTAGTTGATACATTAAAAAGCAACAACAACTCAAAAGAAAGAAAAGGCATGATATTCGGATAATAAAAAAATAAAAAAGAAACGAATGAAATAAACGGGACGAACAAAAATAAGAATTAATAAAAACAAGCATTAACGCCTCTCATTCACTCGGAACTGAAGCCAGAGGAAACCGATCAAGAAGAACGTGCAAGCCATGATACTAAGACTTTGCACATCTTTCCAGAACGCGCCCGAGTTAAATCCAAATGTTGACAGAATGACTGCTCCAGGAACCTAAAATGTAAGTTACGAAAAAAAAAAAAAAAAAAAAAAAAAAAAAAAGTCAGAGATCAACACCAAGCCGAGTTTGTTTTTATACCTCTTTTTTCAAAAAAAAAAAAAAAAAAAAAAACATACATCGATCTCTAAGCCAAACTCTTTCTGGATGAGATGTAAGAATGTGATTTCATTGACCAGTAGTGCCTCAAATGCAAAATTAAAGAATGATAACTCTTTGAGCCACGCAAGCTTCGCAGGTATCGAGGCTAATATTCAAATAATTGGATAGAAATCAGCGTCAGTATTTGTATAAAAAAAAAAAAAAAAAAAAAAGGCAATATGACTTATCATGTATGACAACTTACATTTGTTTAGCAAGAGACCGCCAAAGAGCATAGAGAACAACATGATTAAGCTGCTCATCAGGTTGGCGACGCCCACCTCCTCAAAAATGATTCCAATCATCAAGCAAACACCAGAAGCCGTAAAGTTGAATAGTACCAGAACTAAAAAGAACTTTCCAAATTCCTTCCAGCCATCTACCAACCCAACCATGTTGTAAATAATCAGGCCCATCAACATCGGGGGGATGACACGCAGCGGTACGATATCAAACAGGACTTTGGTCAGATAGTAAGTCAAAGGAGAGTAATATCCATTGGCCCGTTCTCTTACAAACAAAATGCGCTCATGCGCAAACGAAGGTAGGATCGACAAGCAAGAGAAACCAAAGAGTGCACACATAAAGAAGAACACACCCATACGATTCTGGAATCCAGGAATGTCGTTCGTAACCTTGTAAAATAGCGCACCACAGAGTAAACCCAGGAAGATGGACGTGCAGTAGTGTGAGAGCATGAGCATTGGGTCGCGGTAAATGTTCTTGAGAGTCCTGTCGGCTAAAATCTTGAATTGACTCCACCAAGAAGCGCGTTCAAATGTCGAGACTGCCTTTCCAGACGTCATGTTGCTATAGATCGATCCAGGGGCATTGGCGCCTTGCTCTCCGCCTTGGACTGCAAAGTCAATTTGCTGTTCGATATCCATAAGAATATGGCTCGCCTTGAAGCCCTCCACAAGTGCCTGAAGATGGGCTCTTGCGGTATCTGCTTCCTCAGAATCTAATGGGTCCCTTCGGGTACCACTATCGCTAGTGCCTGAAGATACGGGGTCAATGCCAATAGCGGTTTCGCGTGCAAGCCCCGAGCGAGCTCCAGGAGTATTGGATCCACTTGGTCGTGGACGGTCTTGCTCACGAGAGGCGAGTTCACTCTCCCACTGAAGCGAGTCATCAATAATACTAGGTGCACGCGTGAATGAAGGACTAGCGTCATTGGAGCGCCCTGCTACAGTGCTATCCTGAAGACTGGGCGCGGCATCATAGGAGCTTTCGTCCTGATCATCCTGACTATCATCGTTGGCAGTATTAAGTGATTTGGATGGCTTTCCAGTGTACATGGTCAGATCGAGCATGTAGTCTGCCATGTTGAAGCCCTCCGGACAAGCATGTCCCAGGCTTTTCAGATGTCCGTTGAGGTTCCTGGTTTCTCCTGAATAGACCAACTGTCCTTTGGCCATCAAAACCAACTGATCAAACATTGCAAAGATATTGCTTCGAGGCTGATGGATGGTGCAGATGACTGTGCGGTTATAACTCCTGGCAAGCGTAACGAGACATTCCACCACATTAAAGGCATTGTAGGCGTCCAATCCAGAGGTTGGCTCGTCCAAAAACAAGATAGAGGGCGAAGTAACGAGTTCACAGGCAATGGAGACTCTGCGCTTTTCTCCTCCAGAGATAGAACGTTGTCCACTGGCGCCAATCTTCATATCCTTGATGCCCAAGATACCAAGCTCCGACATAGTCTCCATCACACGGAATCGCTTAGCGTCGTATGACATATCTCGCGGAAGGCGAAGTAAAGCTGAGTATAAAATAGTCTCGTAAACTGTCAAAGTGGGCATCAAAGTGTCCTCTTGATCAACATATCTGTTGCAAACAAATTGGGGGAAGTAGGAAAAAAAAAAAAAAAAAAAAAAAAAAAAAAATTAGAGAATAACCATGAGAAAGAGAATTAAAGAAAGTCTATTTTATGCGAGATTATGAAAAGTGAAAACATACCCAGCAACACGTTTATATTCCTGACGGGAGACCGTTTTTCCGTTGACATAGATGTTTCCATGCACCGTTCCAGACTTGTGACGTCTTGCCAAGATATCTAGCAAACTGGTCTTTCCAGCACCACTAGCACCCATGATGGCCATAACTTGTCCAGGTTTGACAATTCCACTAACTTGCCTGAGCACCTCTTTACCGCCTACAGTGTAGCTCATATCCTTGAACATAAGAGTGGCAGGAATGTGCTCGGCCATTAGCTTGGCAGCCTCATCATCTGGAAGTGCAATATATCCGTCTCCTGAGTATCCCGATTTCTTGGCCAGATAGAAGACAGCGAATGCAAGGCCAATGAGGAATGCAAAGACTCCAGTAATAGACAAGATGATGCCTAGGGTGTAGTCAGGACGAGGGGGTCGAACAAAGCCTGGTACTTGAGTGTAATGCAGACATTCTCCACTATGGCATTTAAGGTAGATTGCTGGATCTCCAAACATATCCTGGATCATCTCATTCATAGCAGGCTCTATTAAAAATTATGAAGGCGTAAAAAATATTAGTGCACGCCAGTCTGGAGCTAAAAATTATACGATATTGTAAAAGAGCTATCTCATTACATACCTTCAAACGTGCATTTGCCGTTTTCTTTACAGACAAATTCCGCAGGTCCTTTGATCTCTTCTTCAAGGAAATCGTCAATATCTGTAATTATTCAGGATATATAATAAATATGAGTAGAGTGTAACCAGGAAAATAGATCAATGCTTGGATTTCAATATCCCTTTAAGTTACGTACTGACGCTTCCGTCTTTTCCGCAAAGCATTCTGCCAGGGACGCAAGAGCATTTCACACTCTTGCACTTGTAAGTTGTGAGAGTATCATCGAACTTGACGTCTAATGGAGTCAGTTGGATGGAGATGCTAATGTGTTAGTCCAACATCCGTCACTCGAGATCAGCATAACCAATTGTCATCCTGCCATTGCATAATATCAACGGTACCTTGCGCAAAGGTACATTCATCCAGATGACAATAAAATGATTCTACTTGGTCAACCCAAACTAGAGCAAAGAGATCAGAGATCAGAGAGCAGTTATTAGAAAATCGGCTTAATAGTATTGCATGTCTATCTATCTTTTACAAGAATAAAAGTATTTTTTTTTTTTTTTTTTTTTTTCCTCCTTACATTGAAAGTCACAGGTGGCAGCCTTGCTGTTGCATGAGAATGTAATAGCAGGAGGCTGATCTGGAAGTGCAGCAACGATGTTACGATCTATTACAAGCAATGATGGTACTCTTAGTTAGACCATATTTGGAGCCAAAATTAATTTGTATGACGAGTAGTTTTGAATCCTTTCCACAAAAAGAAGTTTCTGACTGAATTTTAAAAGAGATCCCATGTGGTTCAAATCGTTAAACTCTACTTTGAGCCCTCCACCAGACTTACTGATGACATCGCACTGCTGAAAGCTTTCAACGACAGTGAAGCCGCCTTTGTAACAAGTTCCATTTTGACCCGTAGGCACGAGCGAGTTGCAAACATGGTCCGATTCACAGACTATATTAATGTGTAAAAGAAATTGTTATAATGAGAAATCTGAGTCAAAAAAAAGACATCTTGGCCTTTTTTTTTTTTTTTTTTTTTTTTTTTTTTCCTGATAATCCCATGTTCCTACCATTGCAGTTGATGCCTGACCAACCGTCTTTGCACTTGCACTTTTCATCATCACCACGGCGCGGTCGGCTTTTGCCATCATCGAGACCTCCGCAGACTATCGGTCGAAAAAAAAAAAAGCAAAAGCAGAAACCAGGGTACAAGCAGGTAAGTATAATAAAGGATATAATAAAGGAAAAAACGAGCTATGGGATGTGAGATGACAGCATCGTGATCAGGCACAAACAGTGCTTGTGTAATGCACACACACAGCGCCGATTTTTTTCCTCTCAGGGGAAAAAGTAATTCAGGGAGAGGAATAACAAACAGATTACGGCTGACAGCCTATAGGGTAGTGGAATGCATGTCGTCGGATGGTTTCATTTTTCTTAAACAACTCACATGACGACATCTTCAAATTCAAGAAAAAAGGGAAAAAAAAAAAAAAAAAAAAAAAAAAAACTGATCACGTTGTATACCTGGTTCTGAGCAGTTGTTGCCAGCAAATCCGGGCGGGCAGGTACAAAGACCGTCATAAGAATTGCAGGGTGCAAAGTGAGAGCAAGGAAAGGCATCTAGCTGACAGTTGAAACAAGGAGGACATTCTTCAGGTCTGATTGGGGCAGCAGCAGCCAAGAGTGGGTTGGCCAGGGACATTGCAGCTGGAGCGAGCATGTTATCTCGAGGATCAAACAGGGTTGGCAAAGAGGCCTCGTTAAGACTGGCAGCTGTTTTTGCCATGACAAGAAAAGGCAATGCCAAGAGCCAAGACTGCCTCATTTTCTTTTTCCTTTTTCCTTTCTATCCTTCTCTAGTGCTTTGTTGTATTTCTGACTATTGGCTTGGTTCTAAAAAAGAAAAAGAAAAGAAAAGGGGAGGTGGAATGAAAGGGAAAAGGAAAGGAAAGGAAAGGAAAAGGGAAGGAATGGATGAATGTGGGTGAGTAAGTGAATGAATGAAGGATGAACGAATGAAAGAAAGAAAAGAAAAGAAAAGAGTAAAAAAAAGAGAAAAGAAGGTGATAAAAGAAAGAAAGAAAGAAAGAAAGAAAGAAAGAAAGAAAGAAAGAAAGAAAGAAGTGAGAAAGGGCTAATGTAGTCAGCGTAGGGTTTTGTATGCATGTCCAAGTACACATGTGGGGTAAAGGCATTAAGTCAGTTTGGTGGGAATGAGGGTCTCTTTCAATTACAGAAGAGACGTTAATTGCACGTCTTGCACAACATCCATTTGTCGTCACATCAACTTTTTACTTCATTCATTTATTATTCTCTTTCGGCGCTTTGTTTTCAATTATTATTTCTTTCCATCAAACTTCTTTTCAATTACTTTTTTTTTTTTTTTTTTTTTTGTAATCTGATGCATCGCAGCCTTGTCTGCGTCATCACTATCTTTTTTTTTTTTTTTTTTTTTTATTAATTTTTTTTTTATTAATTTTTTTTTTGTGTTTAATAGAAGCATTACAATAACTTCTCGTTCCTCTTCATTTTCTTTTTTGGCTCTCTTTTCTTTTTCCTTTATTTCTTTGTCAGACTGTGTTACATTCATCATAATAAGATCCACAACAACAACCGCATCCACCACTGTTTCTTCTTCTCTTCTTTAAAAGCCCTGCCATCTCTTCTAGGAACGAACCATATAAAAAAAACACGCGATCTAGCCTGTAATAGAAACAACGCTTCAGGAACCACCCGTTTTTTCTCTTTCTTTCTTTTTTTTACCTTTTTTCTTTTTTTTTTATCCAAAAAGGATCTGCATCATTACAACTGCACAATCATGTCTTCGTCCGTAGGCTCTGGATCAACTACAGGCATGCTAAAAAAAAAATAATAAATCAACTTTGACCATGTTTTAGTTTATGTTTCCCGACTTTTGGTCCATGGTTATGCTTTTTTTCCCCCTTGTCAAATAACCAAGGGTCTAACAGAGATTCTATCATTAAACAAAAAACAAATACCTAAAAAAAACGTGGTTTATCTCTTATAGACTTTCCTCCTGACCATGAACGGCGAATGCAAGGACCTTCATCAATCAATTCTGGGTCTGGAGTAATACCCACTAACCGGCCACCCTCAACACAACAGCCTCCACCGCAATCGCAAGCACAATCACAAGCACATTCACAATCACAATTACAATCGCAATCGCTATCACAATCACAATCACAATCACAATCACAATCACAATCACAATCGCAGCCTCAACCGCAATCAGGAACTCCAGCCATGCCACCACCTCCTCCACGAACACAGTCTCCCTCGCGACACTCTGAGATGCAAGAGCCATTGGATCCTCTTTCACATCTTTCACACATTTTTGAAAAGATCAGGAAGCAAGTCATTGAATGGGGCGAAGATGCCAACTGGAAGATCGATGTGTTTTTATTACCCAACGAGGATAATCCCCCAACAACAGGAAATAATGCTCCTCCGCCAACATCAACACCTAACAATGCATCTATGGGAGCTTCTTCAACTCTTGATACAACCCCAATAGGAGAAGCAGGATCAGCATCACTCGCCCCTGTGCATGCAATGGCACCCATGTCAGGCCTTCCTTCAAGCCCTTTACGGCAAGGACGATCATCGGATATCCAAAGTTCTGAACTTCGACGTCGTCGCGGTAAAAAAAAAAAAAAAAAAAAAAAAAGACATTTGAAATCATTTCATTTTATTTTTTTCTTTCTTTACAACTTATCATCGTATCTTGGATTCATGGATCTTCTTTCATGTAGGAACTAGTCCGCCTGGTTTCACTCTTCAACCGCCACCAAGTGATTTGCCCTTGATTAAAAGCGAAGGCGTTCCAACAACACTAAAGGAGCAAGATGTCGCAGCTATGAGTGAATCAGAAGCGAAACAAATGGTAAAAAAAAAGGCTACTTTTGATTTGATTCTTTTACACGATACATAACGGGCAGCCGGGGATTATTTTATTAAACAATGTCCACATGTATGAAACTTTGGACATAATAGCTATCTATCGCCATTCGGCAATTGCGGGAACAGCAAGATTTATTATCTCAGGCAATGCAGGATTTAGATACCATGCAGCGCATTAGCGCAAAGAAGGTGCGACTCTTTTTTTTTTTTAATTCATTTATTTTTTATTTTCAAATTGATTAATGACTATTGTTCAAATGATACAATACAATTTTTTATTTATTTATTAATTTCTCAGGAGAGGGATGCAGAAGCAAGACTTGATGTTGAGAGACGTATTCTGGAACAAGATGCCTTGGTTCTCTCCAAGAAATGGAAGGATGCAACTTATAGTTTGATGGAAAAGGATCGTGAAGTAAGCACCCTCTCCCCATTTTTCTTTCTTTCTCTCTCTCTTTCTTTCTTTTTCAGCATTATCGTATTTTGCGATTTAACATGTCATATAATAACAACTCATCAACATTAGATACGAGATGTACACTCGCAGTTGGAGGCAGGGACGCGGTTAATCAGGGATCGTTATCAAGAACGACGAAAGGTAACTATTTTTTTTTCTTTCAATGCGGAGCAATATGATTCAATACTTCTTTCTAAATTGTATACCGGGATTGATGTGTTTTTTTATTTTCATTATTATTATTAACAAAAAAAAAAAAAAAAAAAAAAAAAAAAAAACGCAATGTATATAGCGTCTCGATGAACATGGAGCTTTTCTCACACGTGGGATGCCAGGAAAGGATAGATCGGAACAGAATCAACAACAATCATCAACGCCATCATCATCACAACCATTACCATCATCGTCACCACTATCACCGTTGGCTCATCGACATCGTCATCGCCATGTCCATTATCATCGTCATCATCATCGACACTTGACAAAACGACGTGATATGGGAACAGATTCACTCGAAAACCTTGCCATATTAGCTACACAAGTGCTATCAAGAGAACCTTTGATCATTTCAAAGAAAGCACTCAATAACTCCAACGCCAACACCAACACCAACACTAATGCCAGCATCAATAATAGAAATCATAGCTCATCCTTCGATCCTGCGGCTGTCTACACAGGCGGATACCTACGTGAAAAGAAGCGAACAACGACGGAAGAACGGGATCAAGGTTTACAATTACGACCCGTCAAAAGAGTAGATTTGAGTGGGCTCATGGAAAGCACAGAAAAACCTGTCACAGGCACAGGTACAAGCACAGCCACTAGCATTAGCATAGTTGCGGATAGTCAAGTGTCACAACAGAGTTCAAAAAAATCAACATCTAATTCAACATCAGCATCAACATCAGCATCAGCACCAGCACCAGCACCATCTTTATCTTTATCTGGCCCCGCTAACGGAGCTTCATCTCCGTCCTCCTCAAAAACCATATCAAACGGACGAGGAAGTACAGAGTATTTGAGTAGAAGATCACAGTACCAACGACATCCTCAACAACAGCAACAGCAACAGCAGCAACAACAGCAACAGCAACAGCAACAACAACAACAACAGCAACAACAACAGCAACAGCAACAGCAACAGCAACAGCAACAGCAACAGCAACAGCAACAGCAACAGCAACAACAACAACAACAACAGCAATCGGAATCACATTTACATTCACATTCTTCACGGTCCTCAGCTGGAGCATCACATCATTATCACTCTCAGTCCTCATCACCATCTAAGGATAATAATACAAGTAGATCTTCCAGCAAACAAAGGCGTTAGTTAATGAACAAGGATAATGAAAAGAAGGAAAGAAAAGAAGATAGAAGAAAATCGTGATCATAACGTTGTTCTCTAAAGCTCTTTATAAAAAAGATAAATTCTTCAAAGTGTATATTAAATATATTATTTATAATATCAATCGATTATCGATCTACAATGATCTTTGTCTTCATCTTTGAAAGACGAAAAAAAAAAAAAAAAAAATAGTAGATGGAAGATTGCCTTTTTTTTTTTTTTTTTTTTTTTTTTTAGTGCATTATATATATCTTTGGACACTATGACAAAATTGGCAAAAAGTTCCCTACAATTGCTAGAGGGATATCGAAAATATCTCTCTTAATGGTAAAACAGAACGTACAGGGCACTACTCGGTTCGTTGGACTCAAGAGAATACATGTCGTCATCACTGTCTGCTCCGTGTTTTCGAACGCGTGTGTCGAGAATTTTTCCCAATACTCTACTGCTGATTGATTATCCATCAGCTCGTAAATGTATGTTTTCTTGCCCACAAGCTGATCTCGTCCCCATTGTGTCAATAAAGAAAACTCTTTTCCCACAAGTGCAATCTCTCCTGTACGACGCCATACTACTGTGGGTGTCCCTGAGAAACTAATTAGCTTTTCAAATTCCTAGATTTAAACAGTGGTATTAAATAGCATTAGTGATAATAGCATAGTCAGAAAGAATTGAACATTCATATCGCTTAAGCTTGTGATTTAGTAGCATAAAGTATCAAGATTCCGAATAAATAAATAAAAAAAAAAAAATAAAATAAATAAAATAAAAAAAAAAAAAAAAAAAAAAAAAAAACTTACAAGGATTGTGCGCTGAAAACATTTTTCCATAAAAATAAGATCTTCTGGCGTCAGGTTCATGATCAATGCGATAAACGATGGTCGGAACATGGCCATCGCCCTACAGATACGCATCATCTCTTCCTTATCCATCCTGTGTAGCCGCAGGATTTGCAAGCATAAGCAGAAATGTTTTAATCAAGATGTCAACCTCGCTTTCTCAGGACGAGCAAACAAAAGCTTCACACCCTTACCGTTCACGGACGTATCGCAAAAGATAATGGAAGCCGTCGGTATAATTAAACGGTTGCTTTGTATTGGCATAGACATTCTCAGGTGTATTGCTTGGAAATTTGCGTTTGCTCACCCTCGTTGTAGTAGTATGTTGAAATGGTGATGTGGTATTTGTAGGGTTGGCAGTCGATGCGCCAGGTCCCAACAACCCAGCTGCACCATTAGAAGCGACATTATTATTGCTATTATTACCATTGGTGATGCTATTATGAGCTGGTGCGCCGCCATTGGACATGGCCCCTGTTATACTAGATCCATCTGTCCCTGTTCCCGACCTAGCGCCCGCTGCCGCTGCCGCTGTCGCCATCACCCCTTGAGCGGCTAGGGCTTTTTGAAGCTGGTTATTGTTAGCCAAACTAGCCATGGCATCTAAACCCCCCTGCCGTTGCCAATTCTCCACAATCGATAGGTCCGACATTGGATTGAGATCTGCTGTTGGCGAAGAGAGCATTGTCGAGATGATTGAGTACTCCAAATTGACTGCTTCAGATCCAAACCCGTAATCAGATGTCATTGGAAAGCCAAAGATCGCATTGGCGTCTGTCAACGTGGCTACGGAGAATAAAAACCCCACATGACTCGGGTCAGTAACATGATCACCAGATTTCATTTCTCAAGTCGGTATTCTGAGGTGATCATATGCAGATAAGGCGTTTTTCAATACAATTTCTACACTTTTAATACCTTGTCGCTGTTGCTGGTCCTGATCTGTCATGAGCTGATGATTTATTGTTGAAAGGTCTGTACTAGGTCCACTCTGGGTAGCCTGCGCTGATTGCTCAGCAGCCAGCTGCTGAGCGTCATATGCATCCTGAAGATACTTGGCCTTTTTCCTAACACCATCTGCACATGTTGAAGCTAAATCGCGCTTTATGCATCGTTGACAAGGCCGAGCTAATGATAAAAGGAGCGTTCAAAACAGAATACATGTTGCATGGTTATATTAGCAAACTAAGTATAGTTTTCCTTGACAGAGGCCGAGACGCCCAAGTTTCCCGATCCATTTGCTTTGCTTTTTTTGACTCATGCCTACAAGAACAGAGCATGACCCACAAGTAAACAAAGAAAATATAAATTTCATAGATGGCTGTTAGACCATCTCCTTTTGACCTCAAACATGTGTATATCTGACTGTTTGAATCAGAGTAATTTTTCTGAGCAGGAAAAAAAAAAAAAAAAAAAAAAAAAAAAGAATATGAAGAAAAGAGTGGCAAAAGAGATAAAGGAAATAGAATTTGAAAAATGGCCAATATCACGGTATTGCCTCCTGCAATTGCTCACAAACTCAATACAGCTACAGGACGGCTTTTCTGCGTCAACCATTGTCCAGCCATTCCGCCCAATGTGCTTTGAAGGATAAAAAGGAAAAGGTACTTTAGGGAGGAGTTCATGAGATTGTTGCTGTTATTGCTGTTGCTGTTTGTTTTTGTACTGTGGCTAATTGATCCGCTCCTTGGATACATAATCACATACAGATACACAGGGGCACATATCGTCGCACACACAGGTGGACGTAAAATACTCCTGCTGTGTCCCTCGCACTGATCCCAGGCGCCATGATGCTATCCATGCTCTTCCATATCAGGGAAAAATAAAAAATAAAAATGAAAACATCGAGTTTCAATGAAGGCTACGCCATGTTAAAATAGCCAACGATGTCCTTTGTATGTTGATTGTAATTAAATCTTTTTGCAAATATCTGTTTGACTGTGGGTTTGCGGAGGAAAAAAGACACTCTCCACTTCTGCGGCTTTGGTTGATAATTGTCACTGAGTCACCCTCAATTCCTCCCTGATCAAACTTACAATCATCGCATGTCAAGTGGGCTTTTTGGCAGTGGAAACAACTACAAATGCGTATTGCAAAGATATATCCAAAAGCATTAGCTGAATGAAGAACAATAATAAAAAATATAAATATAAAGGGGTAGCAATGGTGCTTCTCTTACGCTCGACTTGCTTTCTTTCGTCGTTGAGGCGTTTGAGTCTGATTGGGATCTGGTGGAGTTGTTGAGCCTGACTCATTGTTATTGTTATTATTATTTGTAGTTGTAGTGGAAGTGGTAGTGGTAGTGGCAGTATTGGTAGGGCTTGGGTTGTTGCTACTGTCTCCATTGATGACATTATGAGCATTGCTGCCATTCGCCAGATTATGCATTGGTTGCCCTTGTGTTCCACCACTACCGTTTGGCTGTGGCCGTTGTTGTGAAAAGCTCATGAGATTAATAGTGTCGATCGTTTTGGGCCTAAGCTGTCTGGCAGCAATCAGAGGTGCTTGTCTGTGAAAATAATGAATGAAAGAAGGGAAGGCGCGGGCGATGCAAACAAGTAAATAAATAAAAAAGGAGTGATGAGTCGCCTGGTTGTAGGAAAAAAATAAAAACAAGGTAAAGAATATAAAAAAAAAAAAGCGTTGTGGAGTGACTTTGAAAAAATATGTCAAGGTTGGGTTGTTTGAACATGTAATAGGCTAGACGGAACAAACTTTGAGCCAAATGTCTTCTCTCTTTTTCTCTATCTTATCCTCTTACACAACGTTAGAATCGCATTATACTACACAGGGGTGATGGAGAAGAATAGGGTCGAACAACTATCTAAAGAGTCGAATGTCATTCACTTGCACGTTGATTTCATGTAACAAAATAGAGAACGTGGGGGGAAACAAAGCAAAGAACGCCTAACGGTCAAACTACAAAACTATACAGTTTAGAATTTGTTCCTGAGTGGTACGGGGTTGACCGGGGCAAACTTGCAAAGAAAACCCATAGGAACGTGACTTCAACGAGAAATGTTCGGAAGCGGGGGAGTACATGTTTGTGTGACCAACCCTCGTCTGAATCTCATTCAAACATTGGGACACACTCGATCGAAAAAAAAAAAAAAAAAAAAAAAAAAAAAGTGGAGTAGAATGCAGGTACATGAACATGATACATAACACAAACAGGCGGAATGATTTTATATCCTTACATGGTACTTCGGTGACTCTTTGCCGCGATGAAAATAGCTTGCCGCCGCATCTCTGCGATAGTGTGTGCATGGGTCGCGCGTCCTATATCCATGTCTTCAATATCAGAGTTCATTCCCACCCCCATTCCCATATCTATCTCCATGTCCCTTCGCGCCTCCAGATCCAAATCCGTGTCCGAGGATGCGTAATCCTCATCTGCATCATTACTATAACGAAGTTCAGGATTATCAAAGAAATCATGATACACATCAAGTAGAGTCATCGATGTTGCTGACTTGCTATTTGTATCAAAGAGGTTTCCTTGGCATGAGAGGGATGGAGATTGGGCGCAAATGTTCTCATTGACTACGTCGTCAAAGTAAGTCATGGTTTCGTCTGCTGCTGCTGTTAGATATGAAGACGAAGGGGAGTTACTGCCCGTAGATGGTATCGACAACAGTGCATCTGTAAGACTTGAAGAGACGGGCGCTGCTTTTCCAATAATCGACTTTGGTAATAGTGATGGCGTTGTCGATGCCGTGGTAGTAGAGCCTAGAGATGAGTCATCTGTTGCCTTGACTGTATTCTGATTTGATGCGTTGGCACCGACGAGTGGCTCAGTAGGCCTATCAATTATTGTAGCAACAGATAATGATGGTTCCTCTATGCTGCCTGTGGATGATATAGACAGACTAAAGGAAGGTGGAGATGAAGGTGGATGAGGACTGGAAGAGACTGCAAGAGAGGAAGAAAATGTTGATACATCGACTATAAGCTTGCTTGGCGGAACAAGAGCTGATGAGGAGAATAATGAAGCGAAGGACCGAGTGAACGAGGCGGAGAGTGGAGAGGTAGCCTCATCATCGCTCTTTGAGTCTATAGTCTTTGGACTCCTGGTGTCATGATGGTTCTGTAGTGGCAGTGGTACAGACATTGTCAGTGTAGAAGCCATTCGTTCAGTTGCTGTTGATCTAATTTATAGGTTTTGTACTTGCTTAACGTTAATGATGCCAAGTAAGGCTTTTTTTTTTCTTTTTCTTTTTTTTTTTTTTTAGTGGCGCTGGAAAAGTGCGTATAAAGTAAAAGTGGAATGTTGGCCTTGGTACCGTCAAGTGATCCGTAATAAGGATTGGTTGCGAAACAGCGCGTGATTAATAACGCCTTAGCTTGCGATTTGCGTCAATTGTGTCAACTCAACTTGACCCTGTTGAACTGTCAGCTAGTCAACTTTAAAAGAAATTAAAACTAAAAGTAGGAAAGGGTAACACAGAAAATTATGAAGGAATATTTTTTTAGACACATACAGTTTATGCTCTTGGCACAGCAAGTCGATCTCCTTTCCTTAATTTATAGGATCCAATGAAAAGAGAGAGGGATGAAGATAGAGGCAAGCTTTGCAAAATACAAAAAGGGACAGACAACGTCCCTGATTTCAAACCAAGGGAAATGACCTTTGCTGCTTCAGGTGCTTCAGCAAAAGATGAGGAGAAAGAAAGAGAGGAATAGGAAAAGAAAGAGAAAAAAGAAATTAAGGAAGAAAAGAACTTGAAGAGAAAGAGAGAAAGAGAGAAAGAGACAAAGAAAAAGAGAAATGTCATTCTCATTACAATTAGGCCTCAACTTCTTTACTCCGCAATCCTTTATTTTCCCTCCCTCAATGCATCGCATCGCCCAACGATGCCGTTAACACATCCGTGAGGATGTTACGCCATGTAGTTTAAACTTTTTTTTTTTATCTTCGACTGCGCGCGCTGCAACAATGGTGTAACAGACAGATGCATATTTATACAACCAGGCATCTCTTTGTCCGAGCTTTGCTTTGACCATCTCATGAGAAATAAATAAAAACTTTGCGCAGACCAAAATCTTTAACCCTAAACCCCACAGAAAAAACCTTTTACTTTGACTCGTAAAGATCACAGGAGGTGGTTTATTGGATGTAACATGTGCAATGAATTATGAACGATTGTTGGAAGAGCAAATGATTCGCACGGGTGTTTCCGTCTGTGTCCAAATAGCAGTTGTTCCCAAATTTGGTTTAATTTCCGAACTGCGCGTTTTTAATTTTCGTAGAAATTAAGCTTACATGCCGACATTGCTATTCAGCTGGCGGCAAATAAAGGAGAAGAAAAAAGGTATCGAGCATAAAAGAGGCAATGCCGAAGCATTCATCCTTTATTAGAATAGTATAGTCAACAAAGGTAGCTACAAGGCTGATAGATACGCATTGATATTTGTATATATATTTATTAGTTATTACTATTATGTAATGCATTGACAAAAGCTATTCCTTTTTTTTTTTTTTTTTTTTTTTTTTGATTCTAACAAAGCCTGAGAAGAGCCTTAGTGTGTGTATGTGTGTGTAAATGAAAGAGATAGATGAATGTTGTATGTTGTTTTACAATTATTTGAGTATAAGATACAAAGGATGATGGCATCTTGTACTGCCAACATCTACATAATGCTGCAGCAGACAGCGCCTTTCCCCTTTGCTTTGTTCTTGTCTCCGGGATCATTCTTAACATTCCCTTGTCCTTCAGACTCAACTGCCTTGTTGAGGCCGTGGTTCATTTCCGACATCTCCATCTGAAGTGTATCAGATCTAGAAGAAGTGCGTTGAGTATTATCTTGAGCCTGTCCAAAGTGAGGGTCATTGCTGCGTCCATAATTATTATAGTTGCTGTACTGTTGCTGAGGATTGTAGGGATTTTGCTGGACATCATTCCCACCATGACCTCCATAATAACCGCCTTGTTGATCATAATGCTGGTTTTGAGAGGTATTATAGCCATTGCCATATGGGGCTTGATTGTAATGGTCATTGCTTTGGCTTTGAGGATAATGACCACTCTGTTGCGACGCATCAAATCGCCCTTGGCCTTCATTGTTGTAGCCATCCTTCTGTTGACGGCCATAGCCATCTTCTGGACGACGAGAACGGCTCTGATGACCACTGTTTTGCTGATATTGATCAAGTTGTTGACGTTCCTGCTCCTGAGCGCGGATATCATAGGTTTGTTCGCCCCCACGCACAGATGGCGACCCATTCTGATATGGCTCATAGCTGTTCTGGTTGGCTTGGCCGCGATGTCTTCCCCCTTGGATTGGAATCTCATTGCTGTAATACTGGTGATCTTTTGGACTATTGTATACCTGCTGAAGACACCCATCATTCCTGTCTTGGTTTATGCTGTCGTAAGGCTGACGTTGCTCATGGCGACGCCTTGGAGACATATGACTCGCATCTTGGTATTGATCCATAGCATTTGCATTCTGTGTAAGTGTTTGGTTTTCAGGCATTGTTGGTCGTCGAGCCCGCGGCGACCTATTCTCGGGCGCCGATTCAAACTGCTCCTGCCTTGCCTGATGATCTGTGTCACGCCTTGCACGACGAGGTCTTTCAGGCCGAGTTGTCTCGGGGAAGTCATTCGTAGGAGCACCCTCCGCGCGCTGCTCATTCACCAGCGATGTTGGTGCTTGCTGTTCCAGTGCTAATGTTGATGACTGCTGTTGCTGCCGTCGTTGCTCCCGCTCCTGTCTCCTCTCTTCCCGCTCCTGTCTCCGTTTCTCTTGTTCCTGGTTTCGTTGTTCTTGCTCATGATTTCGTTGTTCCTGTTGATGAGACAAATTGCTTGTCTTAGGTGACACAGGTACATTCTGATCCTTATCAATCTCTTTAGCTGAGGAGTCAAAAGCTGAAGGTATAGCTGGAATTGGTGGAATCGGTGGAGTAGGATCAATATCACTGCCAATGTCGCTGTAAAAATCACTAGACTTGGATTTTGATTGCACCAGACTCGCGCTCGATGCTGCTTTTAATTTGTCGTAACTTGCGAATGGATTTCCAACGGACGCTGCCGATCCAGGAAGCTTATACAGCGGCGCATCATAGTCGTCACTGTATGCAATTACATCATGTTCATGCAGTCCCTGTTCCTTGATCCGCCTAGCAACAGCCGGTAGAATCATGTCTTCATGCCGTGGTCCAGGCAATCCCGGTGGAAGCCCGGAACCCACAGAGCCAGAGCGCGAACGTGAAAATGAGGGGTTGATCGGTGTTTTCGCAGTGGCAGACAGCGGGGTATTGGGCGTATTCGCCTCATTATATGCTTTTGCCTTTGCAGCCGTATTTATTTTCGTTGTCGCTTTTGGAGATTCGGGCTCAGCTTTCGGAGGCAATGGAGATGTAGACTTTTTTTCCTCTGATTTGAAGAATCCAGTGGGTTCCATGGAAGGTGTGAATGTTGGAGGCGTCGATGGGACGAATGGGTTGTCAATCGTATCATCAAATCTGTAAGAGGAGGGGGTCGTATTGGGCTGAGAATCTTTTTTGAAGTTGCTTTTTGGAATCGGCCTTGGCATTGTTGGTGTATTATTTTTACCATATCCAAGTTGGGGCCGTTTCATATCCTCTCCAGTAGCTCTCCGGCTCCTTGCAGTAGCAGTAGGGATCCGGGATCCAGTGTTCCCCTGCGAGATTTTGTCTCGCTTTTGCTATATCACATGCATGCATTAATGAACCTGGTTGTGAGCACATATTGTCTGTTAAATGTTATAAACATATATAGTACATGTAGTAGTTTTGCTCTCAGGTAATGATTGAGATTGAGATACTGTAAACTTGAGAAGCAGGCTCTTTTCCTCTTTCCTCCTTCTCTCTTTCCCTTCCTCTTCCTCTTTCTCTAATTAACATCTGGCTTCATGTACATCATGCTTGTATAAAAATAATGAAAATAAAGGCAGAGATAATAATGAATATGTAAGGTATAGTATGTACTTACAAAGGCAGCATATTCGCCTTCCATCCCAGGAGCATTCAGCATTTCGATAGTCTATTGATTAGGTGATGGGAGCAGAGAAAATAGGGAAAATTGAGCAAAAATAAAATATGAAATCAGTCTTTCGATGGCCCACTGCTGATGTAACATTTGCAAGAAGTCCATTGTTGCGATAGCCCAACAATAAACGAAAAGACAAGAATGAATACATCATTTCTTGTCCCGTTGACATTGAAACAAAAAAACTGTCTTGGTCTTTTTTTTTAAGAGACAGACACAGGTAATTGCAAGGCAAACATCCCTATTTGATCTATTCAACTGATCAGCTTGGACATCGCCATGCTGATCCAAATCCATATCCAAAACTCAAATCCAAATCTGTTGTGGATAAAACCTGTGCTCCTATCCTCCCAGACATCCAATTTGGATATCCTAATTGTTGCATGAAATTTAATTTTAGACTTGACAGCATTTGGCGGGAAGAAAAGGAGAAGAGCAGAGCTCTTTCTGAATGAATGTCATAAAACACAACAAGCACATCCTCTTTCCATGTTTCCATGGGTTGAGTTTGTCCAATTAGGTTATACGACTGACTTTGTCGCCTACTTTCGACCATTCTGATACACTGCACACTGAAACTAACTTTAAAAACAATACGTTGACGATTCAAAGGATAGAGGGATTTATCACAAACCTGGACATCCATGGCTCACGCACTGCTGTAACGCGAATGGGTAAAGGCCGTATAAAGAATCCACTGAATAAGGTTGGTAAAAAGCCGAGGGTTATGAGAAGTTATATTTGTAGCAATAGTACAAGGGAAAAAAATATTATGAAGGAGACCAAAGGTTATGTAGAATATATGTTGAATAATGAATCGAAGTGGTTAAGAACAGTCGGGGAAAGTTGATGAAGCAAAAGAATGAGAATAAAAATGAGAAGAGAATAGGAGTGTGACAAAAAATCAATTAGAATGATCCTGAAGGAAAACAAGAAAAAAGCGTTAGAGGAAAGGAGAAAGAGAATGAAAAAATCGTTTGTGTAGGGTAACCGGTAACGAGAACTATTGAATAAACGTTTGGTGTGAATAAGAACTATTGAGAGAGGAGGAGAGGGCTTTAATAGATAGAAGACTGCGAGGGTCTAAAGGAATGAATGAACGAGTGAATGAACGAATGAAAAAGAATAAAGGAGGCTAGGAAACTAGCTTTTTTTTTTTTTTTTTTTTTTTTTGCTGTGCCACTAAAGACAAAGACGAGCAGAGCAAGCGAAAGAAGCTGTGTAGTATAAATGTATTTCAGTTGGATATATTTCGGTTTACAAGCAAAGAAGTGAGTTGTTGGTTGAGGAATGAGAATAGAAAGAGAGGAGAAGGAAAAAGGGTAGGGGGGAGTAAAAGAAAACGAAAAGAGGGGGGAGAACAAAAAAGAATAAAAGAGCGCGGTGGATGAAATATTATTGACTTTGCTTTTGCATGCAGAGACAAAGGGACAAAGGGGGAACAAACAACTTTGAGTTATGCATCCCTTCATCATCTTGGCGAGTTGCGAGTTGGCGAAGAGAATATCAATAAAAGGACACAGCTCATGTGCGCGTGCCTACGAGGAGGTAGTCGATGCGCGTATTTCAAAGGAGCGGAATTATGCATTCACAGACTATTGACACAGGCGCAGATGGAAGGCATGTTGCAAAATCAATAAACACCATTGAGTATTAAAACGTGCAAGATTGCATCTCTGTTCATGTCTGTAACTCTTGTTCAAAGTGTGACCAATTACGAGCCAAGAAAAAAAAAAAAATGTCCGACGCTTATTGTCTCAATGACGATGGTCATGATATTCTTCCTTTACTTTGCATATCACATGGAGTACGCGACCTTAGTATTGGCAAGTTACTACTGGGCTTGCTTAGCGGATTGTAGCTTCAACATTGATGGTCTTGAAGTTGTGATCTCTATCAATGTGATGGATCTTTTTAGTCACTTCGTTGCCAAGTAGCTATGAAGGATCAGCGCCAGCCTGTTATCCTATTTCCATCACAATGTTCAAAAACCTCTCAAACTTGCGATAAGCCCTTGCAGCTCCATCAGGGAAGAAGCAAGACGAAATGAACTAAAAGTGGCTTTTCGTAATGATAAAATAAAGACACAAAAGACAGTCAAGCTTGCTGGTAGCCTTATACAAGATGCAGGTCAAAAACCTGCCAATTAGTCAATTTGAAAGTGTAGCTCTAGCTCCGTCCAAGTCGTTGACTGATTCATCTGACCAAGTAGTTTCATCTCACACCATCCACCTTGAAGACTGGCCCTCCTTTACGCGGCAGGTCGAAGATGAATCCGACCTTCTAACCAGGTTGAACACCTCTGTCGCCGACGATAAGGATGGTAATTAACCCTTTGAACTATTGTACTGTGATCGTCCTTTAACTCGCTGAAACTCAACACTGGACCTTTTTTTTATCAAATTCAAAGATAACGTAGTTTCAATAATTCTATTAAAAATGTTCATTGTTTCCTCTACAATTTTACTCAGGCCGTCCTCTACTTTTAAATTTTATTAGCAGAGGAGATTGCCAAGCTCTTATATAGCTCTTCAGACGATGATGTTGGTGAAGTGTTTCTAAATGCCCTTACTGTTTAGGTCTCCGCTGCTAGTATCTTTCTAGATATTAGGCCTCAGCTTGTACAAGGCCTATTCCCCTAACAACCAGATGTTCCGCTCTGGGCTCACTATCTTCAACCAACTGAAACTCTTCGCGCCACTACAAATACAGTTCAAAAGTTAGTTCCCTGACTAGAGAAAAGCACAATTGCTTCGCCTCTATAAAACCGCTGTTACTTCTTGGCGCGTTTATGCCTTGTTGACCTTGGTCCATTGCGTCTGCGCGCCCATGATTGAAGTTACTGTTCCAATAAGGCCCACAACACCGTCATCAAGGTTCACATATGCTAGACTTGATGCTGGAATAAGCATGTCCAACGCATCTTGTAGTAGCTGTTTGTTGACGGATTGTTGCTCTCTATAATAATAGACATTGATCGGAGATTTTTGTCAAGTCACTCGAATAGGAAAGAAGACTCGGCCATTTTTTTTTTTTTTTTTTTTTTACAAACTATAAAAGTGTAGGGGTTCTTACTTGGTCAATGCCTTAAGATCTGAATGCGCGTGTGTTTTTTCAGTTTCCCCTTGGTGATTCAAACTACGAGAGGCTGCCTTACGACAGATCTGGATCTGGCGCGTCTTGTACAAACCCGTCATAAAGCTGAATACAATACCTGATAACCAAAATTTATTGGCCAACTCGTTGCATCGCTCAATATTCTGAAACTTGTATGCACCAGCGCCATCCAACTATCATAAATAATTGTTTGTTAAGGGTCTTTTTTTCGTAAGCAGTGCGAAAGTATAAGCTTTAGAATATGAAAAAACGACGTTACAAAGATAAAGGCATCGTATGTGAGATAGCCCGCATATGACAGCTGTTTCCCAACGGTCAATAACCGGGTAGTTTCATCCTCGATATTTGTAGCCGCCACTGCTGCTTCTACATGTTCAATGGGCTTGCCTGATACGTTATAAAATTTAGTATCGGTTAGGGAAATAAGAAAAGGTAAAGATTTACTCTTCTTTCCATTATAAAGAGGGAAGGTTGCGTCCATAAAATGAGAAGCCTATTCCGTACCAATGCGCATCACTACAAAAGTAATAACAGCAGTTAGTCAAATATATCAATATGGTCGTTAGAAGGTTTATAATAAATAAAAGCCATTGCATTACATTTGCGTGCCTGGGCGAGCGTCTTTTTAAGGTTGTTGAAGCGAGCAACTGTTTCCTTTGAAGTCCCATGTCGCAGAAGGTACCATGCAAAGAAGCGTGAAAAATACTGGACTGTCCTATAAAGTTTATCGCGACCTGTTGTAGTCGCCATGAATTTGAGCCATGGCTGGACATTGATAACCGCCTTAGACATTTTCAAGTAAATTAAGACGGAATTTAACAATGACTTGAACAAGACGGATCAAAAGAACAATGGATGAACGCTCTGAACAAACATCAAAAAAAGAATAAGGTTCACGTGCTATCGTTTATAGAACAATCTGTGCACCAAAACTACAAAAGACACACACTTGGAATAGCGGCGCGTCAGAACGTTGACCAGCAAGTATGACACTCTGCGAAACTGTTACCTTTCTTCATTTCACTCAAAAATCCTGAACGTCACTGGCTCCCTCCTGTCTCAATCGGTCATTCAGTTCTATCCTTTTATCACCCTTTATTTTAACACTCTCATTGTTTCCTTTCCTACTCACAGTCCAGTGCTGCATCTTGTTTGAAAGAATCCTCTTAAATTAAGAAATAAAAGCAGGAAAAATAAAACTTCACCATTTACTTTTTTTCTGTAATATTTTATTTCCAATGAGCTATGAATCGGAGAGCAACACATAAATATTACCTACTCTAATCCAACATTCTTCATAGTACTTTTGACATCATGGCAGTAGTCTTCTACAGTTATTAGTTATTATAACTCCTTGATATTACAACCGAACGAACTAACAACAGTCTTTCTTTTTTTATTTATTTATTCTTTTTCCATTTTTTAACGTAAAACAAATATCTGTTATCATATAAAAATAGCTCAGAACGAATATCTTACTTCAAGTGCCATATTCCCATAATCCATCACATAATCCACTAAAACAACCTACTGTATTAAATACAAAAAAATCGCTATATTAATACCAAAGCTTACTCCCAGTCTCGATTCAAAGACACGAAGGCGTGCACAAATAATTTCTTCAAAAATTTCTTAGTGATCGAACTCAAGTTTTTGATCAGTCTTGTGGTCGAATAGTTTGCAATACTATAATAAAAAGAAACTTTTTTTCCTCTATCTCTCTCTGTCTCTCTTTCCTGTCTCTCTTGCCTCTCTTGTTAAGCTCTTCACTTGTCTCTTGCCTCTCTTGCTAAGCTCTTCACTTGTCTATCATTCCTTTGAGTTTCTGTGCTCACTCTCCCTTTCTATTTTACCTCTTCTGAAGCTCAATGCACAGTTTTTTTTTCAACATGTGTCTCGAATTCAAAGGAATCGCGAAGCAACGTGTATGCAACAGTCCCTGGAGTCAAAGCGGACAGAAGATGCAGTCAAAGCAAGCACGGGCAATGCAGTCAAAGCGGACAGTGCGGTCATTGAAGCCCATGAAGCGAAAGAAGTCCACGAATTCAACAAAGTTAACCAAGTCAACGAAGCCAATGAAGTCCATGAAGTCAATGGAGTCCATGAAGTTGCGAAGTCAATGAAGTCAATGAAGTCAATGAAGCAGCTGGACTCCCTGGCTCACTGCAATTAATCCGTCGCCAAACAACCTTCAATTCGCGGTGACTTATACTGGGCTCTGACGTGTACACGTCGAATTACGCTACTTTTTCACTAGTCTTTTTGGAACAAAAATGCAGGTAACTCTATGCTCTCTAAAGTTACGATGCTCTCATATCGTGCATATGATTGCTCATGTGCCTGAGCACATTCCCCTATAAGTGATCAAAGCACCTTCGATATACTCCAAAAACAGGAATAGTCAGGAAACAACTTTGGACAAAATCGTGAGAATTGTATACTCGGTTCCGCTTATGTAAACGCGTAGGAAGGATTATCGCTCTTACAATTTTTTTTTTTTTTTTTTTTTTTACCCTTATCACGGCTCAAAAGCTTGGATTGACTCTAATGCAGAAGCCCTGATCCGTTATCGTTCACCATTTCTCAAACACACTCATACATGGATGGTATCTCTCATCAATCTCATCAATCTCATCAATTGCTCAACATGGCTTAGGCATGTTAACAATATTTATTTATTTATCTATCCTCCCTGTGTACGCGTTTAGTCAGTGGCTTGTCGGTATTTTCATCAAATTTATAATTTCGATACGAGTCGTGGCAGCTTTTTCTCTTTGATTTTCCTCCTCATCCTTGTCGTGCGCCTAGCTTGGTCACCTAAACGAAAAGGTAAGTAAGAATACCTGAACAACAAAGGGATATGCTAGACAAAGGAAAAGCATGATAGAAGAGCAAGGCATGGCCTTTGAGTCTTTGGATTCAGTGATCTCGCTCGATCATGTTCGATCATGACAACTGAATCTGAATGAGCTCTTAGTTGATTGAGAACTTGATTACTTCATTTAACTAACCTTCTTTTGATTCGTCTCTTACTCTTTACTATCCTGCTCTGTTTTCTTTTATAGGCGGGTTCGTGAGCGTGCGGAGCCCTCACTCGCCTCTAGGAGGACCGTTAGGACACGCATTGAATGGACGTGTAGGGTGAGGGGGGAGCCGCGGTGGTATCGACTGCGCTTCGGGGGCGAGCGTTAGTCCAGGCCCGAAGAGGTGTATGGCTGAGAGGGTGAGGGTGGGGGTGTGGGGGTGTGGGGGTGTGGGGGTGGAGGTGTGGGGCGCGGTGTGGGAGAGTGGCGTGGAGGTGTGGAGGTGTGGAGTGGAGGAGTGGAGTGGAGTGGAGTGGAGGAGTGGAGTGGAGTGGAGGAGTGGAGGAGTGGAGTGGAGGTGTTGGGGCGTGGCGTGGAGGTGTTGGGGCGTGGAGGTGTTGAGGCGTGGAGGTGTTGAGGCGTGGAGGTGTAGGGGCGTGGAGGTGTTGAGGCGTGGAGGTGTAGGGGCGTGGAGGTGTTGAGGCGTGGAGGTGTTGAGGCGTGGAGGTGTTGAGGCGTGGAGGTGTAGGGGCGTGGAGGTGTTGGGGCGTGGTGTGGGGTGTGAGGGCGCGGTGTTTGGTGTAGGGCGGGGCGCTGGGGTAAGGGCTTAGGCCCCCAGGGCGGTAGTAGGTAGCAGTGCTTCGGGGGCGTGCCGTTGACTGTTGCTGAAAGGGTGGCCAGCGCCAGGTTCCTAGTACCCTAGCACTTTGTTCTTGTTTCTTTTGGTTATCTCTCTTTGAGCATTTTTCCTTGGTGTTTTCTTTTCTGTGTTTTTTTTTTTATTTGTTTTTTTATTTATTTTATTTTATTTTATTTTTTTTTTTATTGCTCTTTCAGTTGCAAGTATACTAATGTATTAACTTACTTCTCTCTCTCTGTCTCCTTCTCGCTGTCTTTTTTTTTTTTTTTTTTTTTTTTAGCAAGCAATGGAGTCTTACAGGAGTACAATGCACATTCCTCAAGGACATGAAGGCGTGCACA